TTTCCGAAAAAAAGTGTGGCAGATGCTCAATCATGTTCCTTCGCGTGTCTTTGCTATGTTCCGTTTGGATGAAATCCGCCCCTGGGGTAGCAGAGTTGCCTTTGAGCACGGGCACATGAAAAACATCGTGTTTTTTTTGTTGGTTTCCCTTGAAACCAACCCCCTAGGAAAGGGTACGTACCCCAGAAAAGCACACACACACATATTTCCCTTTCTGGCGGTTCTAAACATCACCTTTTTGGCCCAAGGTCAGTGACCCCTGGTGGATGATTATTTAAGGGAAAGGCTCCCAGCCATCCCCTTAGCTCTTTAGCCTTTTAGTGTTTAGTGGTAGTTTCCATTTAACCCACTAAAAGTTATTCACTTTTAGCGGAGGATCTGAGGGCAGCCCAGTATAGGGAATCCAACAGCTTCGTTGGTGGTACCCAAAGGCCCGGCCGCATGGCAGGTGCTGGTCGACGCGAAGAAGCTCTTAGAAGATCTCATGGACTTCGATAAGGACAACATCCCCGACAAGGCCTCGGCCGGATCTGCTGAGAGTCGCCTCATGAGCCCTTCAATAATGGGGCCATGACCTATTTTTCGCTAGGTCCCCCAGTAGTGCCCTTTTACCAAAATGGCTTTGCATAAACGGTCGCACTTCGTCGTGATTAAAATTCAATCCAGCACGGTGTTTCAGGGGTCCCCCGAAATGATTTGTTTCCTTTGGCCCCATTCTTGAGCAATCCAGCCAAAAAGTGTGTTCACTTCCAACATCACTGGTAGCGCGCCACGATGGGAGGCATAGGTTTGCCATGGAGGGGAAGGCTGTTTTTTTTTTGGGGGGGTCCATTGGATGCAAAACCACGCGCAAACATCAACAATCTTCATGGGGTCTCCCGTTTTCAGACGCTCACATGGTGAGTGCAGACATCCTTTGCATCAGGTGATTCAGACCATCTCGCCCTACATCGAGCGAGAGGATTTCGACCCAGTGGCTATCAAGAAGGCCAGCGCTTTTTGAGCGGACGTCCAGTTTTACCGCGTTGCATGTCACGTGGGTGCAACATTTGGTCCTGGCCAGTGCCGTGCCTTCCATCATTCAAATATGAGTCTGACTTTGAGGGCTAGTTATACAACAAAGGCAGCCATCGGAAGGTTAATGAATGCATCCGCCGACTCGTTGCCACGTCAGCTCGCCAAGCATAAATTTTTGGTTGGTGGTTCGCATCACCTTGGGCCTGTTCAAAGCGAATTGCCTAAGTGGAGGGGTTGCAGGAAATTTCAGTTCGACATCCTGAGCTCTTGGCTTCCCACTGGATCAGCTGAGTCATGGTATCAGAAGGTTTGGCTTTGTGCTTGTGCTTTGGGCACTGGGGTTCCGCTGTCAAGACCAAAAAGAGGTCAATGATTGCAAGGGTGCTTGGTCATCAACATGCTTGAGCTGAAGGAGTATCAACTGTCAACTATCAGCTTACAAGGCACATATTTCATGTTTGTTCAACTTCCTTGCAGGCTTCCCGCGCACGTTATCCATACAACGAAAACACAGAACGACCATGAATGTTCTCCACACAGCTAGCTGATCGAGTTCTGACATGTAGGTATTGATCCCGCGTCCATCTCCACCCAGTACATGGTCTTGAGGCTTACCCCCCTTGATGTTTCATGCAAAGTGTGCGCGGATGAATCGATGCACCCCTTACCTGCCAGCCACCAGTCTGGAGTCTGGAAATCAGTTGGTTCATGAGGGCTCTTGGCTGGTATCCTTGTATTTCTGGGCTTAGTGACTTCCCTATATCATGAAAAATCGGATTGGCCAACCCAAACCACATTGACCAGCCCAGTTTCTGTACCCCCTATGGCCGTCAGGCCCCCCTTCCCCCCCCCCAAGCCTCAAAGAGGGGACCCCCCTCAAAAAAAGGAACCCTATCAGCCCCTTGGCTTTATTCGTGGCTTTTGCTCCCCTATTGGGAGCCCCTCTGGACAACCATAGCCCCCCCAGTAGTGCCCTTCCCCTACTAAAAGGTACCATGTCCTTAATCGACCGTAGGCCGATAGCAGCATTTTCGTCAATAGGCTACAGAAAAAAGGGTACCCTCATTGTAACCTCTCCACTGGAGGACCTAGACCAAGTCGCCAGGCCTCAGTGGCTTGCGAGGCGCTTTGCCTTTGGGCCCGGGTGCCAAAGAACGAGAAGATCTCTTGCCATGGGCCAGGTTCCAGGATTCATGCCTATATTGCGTTGATTTTAGTTGAGAATCTGATTGGCGTGTTGTAGGCTGACATGATGATTTTTTACATGTGACTGGCTGGCTCTTGGGTTGGAAAGTCTGTTTGCGCGTTTCGGCGTTTGACGCATTGAGCAACGCATTGCTGTTGTCAGTTCTACGTGTGGCTCACAGGAAGCCAATTGAGCAGGTAGGCTGCGTACTCCTGCGTGCTTTGTGCTGGTATGCATGGCTTGTCCTGACAAAGAGCCAGTTGGCACACCTTATCACAAATTGGGCAGGCAGGGATAGATTGGGCTGGACATCTTTCGTGCAAGCCTCAGGGGGGAAGTTTCCCTCCATATGCCGGGATACCCTAAAAAAGCTTCTCCACCCAAACTAGAAGTTTGCTCCTGCGTTGAGCTGCACTAGGCACCTGGATCGCTTAGGTCAGGGCCATGTACAAGTACCACTTCGTCGCAAGGGCAGTGGAGCCGGGAAGCCCGGAAAAGTCGGTGACTGGTAGGTTTTCCTCCTGCTGAAGCAAGGGGAAAGCGAAACTGGACCTTGGGAAGCTCGGACGGACTCAGCCACAGGTTGCAGTCATGTTCTGTCTACTGACATGGAACCTGGGTCCATGTCAGTGGACCAACTCATGTTGATTTGGTCATCCCCTCTTCAAGTCTTATCCGCCTAAATGGGAGAGGTGCCCTCGACTTCACCCCAGGGTGACAGTATTGATTTTGCTCTTGGAGAGTTGGTCACTCTCTCCGGCCGTTCAAGAAGCCGACCAGCTGGCAGGTCAGCGGATCCCAGCTGCCACATGCTGCCACTTTAGTAGGCCAGCAGCCATTGTCCTTTTTTTTACCAAGCAGGTACTGCTACACATGTAAATGGAGTCACTGCCGGAAATCTTGTCGCAAGGCATTTCAGGCCCCAAAGGCCCCCTTTTGGGGGTTATGGGCGCCATGCATGAGATCCCCATGCTGGTGCTGAATCCCTGCGTGGCAACCTGTTTGGCTTTGGGGAAAGATGGCCCCCCAAGCACCTTATTTCAGGCGGGTGAAATATTATATTTCACCCCGAATCCTACGGTTTCCTTCAGGGAAACAAATGCCGAGGCCCAAGCGCCAGTTGCTGAAGCAGGCGGAGGGCGAGCTGGCCGAGTGCCAGGCGCTGGGAGTTTAGTTGTTTCCTGCTTTCGATCCATGCGGAAGGGATTCACCAAAAACATCCTCCACGTCTAGGCGGTTTGCTGTTGTTTTGGTTTTGTTGTTGTTTGTTTATTTTGTGTATTTCTTTTGTGTCTGTGTGTGTGTGCTTGTATCCCTGACGAGTGTTTATGTGTTGGTTTGGTCATGGCAGGCCGTTTTGTGGTGTTGCACCCACTACCACTTGCGTAGGGGGGTATCGGGCATGTGCATTTGCCCCTAAGAGCCTCATATAGCCCTTGACATGCTGGCCCATAATTTGGATGATGACCCTTTGCAGGTCAATTTTGACGTGATGTTCTCGCCTGATTTTCCATGACACCCGCTTCAGGGCCAAGTGAGCGCTGGGTGCTATTTTCCAGAGTTGTCTCTCGGCTTGTGGTTTACAACGAGGATGCCACGAAACATACTTGACCAGCGGCTTGGTGCTGTTGATGTCGGGCGCGTTGGCTGCACAGGCGAGTATGAAACCTCATGCACCCTTTCATTATTTTTCATTCATGCGAACTTGGCATTCGGGTGTGGCTCAAAATTAAACAGGAAGGGTTACGCAGGTTTTGTTCCATGTTTCCACTTACCAGGGTTCCATTTTGGTACCAGTTTTTTGAGCCACAGCCAAATGTGTTGATGGGTATTGTCTTCATTGTCTTCCGCCTTGTTTTCTGGGGTTCAGAAAGACAAACCACGGCCATAGGAGCCGATCTCTTGTGTTCCAGGAGAAGCTGGAGGCTGCGCAAGCCAAGCTGGCCGCAGTTCAGCCCCTCGGCCTTTGAACTGGGCGTCCTGGAGGGTCGGAGGGTCGTGCCTTGGTTTTGAGGGTACCCTTTTTCGTGGTTTTAAAAAGGAAAGCCAGAAGGACGAACACCATTTTGTGGGTCGTTTCTTTAAAAGACAGACCCAACTTGGAAACCACCCCTGATCTCAATAGCAGGGACTGTGATCGCTCCGTCTCAGTGCCGACGTCTCAGGAGCAAGATCGAAGCGCTGGAGGTGCGCTGATGGGTCGTTTCATCATTTTGCAGAAGGAAGACGCGGAAAACCGGCAGACGTGCCGTCAACTGGGATGGATGTTTAGAGGAGAACAGCCAGTGGTGCCCGTAAGGGCGGCAAGGCGCCTCGCTGTTCTACATGTTGCCTTGTGGCACGGTGAGAAACTAAAGCTAGTTCCCTTTTCCCTACCACTTGGGTATTGGTCGAAATTGAACCACCAGGTGACCGCAGGTGTTAGTCCTTTGTTCCACCTTGGGTGCGTATTTTTGATACCGCCACTTTCCCTTGCTTCCATTTGGTTAAGAATATGTACTGTTTATTTTCCCTGTTGCTTTTGAAGGGAATCTATCACTACTGAACAATATTTTGTTTTTTTCCCAGGGGACGAACAAGCAAATGGAGGCCTTGGAGGCCTTTGGCAGTGCCCCACTGCGACACGAGGCCTCTGAACTTGCCTGTGGGTTGCTCGGCTTGCCTGTTGCCAGACAAGCTTCAACCAAGCCGTGCAGAAGCAGAAGGACAAGGGCTGCACAGAAGCTATGTTAGCCTTCAACCAAAGATAGGCAACATTTGATAGATCAAAGCTTTTTACACCAATGTAATGGACCGAGATGCAGAAGTCAATCAGAGCTCAGGCTGCATGTTACTTTGCGTTCCCATTTGCGTGTGAAGTTTTTACTAGTGCACGCCAAATTGGAGCCACAAGTCAAACATGTGTGTGTGTGTGTGTGTTTGTTTTTTGGTGGGAGAATCCCGTTCTGGTTGATTTTGGACAGACCCGAAAAGCCAACTTTTTTTGAAGTTCACACACACACGCACATGTGAGTCAAAGTGATTTGGCCGTGGTTCAAAACCAATGGTACCGTTTTGGGATAGGTGCACTACCCATTTTAGAACCTATTTTAGTGGTCGGATTGAATCGGATGTTCCCATTTGGAGCCCAACAAAATGGATGTGTCTAGGGGTTGATTCCTTTTCCATTCTTTTCAACCATCGTTCTGTTCAAAAACCAGCTGTTTCCCCTGGTGTTCTGATGGTTTTCCGAAAAGAAGGATCCCTGGAAAGAATGGGGAAGTGTCCCCTAGAATGTGGCTCTCGTTCAGGAGCTCCAAGACGACATGAACCTCTGCGAGGTGAAGTTGCAGCGGGCGCCGGGCGCCAAAACGGGGGGGGGAGAAGGGGAGAAGGGGTTGGAAGGGGCGACGGTTCGGCGAGTTTGGCGGGTCAACCGGCAAAAAGTGTCCGGTTTCTTAGTTGTTTTTGTGTTTAGTTGGCAAAGCGGTTGGGTGTCTTGGCTCACATAGGCTTCTAGCAGGGGATCTGAGGACAGCCCAGTTTTCGGAGAACCGGTGGAGTCCACTGGTCCGATTCTAATCGTTTCCTCTTGAGGACACCTCGGTGGGGCTTTGAGCAGAACTGTGATCTTTCGGGTCCCGGAGATCAGACCATTTTCTTGGACGCAGCCACGCAAGCTCGGACAAATGGCCTGATGTGCCAAGTTTCCTTTGACAAATCCAGGTTGCTTTGGTTCCTGAAGAGTTGCCTCTGACTTTCAGGTCCTGGTTCCCGAAAGGCAAATGGACATGACCCAATTTGGTCCAAGGCACAAGCTCATCAACGGCCTGGGCGGCGAGAAAGCGCGATGGGGACAGAATGTGAAGGACAGAATGGGCTTGGCCTCGGGGGCGATTGCCGTTATGGCTATTTGGCAACGGATCTTTGGACTTTGGCTCTTTGGTTAAAGCACAAAAAGTCCAAACATCCCACCAGAGAGAAGCAATCGGCGGATTTTCCCCCACAAACATGCACAGAAAGCAATTGGCGGATTTTCCCCCACTTTGTTTTTTTCTTCAAGAACCATCGGATTTATTCCGTCTTGGAGCCACCAAAAATAGCGGATGTCCGACTTGGAGCCACACAAAGCCAACCAAAGAAGCACCGCTTTTTCTTACCTGCTAGTGGGTTGGATCTTTAGACTTTAACCTTTTGGTTGAAATCAAGGGGTTTTCCACTAAACCCCCAAACAGTTGAAAACTTTGTGAGGGGGGAGTCAACAGCAACCAAGTGTTCGATGTTTGTTTTTTCAAGGCCGCTGTTTCACCTGCCTGTACCATGTAAATGGAATGACTGGGGTTCTGTTCAGGTTTTGGATGAGGTTTGTCCGTTTTCCACTAAACCCCCAAAAAGCTGAAAGCTTTTCTTTTTTTTTTTTGGGGGGGGGTCTTTCCACTAAACCCCAAAAAAGTTGAAAGCTTTCTTTTTTTTTGGGGGGGGTCTTTCCACTAAACCCCCAAAAAGTTGAAAGCTTTTCTTTTTTTTTGGGGGGGGTCTTTCCACTAAACCCCCAAACAGTTGAACGCTTTTCTTTTTGTGGGGGGGGGTCTTTCCACTAAACCCCCAAAAAGTTGAAAGCTTTTCTTTTTTTTTGGGGGGGTCTTTCCACTAAACCCCCAAACAGTTGAACGCTTTTCTTTTTGTTGGGGGGGTCTTTCCACTAAACCCCCAAACAGTTGAAAGCTTTTCTTTTTTTTGGGGGGGGGTCTTTCCACTAAACCCCCAGACAGTTGATTTTTTTTCTTGGGGGGGTCTTTCCACTAAACCCCCAAACAGTTGAAAGTTTCTTTTTTTTTTGGGGGGGTCTTTCCACTAAACCCCCAAACAGTTGAAAGCTCTTTTTTTTTGGGGAGGGGTCTTTCCACTAAACCCCCAAACAGTTGATTGTTGTGTGTTTTTTTTTGGGGGGGGTCAACAGCAACCAAGTTGTATCCATCTCCTCGCTGCGAGGACCTGACAGCGCAGCTGGGGCTGCTGCCCGGAGACTGCATCGTGGCTGCGGGGATGGTCTCCTACGCCGGGCCCAAAGGACTGACAGGCAGCTCCTTTAAAGGAGTCAACAGAAAACAGTTGTTCAAAGCCGACCTTTTGACCTTTTGACCTTTTGGTTTTCCCTTGTTGGTCTATTTTTAGTAGAGGTCCCAAAAGGTTAACCTGTTATAAACAGGTCCTTTGGGCAATTGAGGAAACAGATGCTTTTTGTGGGCGCTTGCCCTTTTTTTGGGGGGAACAACCACCCTGGGCTATTTTTAGGCTCCTTTTTTTTGGGGGGGGGGGGGGAGGAGATGGGGAGGGAATGTCACTGAACGTCCCATCAAAAACAGTGGTTTTGGGTGTTCTTGGGGCAGGCAGGTTGTAGGAGACTTGTTTCGTTATGCAAGCACCTGTAAGCCTCAGAGCCTTGGGGAACATGCCGCAAGTTGTTGCTTTGGTTCTGTCCATTTGTTTAGGGGAAATTGAGCTCCATATGGGTTTTGTCCATTCCAAAAGCTCATATTTACTACAGGTTTGTTTGAAGTAGGGGTTCGTATGAAAAGGCATTTCTTTTCATTTTCCTTACCTCTCTTCCTCTTTTTCCAGTCTTTTTCCTAATGTGCGGGTGCTGCTCGGAGCATTTTCCTTACCTGAAAAAAAAGACCAACTCAAAGAGCGCGCATGAAACACACAGAGAGCTCCGTCCCCATCTCGACTCCCCAACGAATTCCCCACGACTCCCTCCCGCGCCTCCCGCGAGGCTGGGCCCTTCACCTCGCAAGTGCGCGGGGAATGTGAAGATCTTTGGCGCCAGGACTCGATTCGTTCGAGCCGACGGCTCAAAACGGAGAGATGGACCGCGCGCTCAAAAAAGGGCCATGGGCGCCCTCTTGCACGGTTGTTGTTGGGAAACATGTTGCATTTTCGCTTATTGTGGTTTAGTGGTTGAAATCGCACTTATAGCTGCAAACAATTACATGTTTGCTCCCCTTCCAACGTCAACCGAGCTTGCTGGTTCCCAACCATCCGGTTCAAGGTAGGTTTTTAGTTTGTGTTTTCATCTGTTTTAGTGGTAGGGCGTCCATTTCACCCACAAGTGAAGCTTTTCGCAGATCTGAGGACAGCCCAGCCCTCCACACAAACATTCCTGCACAGGAACCGGCTCCTGGAAGATAATGTTCCGTTTAAAGGGGCCGTGCAGATTCTATATTTGTGTTTGGGAGGGTGGTTCGTGGTTCAGCGCTATGATAAGTATTTTTGGTACTTGCGGGCCCCATTAGAGTCATTTTGCTTGGTGGGCCTTGGTAAAGCCGGGGGTTCTAGTTGGACCTGAATCATTTTGCTAGAGCCAGTCAATGTTTTCCTTGTTCCGTCGCTGCTCATCAGCTCCTGCTGAAGAGCCGGCTATCAATAGCGCCCAAGAAAGACACGTGGCCCATCTGCCTGGCTTCAAGGGAGTTGTTGTTGCTGCGAGGCCTGCAAGAAGAATAGCTGTTTAACCACGTGCCAGAAACCATCGGGCTTCCGCCGCTGATTTGGGATGCTAGGGAGCAGGTCAATTACCCTGGCTGAGCCAATTTGTTGTTCAAGCCCTTTAAACGGGCCCCATGTTTGTGGATGCAAACTGGTCGAAGGGTTGAGGTCCGAGCATTTCACCAGACCCTTTTTCTACCAGGGTCACTGAGCAACAAGGAGATACAATGTGGTTCATGGGACCGCAGGTAGTAGTCCTTGTGTCCATTTACCAAGGTTCCATTTTTGGATACCTATTTTTGACCCAAACCCGTTTATTGGTTTTATCAATCTTCTTTCCCTCGGCTTTTTTGGGGGCGTGCAGGTGAATCCAAGAAACCCTTTTGAACACAAGGCTGGCTCCTGCCGTTTTGGGGTGTTCTTGTCATCCCCTACAGCAAGGGTTGCAGTAGAGTCATCCTTTGTTTTACTTGTGGTTTGGCTTCACACCTTACCCCGACCTACAACCACCGGAGCCTTATGAGAGAACACATGACATGTCGTTGGCTCGTGTCTGTTTGACGAGCGCAATTTGCTTAGATAATTCGAAGGCCAGGGCTCTTTTCGTCGAACCACGGGCATCCTTGGTCGATGTGCCAAGGGTCGGAGCGCTCGTCCGGTAGCTGCACCAGCGAAGGTCAATGCAGCACCAGCTATGGGGGAGGGAGGGGGGCTATCGCCTATCAACCCCTTAGATATGGCCTTATCCTTGGCTCATCTCTGCGCTCATCCCTGACCCAAGCCCTCCATAGAGATCCAGAAAGTGGTGTGATCACGCCACACGTCAGGAGCTGGCGCTTCTGGACATGGGGCACACCGCAGGCTGGGCCCGGATTCCAGTGCCTGCCCCTTTTTCCGGCGCCGGGACTCGCGTGATCATGTTGGAATGTGTCAAATTTGCCGAGCTCCTCTTAGTCGGAGTTCCCTCAAATTGCTTTGTTGAGCCTGGGGTCAACTTCAGAGCAACAGGCTGAAGGAATTTGGCTAGGCGTCAGCTTCACATCGTGGTGCAACTAGCACCCGCCCAAGCGCTCCCACATAAGAACGCTCTTGCCCTCGGTCTGAAGGACTGATGTAGCTTTGAACCTCGCTCCGAGCATGAACAGTACCAACCTCTGTGAACTGCCGTGATGTTGCAAGTTGTTGGGAACCAATGGAACCTGGCACTTTTTGCCTCCCGTTTTCGCACTTGGGGATAGTTTTTCCGGCCTCATCAACCAGTTTCAGCCCTTGGTGCTTGTTTTGTTCCATAGCCGGAGGGGCAAGCAAACAGCTTTCCAGGTGCTATCAGCTGTTCTAACCACAGCCAACTGGGAAAAAGGTGCACGTGCCCAAACTGTCACGGGCCATGCCCAAAGCTTTGACCCCCCGAACCACCCGGCCGGCTTGGTCAGTTCTGATGGCTCCTCCCTTTGCCAGGCTGCAGCATGTCCAACGTGCTGGGGGATCCTGTGAAGATCCAGCGGCCTGGCAAAGACCAGGTACCCGGAGCTCTCAGAGGACCCTCCCCACCGATAAATGTTGACCCAGGATTAACAAACCCGTTTCATGATTAGGGGGGTGTTGACTCCAAATCCCCACTAAAAGGGGACACCCCCTATTATTAATCAACCAGGGGTTTATTAATCCGGGGTTAACATTAACATGGAAGTGCACAGACCCCTGTAGAAAGACTATACTTTCCTCTTGGAAAGGGGCCTTGTGCACTTGCATGTTAGTTGGTGGGATGGTAAAGACCCGACAGGCGTTACGACCCTGCTGCGTTGACCATCCTCTTTCAGATGCTAGAGGCCTGGGTAGGAAGATCTAGGTTAGCTGATTCCCTTGCCCGCCAAGGTAGAGCTGGCCCCGGACTCGTGTCTTAAGGCTGGGGCGCCCCACATGGTGTTCGTCCCCTGGGTTTCCCCGTAAACCAAGCACGCCCACCCCCCAAACTGGTGTTTGTCCCCATGATGAAACCAAGCAACCCCAACAGGCAATGGTATTAGTACCCTGTCCCAATGGCTGCCTCCTACGTGAAGCAACCCCCCCAAACGGTGCCCACTCCAATCCAAAAGGACACGAGATCTGAGGCAGTGGGTGGTTTGCGCGCTGCCGAATGACCAGCTCTCCATTGAGAATGGCATCATCATCGACAGATCCAGGCGACCTATAGGTTGGGCGCGTCGTTTTGTTGGGAAGCCGCTTTGGTTTGGTTTTCAAGTGAAATCCAAACTCACTTGCCCAAAACCGACCTTTTGGCCTTTTAGTTTCCCCATGTTAATCTACTTTTAGTCAGGGTTTCAAAAAGTTAACATGTTATTTCTGGGTGGCAAGTTTTTTGGGAACCCTGGTTTGGTTTGGTGCAAAGGGAAACCGAAAGGACACCCACAGGGACACACCCGTCTTAGCTAAAATGGGGGTTTGAACCGGTTCGGTTTCCCTTCCAATGGACCCGAAACCGGTACCATCAGAAACAGGCGCGCACAAACAGGGGTCATAAAACAGGCACGCACACAGGTATGAGCAACGGACGGCATGATTGATAGTCTAGTGTTGGTTTCGGACAATACTGTGGCTCGGACTGCTGCTTGATGTTGTGTTTGTTCCTCTTTCTTTGCAGGGACTTCCCTGCCAACTGCCAGAAAGCGGAGTGCCCCTTTTTTTGCTCCCATGTCTATGTTTTTGTGTTTCTTGTTTTCTGGGGGTGTCCCTTCCAACTGCCATAAACAAACAAGTACCGCTTTTATTTGCTCCCATGTCTATATTGTTTTTTTGCTTTTTTTGTTTCTGGGGGTCTGTATTCTGCTTGGTTTGTCCCAGCTTTTGCCGGAACCGCTTCAAGCCAATCTGGAGGCGCTGGCCCCTGATGATCGATCCGCAGCGGCAAGCGAACAAGTACATCAAGAACATGGGCAAGGCTTCCGGGGTTCCCACCTTCGGTTGAGCCCCGAAAGTGGGGTCATTCTTTTGACTGCTTCTGGATTCTGGGGGTTATGAAAGTCAGAACATGTGGGTGTTTCCCTTTAACCCACTGAACGGGGATGACTTTGATGATGGTAAAATAATGGGATCGCCCGCAAAGCCGAAGCTTTTGGCTTTGGGATTTGAATACTTGGGGTTCGTTTACTTCTTACTGCATGAATCTAGAAGGATCTGTAAGGACGTTTGCTTTGGCTGTTTTATCTTTGGGTGTCCCTTCAGACACCAGCCTGGTTGTCCCTCCGCAGAGAAGCACTACATAAGTCCTTTTCAGGATCTTCTCTGAAGCAAACAGGGGAGGGGGTTGAGGCAGAGTTTGAAAGCCTGAGGTCTGCTCATGGCGCGAAAAAAGCGCTGAGGCTAATGACGGAAACACTGATGGACCACCCTGTGCCTCATGCTGTCGCCACCCCCCATCCCCCTAGCTGGGCATTTGTAATATCAGTTGATGTTGCCTCATTCTTAGTTTTGGATATGGGCACCCTCCTGGGGAGCTTGCGAGGACACCGAAACCGGCATCGACGTGTGCAAGCTGAGTGAGAAGAACTTCCTGCGGACGTGTCTTGCCTTTGTGGGCCGTTTGCGTGGTTCAATTTGGCAGATGTTTGAGCTCATCCTTAAAAAGGGGTTTGTGAAACCGATGCTCTGTGCTGGTGCACTCGGTAGTTGCTACTCTTCCTGGTGTGCTCCTTTTACTCAAGGGTCGTCAATTTCCGGATGACCTCATCAGCAATGCACATGACATTTTCTTCATCATGGACCAAGTGCCAGCCCGAGATGTACACATGAACTGGAGCAAGCGCTTGGCAATCATCCCTTGAACAAATCATGGATCCTTGCACGGGAAAGGAACTTGGAAATCATTGGCAACAGAGGCACCTGCGCAAGGGCATGTCTCATGGAGGAAGCCACGCACCAGAATTTGGCTTGAGCCAATATCTGCAAGCACAACGGTTTTTTGTGCAGCTCCAGGGTTCTCCCTGCAAACAGGTGAGACCCTTTGGGGGTTTGGATTGACGTCGTGGCGTTGGGGGACAACGCCAAAATTGAGACATGACCGTAGGCAAGTATTTCTAGTAGTTCCTGCCCCTCGTGCTATTCAGGTAGTTCTTGGGTGGTTGGATTGGGTGGTTGGATTTGACTTCCTGGGTTCTTGAGGGGTGGGGAACCATCCTCAAACCCCCGATCCACAAATTAGAGAGAAGCGGGTTTTAACTGCCTTTCTTCTTGGCGAGGAATCTGAAGTGGCTAAGTAGCTGTGTTTCCTGGTAGGAAATTGGGGCATCGGCCATTTTCCGCATGGGAATCCCCAAGATGAATGGGGATCGCTAATTACTTTCCACCGGGGGCGCGGGGATGAGGAAGGCCGTGTTGCGAGTCCCAACTCAGTTGTTCAGCGGCATTCGTTTTCCATCTTTTTTTTTGGGCTGCCAAAACGCTAAAAATTGTAGTTATTTTTGTTCCAAGAGGGTTCCCTTGTTTTTTTTGCCCAAAAGGGTTCCAAGATCACTGAACTAACTGAGCCAACTTGTCCGAACTAGGCTGGAGCTGGGCATCCAGTTCGGCAAGTGGATCCTGCCGGGGGCCTTTGAAGGGGGGGGGGATGGATTTGATCAGCTGGGAGCTCAGTAGGAAGCAACAACCTGCCCAAAAGAACATGTATAGCGGATTTGTTTTTTTTGGGCCAGCGTTTGGAGGTCCATGTTTCGCAGCATTTTGCAGGGCATATCCTGAAGTTATCCTTTTTTCAGGGGAAAAATAAGTTCTGAGCCGATCAGATGGTTGCTCAGACCGCTTGCTTCATCCAAACGGGGCTGGAACTGAACAGCAACTCTCCGGCCATGAGCTGCGCCGAAACTGGAGGCCGAAAGCCAGGCACTTCTATTGAACGGGGTTGGATCCATCCAACGCTGGCAATGCTGCAGTGCGGTGTGAGGCGGTTGGGGGCACAGTATGTTGTTGTTTTTGGCAAGAAAGGCTTTGATCCACCAGTGGCATGGGTGTGTGTGTGTGTGGGTGGGTGCGGGAGTGGGTGCGCGTGTGGGTGTGCGTGTGGGTGTGTCTGGGTCTTAATGGGGGCTGGGGTCTGATTGTTGTCACTGGCTGGACACAAAATATATGCTTCAATCAGAGGTTCGCCTCAAGCCAATTCAAACACCACTTTCCGGTGATGAACGGGGAGCTGTCGTCACAAGACGGTTTTTAATGGACACTGCACAACTTTTGGCCTACTCGCAGCAGACACTGTGCGGTTGGGAATTCGGCCGTCAGGTTCGTCAGTCGCCTTTGTCGGGTGCTTTTGACATCATGTTTGTGTCGCCACTTGTGTCGCTAAATGTTTCTGTGTTGCCCTCTCACCCGCTAAGGTGAGTAGACATGTGGCACAGGGCCTGCAAACATCCACTCGAAGGAAGCCAGAGGCGTGCGTCATGGGTAATTTCGATCCCGGATCAATAAATCCTGGTTGATTTTGATCAAAGTGTCCCCTGTTAGTGGGGATTCAGACCACTGGAGGAAACCGCCTAATAGGACAGGTTCTACTTAGATCCGGGGTCAGCATGGGTGTGTGTTTTTGAGGGAACCTCTTCTTGGTTGCTTTTGAGGGGAAACCAAACAGAAAACCATCATAGTCCTCAGTCCCTTGCCAGAAGGGCCACTTTGTGAGGCTGGAGAACATCGGAATCAACTTGGACCCTGCTCTGGAGCCTGTCTTGGGGCAGCAGAAGGTCAAGGAGCCTCACGTGTGTGTGTGTACGCTGGAGCCACGTACCTGCTGTGAATCCTGCGGAGTTTGAAATCCAATTCTTGAAGCTACTTCGCCTTCATGGCAGCTCGAGTGTGTGTGCTTTCATGGTGGGCTTTGCACTTGCGGGCAAAGATCAACAGCATGAAGAGTCAACGGACCCCCTGCCACAATGGCTTTCTCGTGTGTGTTTGTGTGTCTTTTCAGGGGATCCCTTATTGGTTGGTTAGACCAGGTGCCCAGTGGCGCCCTTTTGTCGTCTTCGGAAGGGTTGCCCTTCAAACTGAACCCTCCAAAAAGGGATCGCCGCTGGGCATCCGAGTTTGAAATAGCAGGAAACCAACTGCAAACCACTCGTTTGGATATTGGATCCAACCAATTTTGACACTCCCGTGCACAACGCGCCGAACTTTTTAGCGTATTGGAACCGTTGGAACGCGCTGCTCTTGGTCACACCTGAGTTTCGGAGCTGCGTGGGTTATTTTCGGATGCGTCTTGCGAGTTTCTTCTTCGCGGGATGGGGCCTGAGGTTGTTTTTCTGAGACCTAGAGTGGTGATAAGTGCTTGGCGCGGATAGAACATGTCCCAGCGGGGCAGTCATGGTGCAGGTTCAGACAGGGGTTGTTCGGTGATTGTTTGAGAAGCTAAGCCAAGCTTATGCCGTTCCAACCTCGGGCTCCACCTCTATGACAGGCATTCCTCGATGTGAAACCCATTTGGTCCGCGAATCGATTCGCGATGCCGCACGGTTCAGCAGGATGGCTCCGGGTATATCATCAAGCTTGGCGACAAGTCCGTGACCTACACGGCCGGGTCTTGCGGGAGTTGGGGTTCCGTTGGATGTTTTGCTTGAAATGGGGGGGGGGAGGGGGCGAGGGGTTTAATTAGGGGACCTACAAAATTATGACTGTTCCTTGGGCTTCCCCTTGAATCTACCCAAGAAAAAGTCCCTTGTAGTTGAGGACAAGCTGAAAGGGTGCCAAAGTCTTGACTCCCAACGACGGGGTAGGGTGCCTTGGCATAAGGGTAAATGAGACCATTTTCAGTTTGTGTGGATGGATGTTTACAGGGTTTCATCCAAGTGCAGGAGTTCATCAATTCTAGGCTGTTAAAGTCGGAGGTTCTTGGTTTCTCCCTCCGATTGGACTGAGCGGGTAGCATGCCGAGGAATTCGTCAGCGCAGTGCTTGGCGCAACAACAGTGGTTTTGAAGCACCAGCGTTTGAGGGTGCTAGGATCAGATTCGTTATATGGTGAACCTTATTGGGTATCCAGGTTCGCCTCAGTTCTTCACGGACTTACTTTTTGGGAAGACAAGTTTCTTGCTGGTGCTCAGCAGGGTCCCTGAGAAATAGAATGACCCCAAGAGAAAGTCCATCTAACTGATGGTTTCCTTTAAGGGACCAAAGAAACTGGGTTCATTCCAATTCTTTTTTGCCCTACTTCTCCCACCGATCACCAGTTTTGGTGGCAAAAAAAGCTTTGGCTTCGGCCAAACCTCCCGAGTGATGTTGCCAGGAGACCTTCAAGTTCTTCATGACGACCACACTGCCGAACCCCCACTACTCGCCGCGGCCCCAAAAAATCGGAGTCGGGTGGTCTCCTTTCTCTCAGTGCCACGCGTTTTGGAGTTGCCGCTTGACAGAGCTTCCTCCAGTGCCCTTTAGCCCGTGGCTTGCAACACCACCTTTCGGCGCACACCCCCCATCGATCCAGACAACACATTTGTTTGGATGAAATTGGAGGATACTCATTTTCAAGCACACGCTGCATGTGAATTTGCTGCGGGGTAAGTGAAAGAGATACAAGAGTCTAAATAGGATTCGGACTTCCCAACATGACGGCTGTTTTTTCTGGTTTCCTAAAACAAAATCCCGGAAAAAAAAAGGTACCGTCGGCAAAAAACACCACAATGGTGGTTATTGTTCTGGCTTGCTTAAAATAATCATCCCACAAAGGGTACCACCCGCCCAAAAAGACGCCCCAAGCCCCGGTTTCAGTGGCACACTCCTTTCGCCGTAGGCCAGAGACGTCCGTGAAGGTGACTTTGCAGCTCGGCGGGCGGTTCGATATTGGCGCGAGCAGCCAATGGGATATGGCCGCGAATTTTCATCCTGGTGGCTCCCAGCCATCCCTTAGCTTTTTAGCCTTTTAATGTTTAGTGGTTGTTTCCATGTAACCCACGAAAGGCTAAGCTCTTAGCGGGGGATCTGAGGGCAGCCCAGAAATAGGGAACCACCTCAACAGTGACTGGTGGACATGAATCCCCACCTAAATGATGTCCACCAAAGGGTCCCTTATGAAAGGTCATAGCCATATATTGGTGTGTCTTTCTTATTGTTGGACGCCCCACAATGGCTTTGGTTTTCCTCTTCGTTTCCCCTTAAAACCACCAAACAAGGGGTACCTCAAAAAAAGACAGACCCATATGGGTATGTGTCCCGGGAAAATAGTTCTGGACCCCAAAGTTGTGGGTTGAGGGAATGCATTTGTTCGATTCCTGTGCCAGGCCCCCGAGTTCGAAAGCAAGCCCCCGGTTTCCAGAATCCGAAGCGTTGGGGGCATGTTGACCCGCCAGTGTCCCAAAATCGGCCGCCCGGGATTCTGTTTTTGTTTTTTCAAAACCGTATGCTCACAGGCCAGGTGTTGTTTTGTTTCTTCCTTTTTTGTGGCTGCCTGGATGCAGATGACCACTTGCGAAGGTTTGCCGATGTCCATTTGTTTCAGCATTCGGCTGGGCTGAAGCCGAAAGGATGCCCCGGCAAAGAAGCACGTGAAACTCATGCCCACCCCGGACCCCGGATCTGCAAGTAGAACACGTCCTTGGTGTGTGGGTCCCTTGCCCCGCCAAAAGCGAACCCTCAGTAAGAGAGGACATCCCCAATCCAAATCAACCAGGGGCTGAACTTCATCCGTGGTTGCCAGTATAGTTGATACTTTGGAATACTTGCTAGCCGCTGAAGAGGAAGGTCTTCTCATGGAGATGAGGCAGCTCCATTGGCCCAGACCCGGGTGGGAAGACCGCCATAGACCGCCGGAGCTCACTCCCCGAGTTGCGTTTCGGGACTTTTTGCTTTTTGGGGCGACTGTTGGACACTGTCGGCGCGCTTTTGTTGGCGTGTTGGTTGCTTTTTGGGTTCTTTTGGTTGATTTTTGGGAATTAACAAAAACAAAACGTGTTTGTCTACACATACCACGTACAGGACCGAAAGGCTCCCTCTGAAGCAAATTACCGTAGCGGCTCCCTTCCAACCACCAGCTACCAGGAGTCACTGGTAGAAAAAGACTTCGATTGTTGGTCAATTTGTAGTGACCCAACATGCAGGCAAAAAGGGTGGACTGCCCTGAACAAGCGTGGGCTAGAGGCTACTCAAAGAGAGATGACTCAAATTGGCCACCTTGGACTCATAGGAGCGGCTTTTGGGTTTTCGGGCTTCATGTGCAACCAGGCTTATTTCAGTTTCTAGGCCTGCTTGCGGCTTAGGGAACCTAGGGCAGCATGTGACTGGATGTTCCGTCGAGAGGCCTGTGCCACTAAAAATGCGTTGGGTTGCCGCCCTGCGAGACCTAGGCTGAACTTCGCCATCACTCCAAGCGGGCTTGAGGACAGGTTTTGTGTCGCAGAAGCTTGTGGATGGCAGTGAGGGGTTGGTGGCTGGTTGAAGGTTGGGTCGGACAGTTGGAGTGGCCCTTGAGCTGCTGCAGCACATGCCAACGCCTTTCACGGTGCTGCTGTTTGGACCGGCTGCCGTGCTTTCTTTCTCAGCGTGGGATGTTTGGGCCTTCCGAAGTGGAAAGCCAAAGAACAAGCCTCACTGAAAAGCTGGGGGCAGCTTTCATCCGGCCATGGCATGCTCGTTTCGAAACGAGTTGCCATTTGCCTTCACCTAGGCATACCTAGGCATACGCTTCTGGCATGTGCCCTTGGCATCCTTCGATGCCCTTGGCATGGCTTCCAACTGGCCAAAACACGATCAGCGCATTGGTTGAAATCGCGGCGCTGGCGCGCAGGCGCCGGCCGGGTGGGTTTGGGCTTGCGTCTTGATGTTGTAGTCGAGGACCAGATGTTGGGCATCGTGGTGGCGAAAGAGCGCCACTCGGCCAAGCCACAAAAAAATGGGGGCAGAAAATGTGTTGAAGCAGCTGGTTTGTGGGCCCTTTTGGGAAACTCATTTTAGTGGCGAAACTCAGTTGTTCAAAGCCGACCTTTCGACCTTTGGGCTTTCCAATTTTGGTCCATATTTAGTCATGGCCCCAAAAGGTTAGCCTTTTAGTTCCAGGTCCTTTGGGCAACTGAGGAAAACAGTTTAGGTTTTTTTTGGCCAGTCCAAAATTGAACAATTTGTGTTGAAAGAACTGCACTCTGGGTCCCCTTCTTTCTGGGAAGCCCTAGCAAAAACGAAGCCTCTCCCCTGAGGCTCGAAGCGCGGATTGTTTAAGAGTTAACTAATCGTTGGTGCATTTTGCTTGGATGTCAGGACTTTAACTTTTTGCCAACCAATGGGCTTTCCATTCAACCACTAAAAGTTAAACTTTTAGCAGGGGAGCAAAAAGCAACCGAGTAATCGCTCTGCCGACTGATCATTGAAGCTAGTTGAAACAAAACAAACTTATACTGTAAATATTCCATGAGCCGCTGTTGACGTCAATATGAATTACCACACCCCTGGGTCCATGTTTTTTTCTTTAAAAAAAATATATATATATATATTACTTAAAAAAACAACAACAAAACACTTGTTGGGAAGACCATTTTCGTGGCAGACCAAAAGTTCAGGCTTTGGTTGGCCAAACCCCCTCGGTGATTTTTTTGGGCTTGGCCCAGCGCTAAAATCAAGGCCCAGACCTGGAAGAGGAGAAGAACAACCTGGTGGTGCAGAACGCCAAGAACAACAAGATCTTGAAAGACATCGAGGCGCAAGGTTTGACTTACCTACCTTTTCGCACCACTTGGAAACCATGATTGAAATCATTGTTTATTGGCATTTACAAGAGAATCGAATCATTCCAGGGTTTCTGAGGTGGTGCAGGATTTCGTCCATCCACAGTAGGTCCCCCGGCTAGGTGCCCTTTTTTACCGATGCTTTTTTGGGGGGAGGGGGATCCTACTAAAATAGACTACAGAAAAAAGTTGGTACCCTTATTCTAACCTCTCTACTGGAGGACCTAGTTTTGCTTGCCAAAGAACAAGCAACTTTTGAAAGAGCCACTTTTTTCCAGCTTTCTTGTCCCTTTAACGGGTGTCTCCTCCGCTTGGAAGCCATGCCCGCAGTCCTTTTGCGTGATGCACCCAAAGGAAGAGCCAAGTAAGAGCCAAGTGCAAACTTAGCGAAGGGGCTTCTTTGATCAGAGAATGAATGTCGGGCTTTATTTGTACTGCAGGGTTTTGTCCATCCACAGTATGGCAAGGTTTCAATTGGCTACGTATCCAACAAGATTGGTTTCCTTTGGTTTTCTTTGAAAGCCAACTTCAATAGAGGATTCCCCAAAGATTCGGAGAACCCAAAGATAGACACCACTAGACGTATGTACCAAAATCCGGTCAGGACGACATCTTGCGGCTCTTGGCCACCAGCGAGGGCGACGTCTTGGAGGACGACACCTTGGTGGACAAGGCTCGTGGTTTCGTCCTCGGTGGCCGACTTTTTTGCCTTGGGGGACTTCAAAGCTGGCTAATTTGTTGGGTGTGTGTCTTTTCGGATTCAGGCCCCCCTAAAATGATGGGTTTCCTCGTTTCCCTTTTCAGGCAACACAAAAGGGGTACCCTCAAACAATGACACACCTGACACACCCATTTATATTGCCAAGTATAAAAAGCGCATTCTGAAGATATCATTTGTATACCCCCAATGTGTCCCGTTTTGGTCCCACATGATTTCCCTGTTTTGTGGTTTTTAGCATCACCTTGGGCCAAGAGACTTTCCTCATATGCTGATTTTGATTAGCAGGGCCAAGTATGACCGAAACTCTTAGGAGGATTCCGACATTCTGGCTTCTCCTTGAATAGGGGCACTACAAGTGGTTGATTGAACTCATGGTTGCCTCTTCAAGGGTTCCTCGTTAATTGGCAATCAATTCAGTGGTGGACTCTGGCAAAAAATGCAAACCCACAAAAAAGAGCTCTGTATGTTTTTTTCTCTGCCCCTGGCTCTCTGAATGTAATTAGGGTGTTTGACACCCATTTTTTGCGGGAAACCTCGAATCTGACAGCCGCCAGGTGACAGACTCCAAGGCGGTGTCTGACGACATCAACGAGAAAAAGAAGGTGGCCGAGGCATCGGTTTCGGCAAGAGGCTTACTGGGTGAGTTAGATGACGAGTTCGATTCCAACTGATTTTGGTCACCTGTCATTGAGTCATCCATCCCCTTTACAGTTGGTTTTTTGGTGCTGTTTTAAAGGGAAGCTGAAGCCGGCAACTGATCCGATACAAAGCGAACCAGGCTTGCTTGGTGCTGGTATGCGTGGGAATCACACCAAATCGATGTATTTCGGAGAACTGACCCGGAAGTAATAGTCTTCCTGTCCCGGAATCTGAAGACCGCTTAAAGCTTCTGTTTGGTTCGTACAACCTCAGAGTACAAGTCAATCCAACCGGATCCTCCAAGCTCAACGGCTTGGTAGGAAGGCTTTTTCCCTCAGGTTTGGTTTGGGAAAGGAAGCTTGCACACATGTTTCGTGTCACTGCAAGCCAAATCGACAAAGGCGAGTCAGGCGACATCTCACTTCCCGGTCCTGGTGCCCTTGGTTTCTAGCCACTAAAGGAGTCCACCGGGCATCTCTCAAGATCAACCAGGGTTCTGCTGGTGGGGTCCCCGTAATATTGGCCCCAGGTTCACAAGCCCCTGGTTATTGATTACTGTGGGGGTGTCACTGGTTTTTAGTGGGGATGTATCGCTTTTGCAGGGGGGACACCCCCCATATTTATCAACGGGGGTTTATGAATCCGGGGTCAACATGTTGTCCACATCAAACGAAAAATTGCCTTTGGGTGCACCGAGCTTCTTCCTTTTGAGCTAATTGAATATCATGCCTTCAACTGGGGGGGACCCCTCAAGTGCTTGGTTTCCCTTTCGTTTCCCTTCTAATACCGACTGAAAGGGGGTTCCCCCAAAAACACCACACCCACATCTGTGCGAATGGCAGATTCAATTGAGCAGCCCTTTCAAAACCCCCGCTCTCTGGTTTCATGGGGTGTGCCCCCTTTGGAGGCAAGAACTTTATAAAACGGCACACCCATACGTCTGTCGAAGGCAGGGGTTTGCCCCCCTTTGGGGGGAAGCAGTTTTGATCGTACGGCCCCAAAATTTGACGGTCCATGGGCCAGGTCACGGAGAAGAATATCGACGTGGCGCGGGAGAGCTACAGGCGGGATTTCGCGTTGGAACGTGGGCCCTTCGCCAGCCCTCGGGTTGTAGGTTCGTGATGCTCTTTTTGTTTGGCAGGTATCGGTAGAACCGTCAACTAACCCTCAGTTGTTGGTTTGGATTGTTTGTCGGATGGGCGATTTGAACCCCTGGTTCCTGTAGACGGTAAATGGGAAACCACCCTTAAACCACCAAACACCGGGCTGCAAGCCACCAACAAGGGAGGCTGACAGTTGACGCACCAAACTCCTTGGGTCCTTTTTCATGGCGTTTGATGCGGGTTGATGGCCCAAGAAGGCCCACCGAGAGAGGAACTGCCACCCTTCGTTTCGCGCTGATGTTGGGTCTGTTGCAGCGTCGACCTCTCACTGCACCTGCCACCAATCAATTACCACACGTTGAGCCCGTTGCACCAAGCTCTGACTCTAACACTGCTTTAGCAGCAATCATGGAGGCATTCACCCACTTCAGTGGTCAACGTGATTCCTTCGAATTCCTTGTCTGTTCCTTACCCGTTTGAATGCTGAGTATTTTGGCGCTAGGATTGCCTGATTCGACAACCCCTTTTTGCACCCCAGAATATCTTGGTTCCAAGCTGGACCCCCAATGCACCCTTAGCCTCACTGCTTAAAAAGTGGGTTGCCACTTGCCGGCAAGACATCCATTCGGCCGCGCCTGCTTTTGAGGTACATTGAAAACGGAAACCAGCCATTTTGGGGGCCTCTATTTTGAGACATGCCCATTTGCTGAACTGAATCGAGTTGTTTCTTTTCCCCAGTTTTCAAAGGGAATCTATCCAGCTGAGCTGGACGCGTCACTGGATTTCCTTTTCGCAAGTTGCAATTTACTGGTGGCTTCCATTGAAACCGACCACCGGGAGGAATTGGTATCAGAATTTCAAGGGGTACCTTCCCCATTCTTTCCAGGGATCCTTCTTTCTAAAAAACCTCCAGAAACTCAGGGAAAATATCCTTTAAGAAAAAGACAATAACCATATTGTTATTTTAAGAACGATGGTTGAAAAGAATGGGAAATCACCCCCTAGAGAATTACCCCCCAAATTCTTCCATTCGGATGAAATTCTCGGCGAGGCCCGTGGCGTTCCGCACCTCAGTGCTCTTCTTCTGCATCGTGGAGCTCACAAACATCGACCCCATGTATCAGCAGCTCGCCCCCATGGGTTTTGGAGTTCACAGGATTTCTTGGGGGAAGAAATCAACGGGAAAATCATCATGTTTGTGGGCTGCATGTCATGTTGACACACCCATGCATTCGCAAGTTGAGCGAAAATTTTGCATGATGGGTGTCGAACGACGGCCTGGACAATGAACAGTAGATGCATATGCTTTGCACACATGGGGCACCCCAGTTCCGGGCAGGCTAATTTGCAAGGAAACAATCACCTCTGAAGGTTGACACTATTTCTCTCTCAAGAAGTCGTGGATTCTTTTGGATCTAATTCATCAAAATCCAGCTGAGCTACTGTGGATGGACGAAATCCTGCACCACCTAAGAAGCCCCGGAATGATGAATCCCCTGCAAATACCCATGAACAATGATTTCCCATGGTTTCCAAGTGGTGCAGGATTTCGTCCATCCACAGTATCCACAGAAGGTTTGCATGAATTAGACGGGACATTGCCTGGAGCAAGACTGCGGCGCTTTGCTTGGTCTTTATTTGTTTTTCCTGAGCGCTGTAGTCGTTTTCCCCAACTTGGGAAACATTTTACATTTTTGCTTCTTGTGGTTTAGTGGTTGAACTCCAAATCCACTGAACTGCGAAGATTTATTATTTTGCTCCCCTTCCAACGTCAGCCTGTGGTTCTTGTGGATAAATGGGAAGCCCGGAACACCACCAAACCGGTCTCCAAACCGGCAAGCTTGGAGCTGAAGTGAACCAAGTCCAGACTGCCGCGCGCTCAGGTATGTTCTGGGAGCAAAGAGAAGCCCAAAACGGATTCGCCGGGGGTAGCCTTGAGACTCAAGTCCATTGATTCGCCGACCTGCACGTTTTCAGGTACAGCCTGCAATGGTTCCAGAAGCTCTTCACCATCGCTGTCGACACCTCCCCCAAGGCGGACAACTTGGACGAGCGCCCCATGGCAGAGGTTTCATCAGGGTGGTTTGGGGTGGTGGGAACTGGAGCTGGATGAACGGGTCCCTGGCAAGTGGGAAATTTGCCCCCTAACAATGGGTTGTAACCAAGTCCTGGCTTGGGGTTGGTCGGAATGGATTTGGATTTGGACGGGCCCCTGCGAATGGGGTGACATCACCCCCCAAAATCTTCAGCAATATCCTGATGTTAAGGCCATCAGGTACCCCTCAATTGGTGGATTGGTGGTTTGTTGATTTGAACCTATGCCTCTTGTGTGGGCAAGTGGGAAACCAGTCCAATCCACCAATTCAAATCACCACTCAGCGGGAATCTGAACTTAGGTCTGTGCAACTGGTGCGGATGTTCACTGAGTTGGAAAAACAATGTTAGCTGGTGGCTAGAATCCTGAGAGATGGAATGCCTATGCTACAGGGCCCAACTGTAGTCATGTTCAAGTTTGTTTTTTGCATGTAGACTTGTTTGTTTTGTTTGCTTCCTGGGGTATTTTGTTTGTGGTTGATTCTCAGTTTTTGTTTGCGCCCACCGCAACGGCATATTCCCTTGTCCTTTTGTTTTGCCCGGTTACACTGCCCTCTCCCCCCTCCCCCTTCAAACATATTTGTCTCTATCAAGCCGAACATGCGTGGCATCCTAGGTCCCCCAGCTAGGTTCCCTTTTACCGTTTCTTTTTTGGTTGGGAGGAAACCCCCTACAAGCATAGACGTCCAGAAAAAAAGGTAAGTTGGTACCAACTTATTGTATCCTCTCTGGAGGACCTTAGGCTTCCCCTACAAAAGTAGACGTCCAGAAAAAAGAAACGCGTTACCCACTTATTCTAAGCTCTCTGGATGAGTGGCATCCCGTCTCCGTCTCCAAGGCCTGGGCATTTTGAAAAGCTTCTTCACCGAGCAGCTGTACCAGTCCATCTGCCGCGGCCTCTTCGAGAAGGACAAGACCCTCTTCTCCTTCGCACTGTGCACCAGCATCCTACGAGGCAACTCCGCGCCCAAGATTTGTGGTGCGAAAATTGTGGTGGAGCCAGGATTCCAATGCTTCGAACCCACGTTCAATGGCTGGCCAGGGGTACACGGGCACACCTCAAATGTAAAGATGATATGTATATAAAGACTAATTCTATTTGAAGGTAAAGCTCACTTTTGATAACTGTATAAAGCCATATGGCAGACTTGACCCGGCTGTACAGGGGTACCGGTTGTAAATGGTAGGCTCCTGAGGGCTAGGGGGGGCCCAGAATTTCCAATGCTTCGAACCCACGTTCGGTGGCATTGAACACCACGTTGAGACACGTTCAAGTGAGCTTGCTGTTGGTGGGGTGATGTTCGATTGGGCTTCACGACTATGTATATACACATTCATATGTGAGGATGCTCTCAGTTTGATCGAACATTGAGCTATATCAAGCCGAGCAGTTCTTCGATTCACAAGTCTGTCGTTCACTTGGACATGGCTAGTGACTTGGGTAGCTTGTCATTCTCGAAGGAAGCTCCTCCCATTGCCGTGAGCCATGGCAATTACTCGGAAGGCAACCTCTGCCAGGGGCTTTTTTCCTATTTACCCTCCCACCAATTAACACGGAAGCTGACGTTCGGGACCCAGACCCTTCAAAAGGAGAATGGTCCGAACTAGGACCCCCGGAATTTCAGGTGGTGAAAATTCGGAGCGGCTGCAGGTGACAAGCTGCTGGATGACCAGGAGTTGCGATATTTGCTGGTGCTCGGCTCAGCTCATACCTGGAGTGGTCCGACGTTTCCCGTGGTTGTCAGGCGCCCCCGCAAAGAAGGAACTGCAGCCTTGGTAGGCCTCATTAGTCACTACTAGCCCCTGTTAGGATTGAGGGGCCGTGCAGTGTTCTTCAGTCACGGTAACGGTAACGGCTTCCACCGCGATCCGTTCGGTTTGGACGTGGATGCCCAGTGTGCACAGTCTCTTGGAAAGCACCCACCGCTGTCTCTGTCAGAGAAGTCCTGCATGTTCAGCGATGTTTTTCTACATCTTTGTTATGGGAGCCAGCTTCAACATCGCTAGCAACACCTGCCCTCCAACCAATTAACATGGAACCTGACAGAGGGTCCCTTGAAAACGACAATGGTCCAAGCCAGAACCCTCCCCCCCAAAAAAAAACACCAAACACGTCAGGGTTCCACGTTAATCGGCGGCGTGGCAACTGAGACACTTCCGTCGGTTTGATCAAGTGGATCATCTCGTGCCGCTTCGAAGCAGGTTTTCTTTTGCCGTTCCAAGCAGCCAGGTGAACCACAATCAAAACCCGGGTCGACCATTTTAAAACCGGATTTTGATTGTGACTCAGGTGGATGGACAACATTTCCACTTTGCAGAATGGATTCTTCCATAGGGTTCCGCATGACTGCCTTTCTAGGCTGCCGATTTCCTCGTGTTTCTGGCGTTGCGGGGATGCAAGGGTTTGATATCCACCAAACAAGCTCCCGGCTGTCGCTTAGCAGCTGTGCTAGCCAGACCCTCCCCAGTTTTCTCTTCAACAAATTGGCAATCCACTGTGAATCTGGCAGAGGCCTGTACGCGTTGCCTCACGAAGTAGGACCTTTTGGATGCAACGGCAGATAGGAAGAGAGAGAGAGAGAGAGAGAGAATCAACACCAATTGAAAAATGATCCTTCTCAGCACAAGTTGGCCCATCCAATAAAAGATGGGCAGTTTCCAAATTGAGAAGGATGGGGGAAGAGGAATCCACGTGGAATCTCTTCAACAAGTTGGTCAATCCAATCGAACAATGGGTGGAATCGACCTTTCATCACGGCTAATTGCCATTTCTGGAAGACCACCCTTCAGCAAAGTCTTTGGCTTCATGTAGCGGGGCAGATCAGTGGTTGTTGGCTGCAGTCCAGGAAGCTATCCAATCGCTGAGGTTGTCCGGCATCCCAAACTTGAGGGAATTCCCCAGTATGATCTCAGGGGACAAACCAAATCTGAAAGGTCCAGCTCTTTTGGAGGAACGTGAGCCTTAGAGCCCAAGCTTATCTATCCCACCGCCATGCGGCCCCTTGGCTTGGCGAATGGCCCGTGCTCTTTGGACCTCTTTGGCCTGAGGTTGGGCCCACCAGCGACATGGTGGAGAAAGGCCCCGCGGTGCCGGAGGAGTGGGTGGGCAAGCCCCGCTGGAACGAGATCCTCACCTTGGCCACGCTGCCCGCCGCTCGGCGCCGGAAAAGAACAAAAAGTGGGCGGCGCGGCGTTTTGCCTTTGAGTGGGTACCCCTGGTTTCGGTGGCTGGAAAAGGATACTTATGGAAAAACACCGATTTTTCTTGTTTGGGAAGGGGTGGGGGGCAAAAAAAGACACACGCTGTGACTTTTGTTTTTAGTTGGTACTCGTGCTTTGGTTGAAAGGGTTCACCAAAAGGATAATCTCCAGTTTTGGGCCCGCGGAGCCCGCCCATCCATCCAATTTGGGCGCGGGACCTACTGGCGAACCAAACACATATGGCCATGGGTCAAAACCCATGGGATCCCATTTTGGGGTAACCACCCAGTTTTTCCTTTTGTTTTGTGGCTGCCCCACTAAAATTGTCTTCCCAAAAAAGGGTTCCCTTTTTTCCAGGGTCACTGAACAACTGAGATAAGGCTCAAGAAAGGAGTCTTAGGTGAGATCGATTCCAAGCCCTTTAGGGCACTATCCTTTGCCCAGACTCTCTAGCACTCATTGGATTTCCCGCAAAGTTACACGATATGCTGGTCCAATGATGCTGCTTTAAATACAGAACTGGGAAACTGAAAGACCCATACTCAATAGTTCAGGTTCAGTGGTGCTAGACAGTTCAGTCTGGCAAAGCTTCAACCCCCACACAAAAGCGGCTTGCCCTCGGCAAGTAAGTTTCGGGTTGGATAACCATTCACAGTTCGGTCCAATGGGTATCCAAAAGGGGACCTCCAAATTTAACGGCCGACTCCAAAACAACTCCATTCACAGGCATCCAGCCCTTCTAGAAAATCTCCCTGAGTTGGGTGGCTCCTCTTTCTTCCTTTCTTTTGGCAGCAGTTTTTTCAGGGAAGGGTCCCGTTGGCTGGCCGTCTTTTTCAAAGAAAGGGCGCCCTTTTTCGGACAGCCGGTGGTGAAACTTCTCGGTAAAATCTCAGCGGCCGCAGGCCTTCACGGGTTTCTCGGACTTCTTCGCGTCGCATGTGGGGGAGTTCAAACGCATCTACGACTCCGTGGAGGCACGAGGGGGGTTTGGGGTGGGGTGGGGTGGGGTGGGGTGGGGTGGGGTGGGGTGGGGTGGGGTGGGGTGGGGTGGGGTGGGGTGGGGTGGGGTGGGGTGGGGTGGGGTGGGGTGGGGTGGGGTGGGGTGGGGTGGGGTGGGGTTGGGGTGGGGGGTTGGGGTGGGGGGTTTGGGGGGTTGGGGGGGGGGGGTACGAGGGAACTTTATGTATAATGTGAACGGGCCATTCGCCTTCTGATAACCAAGTCCTGGTTAAGAGAATTTGTAAAATTCTAGATGGTTCCAGCCCAGGAGGGGCCCTGCCAGGACCCTTGATTTTTAGATTTTTTAGAATTTTTGGAACTTTTAGAAATTTTTGGAATTGAGTTCTAAAAATTCTAAAATTCGGACCCCCACAATTTAGAATTTTTAGAACTCAATTCTAAAAAATCTAAAAATCGGACCCCGAAATGTAGAATTTTTATAATTCTAGATGGTCCCAGCCCAGGAGGGGCCCAGCCAGGACCCTTGATTTTAGATTTTTTAGATTTTTTAGAACTTTTATAATTTTTAGAATTGAGTTCTAAAAATTCTACAAATTCTAAGCTTCGGGGTCCGATTTTTGGAATTTTTGGAATCGAATTCTAAATATTCTCGAAATTGTAAATTTGCGGGGTACGAATTTTGGAATATTGAGATTTTTTTAGAACTCATTTAAAAAGCTTCTAAAAGGTCTAAAAAATCAAAAATCAAAAACAAACTCTAAAAATCAAGGGGCCCCTCCTGGGCTGAGACCATCTAGAATTCTAAAAAATCTAACATAGAGTTTTTTTGAGAGTTCAATTCTATAGTTTCAACATCAAAAAACATTGAGCATCCTGCACGCCCCTAAGCTAGGACGTGAAAGGCATGTCGCCCCCTTTGTTCGCGAGCAAGCAGAGAGGTTGGAAAGAGTGAGGAATGGATGGGAAGGTGGAGGACATGCCTCTCACTAGCGTAAAAGGGGTAGGAAGAGAAATGAAAGATGCTTCTCTTTTTAGCTGTTGGATGGGGTGAAGGCAATTCACCCTTTCATGCTACTCCTTTCTCTTTTCCACGCCTTTACCCACAACCGCAAGTAGCTGTGTGTTGGATAAAGGCTTGGGAGACGAAGGATAGAGAGTGAGGGATAGAGATGAATGCTGGGCCAGCCCTCACAAGGCTTCTCTCTTCGTTCGTCCATCATTATCTCTTCATCCACATCCTTTATCTCTCCTTAAAGGCCGGGAGAGAAGATAGGAACAGGACAGGCAATGGAGCTTCAGCTCGTCTCATGCCTTCGCCAGCTCTAGAGCCAACATAAGAGAGGGAGAAGGGGTGACATCTCTTTCTCTCACGTAGAGTCCTTGCCATTATTTCAGAATGAAGAAATGGCGTGGGAAGGCGCGTTAGAGGGAGATGACCAGCTCCTCCATCATTGTCCTATCTGTTAGAGCTGTGGGGCCAACGGAGAGAGCAAGAGAAAGAGGGTCAACAGGTAAAGATGATTGGGGAAGAGATAGAGAGTGAACGGAAAAGCTGGGACAATAAGGACATTCCAGCTCGTCTAGCTTTCATTCACTTCCCTTCTCTTGACCTCCCTCGTTTCTGGGCAAGAGGTTGGGAAAGAGAAGCTGAATAGAGGTGAAGAAAGAGGAATTCACTTGAAACTGCTGGAAAGAACTGGCCAGCGGAGGGGATTTCCTCTGGCCACCTCTCACCTAATCACTTTACCTCTCTCGTCATCAAATTCCTTTCTCCTTTCCATTCTCACCGTTGCAACGGCTAGGAAAGAAGAAGGGGTGAAGAGATAGGAGAGAGAGCTAGAATGAAGAACCCAGATGACATGAAAGACGTTCTGGATTCTGTGACATGGTTAAGGGAAAGGAGATGTTGGTGATAGAGAGGGAGAAGGAGTTGCATTCCTTCCTCTTGCATACAATCCTCGCCACTCCAGAATTAAGAGATGGCAAGGGATTGCGTGTGAGAGGGAGATGACCAGCTCCTCCATCATTATCCTACCTGTTAGAGCTGGAGCTGGGCAAGGAATGTCTCTCTCCACTACTTGTTGTGAACTCTAGGGATCGCATGCCAGGTAAACGACCGGAGAGAGCGAGAGAGAGATGGAGGGCGGTCATATGATGGCTAATGAAAGAGAAGGCGCCATCATCACTCTCACTTTTTACCTCTCATTACCTACCTCCCATCATCTCTAGCTTCTAAATCTTGCATGTGGATGAGGGAGGAGATAGGATGAGAGGGAAAACGGGACAAGGTGAGCCCACCCACTCTCTCCTTCACCCACCTTTTTAATCTCCTTTTCTCTCGCTTGCAGGTGATGATGAGTGAAGAAGCGAGCGAAGAGTCAGGGCAAGCAAGGAAGAGACAGGGAAAGAGATGTTACTATCCTAAAAATGTTTCCATATTCTAAGAGTATAAATCAGAGACGCTTTATCATTTGAGATGCTTTCCATCTCTTGCATTCCCTTTCTCCATTCTATTTCCCTCTCATGTCACTCCCAAAGCTATTAAAAGAGAACGGGAATGACAGGTAAAGATGATTGGAATTGGACAATAGGGACATTCCAGCTTGTCTAGCTTTCATTCACTTCCCTTCTCTTGACCGCAAGAGGTTGGGAAAGAGAAGCTGAAAAGAGGTGAAGAAAGAGGAATTCATTTGTAACTGCTGGAAAGATTTTCTTTTCTCCTTTCCATTCTCACCGTTGAAACGGCTAGGAAAGAGATAGGAAAGAGAATTAGAATGAAGAACCCAGATGACTAAGGAAACAGAATGGTTGGATGGCCATCCATCTCCTTGCCCACTCTCTCATCTCTTTCCCCGCCCCCACCTCCATCTCAGCTTCAAGGAAGCTGTAGGTGGTGAGGAATAGAAATGAAGGGGGGAAAGGGTGGTGGTAAGGTGGTAAGATAGAGGCTTGAATCATGAGGCCAGACAGCCATCCTCCCCTCTGGCCTTTTTTTCTTGGCATATCTTCACTTTCCAAGAATATCTTTTACCATCCTCATCCATCTCCCAGCCAATGAAAATGAGGTGAGGGGATGGGGCCGTGAGATGGCCAAGCAATGGGTTTTTCCCTCTCTCTCGCCCTTCTCTCCCTCTCTACCTCCCATCACCCAACCTCTGCTTCCGAGAAAAAGAGTTGGGGTGATAAAGGGAAACAAGAAGGGGGGAGAAATAAGCAATGGAGATTCCTTAGCCCACCCTTCCTTGAGATCTTATTGGTAGGCATTTCCTGTCTATAGACTCTCTAGACCCAATTATGAATTGATTTTTGTAATCTACAGTACCAAGTCTTGGTCATTTCTGTATCACCTATTAATCACTTGTGTCTACTTTGCTCCTTTGATAAGACTTCTGAAGTCCATGACATCAATAATCGCAAGGCAAGAGAAACACCAAGAGCTGAGAAAGATAATTAAATATGAGATACGCTAAAATAGATTATAAAAAATGTTGAATTGGAATTAGTTTCTGGATTGACCTGACCGTGCAAATCTGCGACGCTGCTATCCCTTTTTTCGCGCAGATCAAGTGGCAAGTGCTGAAAAAGGAGCCGGTTCACATTATACGCATTGTTCCCTGCCACGGGGGGGGGGGGGGGGGTTCTGGTGAAGTGGGTTCCGCGGGCTTTGAGCTTGGCTTGATGTCATTGACGTGTCAATGTTCGATTTGTCCCATGTCCAAGAAAATAGCTGATACAAGTATATAATAGCTGTGCATCAGGGCGCATTGGGCATAAGAGGAATCTAGAAAATGTATGCGAGGTCAAGGGGAAGCATGACAAACACTCCGTGACGATGCCCGAGGCAGAGGGCATTAAGCGACCCTCAAAGTTCGGCCCAAAAGCGACCTCTGCCAGGCTGACAAGGAGCCTTTGCCTGGCAACTGGGAAGAGAAGCTGACGCCGATGCAAAAGTGCCGCGATCCAAATCCGGAGTGCCGGCTAGGCTGCCATCGACTGTGTCAAATGTCTTCTAATTGGTTTACGAATTTCTTCCTTCCATCCCTCCGATGCAGATTGGGCAAACCTCTATTTGTGTTTGTGTTGAGGCTACCCTTGCAGGCGCTGGTTACAAGGGAAACCGAAAAAGAATCCCGGTATTTCGACACGCCCATTCCTCTTCAAAATTTCATTACAGAGCCTCGACTTTCGCAGTTTTTGCTTGGGCCGCATGACACGTATGGTCACGGCATCCATGACAGCAGGGAGTTCGATTGTGGGCCCTGTGTTGCCCAGGTGCTTCATGCGCATGTCAGAGGTCATGCTGTGTTGTGAGTCTTTCTTGTTGTTCCTCGGATGTTGTTTGGCCTTCTGTTTGGAAGTATGTTTCCCTTCTTGTTTGCTTGGCTCACGAAAAATGGCCCACTGGAACACCCAACAAACAATGAACCCCTTCTTTTCTGGTTTTGATCCACAAAATGCCGCAAGGCCGAAACCGCGTTGGTCCATTTCGTGGTTCGATTGTACGGGGTAGGGGATCAGAGGGCTTGTGGCTTGAGGATTTGTTTCGTGCGGGCGATGCGCATCGACTGCCTGAAGGCAGGCTTTGGCCGTGGTTTCAATGGCGAGTTCCAAAAAATCCATTTTCTGCGCCAGTGGCCATCGTTTCAAGGGAAGCAGCAAAATGATAAACTTCGATGGATAAACAAAATCCTGTACCAAACAAGTTGGTGGTCTATCGCACCAGGTTTCATTTATCCCTGCTATATTTTTGTTCCACGCGTGTGATGTTTTGTCTCGACATGGCTGAACATTAGACCCAGACAAACATGGTTTGGGTACCCCACTGGCAAGCCACAGCCTAGCTATGGAAGGATTCCGGCCTTCACAAGGATGCAGGGATCACCGCGGAGAGAATTTCTCCACAAAAGGGCCCGCAGTCTTTGCGCGCAGGGTGAAAGCTTGATTGCGAGCCTTCCGATGTTACACTCACGATGTTTGGTTCAGCCACTCGCATAAAGGGAAAGACCATGCAGGTCTACAGAAATTACAGTGTCAGCCACACTGACAAAACCCGCACCATGCCTAGATCAGAGCGCAAGCGACCACAACCTCTACTGCCTTAGCAGGTTCCAACTCACCGCGTGCTGGTTGTCAGTCCGCAGAACTTCCTCGCCTTGATGGGAACCCTTCCTCCCTTCGCAGAACCTTCTCGCGGGTCGTCTAAATTTCTCTTCATTACTACCTGGAGTCTCAATGACCCTTTAAAATAGGTCCATGACCCCATTATTTAGGGTACTGACCCCCACTACCCCCGCAGAAGTTCGTGGCGCCTCCTCTTGTAGCCACCCCGCAAAGTGCGTAACAGAGCCGCTCTTTGCTCCGTAGCCCATGACTCTCCTGCGCCTTCCTCTGCTTTTGGATGCTTGTCAAACGAGCCCTCGTTCTTCGACTCGAACGTACGAAAGCAAGCATAGAGCAGCTGAACTATCATGACAATCTTGAGGCAGTTCGGAGGCCATCCGCTACCTTGCTGCTTGCGGCATAACCCGATGCACGTAGTTTGCATGATGGCAGGTAGTCCGACCCGGACTAAAAAAACACTAAGATAGAAGCCAGTGCATTAGCAATCAGCCTAACATAGTGAGGCGTCGTGGCACATCATTTGTTGTGCCGTGTTGGTGCGGTTTGGGTGAATCCTTTGTGCACCAAAGGCGTCTCTTGTTTGTTCTATGGCAGGGTGCGCGCAGCTTATCTCTTGGCATCCATCCTTCGCATCCACGACTTCCCTTACAAGAACACGTCTCCTTCATTTGTGAGGGTTCTGCACAGGGCTTCCAGGGCTTCCGAGGCTCCCGATGTTCGATTTTCCCAACTCGGTGTCTTTTTGCGCGCGAAGTCGTGGTGGCTCCCAGCCATCCGGTTCCTTAACTTTTTAGCCTTTTAGTGTTTAGTGGTAGTTTCCATTTCGCCCACTAAAAGTTATTATTTTCACTTTTCGCGGGGTATCAGATCTGAGGCCAGCCCAGAAATCAGCTCCCCCCCGGTTTTCATTTGGGAGGGTTCTTCACAGGGCTTCCGAGGCTCCCCATGTTCGATTGGCTTCCGAGGCTTTCCATGCTCGATTTGTCCTCCCTCGGTTCCTTTTTCCGCGCGGGACATCGGCTTGCGAAGCGGGCGGCCGCCTGCCGCCTGCCGCGCGCGCCGCGCGGAACAGGCGGCGTTGATCACCTTCATCTCGAACCAGATCGGCGGGCGCTTCGTGGAGCCCCCCACCTTCGACATCTCCAAGTCCTTCGCGGACTCCGTGCGCCTCGAACGAAGCAACCCCCCAGCTAGGTGCCCTTTGACCCTTTCGTTTTTTGGGGGTTCAACGAGCTCAGCATGGTAAGATCCTTTACTTGAAGATCCCCTACATCGCTTGAACCAACTTTTTTGAGGGAGGGGTCCCCTACTAACATAGACTACAGAAAGAAGTTGGTACCCTGATTCTAACCTCTCTACTGGAGGACCTAGTCTAAGAATTTTGGGGGGGCGGGATCGGTCCGGGGCAGACGTCTGAAAAGTTGCTCGGACCCGACGAATTGGAGGTCTTGGACCTGAGCGGCTTTTTACCCGAAAAATGGCTTGGCAGAGTGTTGAGGTTCGGTAATTCGAGTTTCATCCCGCGCTGGTGCGAACACCTGCTTCGGTACTAACAACATGTTGATCCACTTGCAGGGAGTCCAAGACCGGAGCCAAATGCCTTCGAACATGGCCCAAACGGGAAGGCGCAGGTCAATGGGCATTCGATTCCCGGTTTGTTTTCACGGCGACTTGAAGCGCATGCCATGGCTGGTCTACAGTCTGTGCTGTTGGGTGAGTCTTAATGGGACAGGGGTCCTCGAAAACATGGAAGCCCATGGTAAATGCTAACATGCCCCACTTCAACCGGGTCCCTTCAAATCGAGCATCCTCAAACTTCAGTTTGGGCTTTAGGTATACTCGTTATTCGGTACTTGTCTTAAAAAATAAGGTCTCCCGTTTTGGACTTGTTTGCCAGAGGAGCAGCAGAGCCATGTGAGAGATGGCATAGATATGGCACATGTATGCAAACTATGCAGGAGTGCCTGGAACACGTTCTTGGTCAAGCAAGGCCAACTCCCGTTCGGGGTTGTTTGGACACCTTTTTTTTTTGCCCTTGCGATGGTTGGTCGCTTTGTCGGTCGGTCGGTCGCTTAGTGGTCAGGTCTTCCTTTCTCACATTCGGAGCGGGTTTCGAAGTTCTTCTGGCCCAGGAACACGACGCCGCTGATCTTCATCCTGTCCCCGGGCACGGACCCGGTGTCGGACGTCATCGCCTTCGCCGACAAGCTTCTTGGCCGAGTTGTGTTTGGGGACATTTGACCTGGGAAGGGCGCGAGTTAGGTGGGGTGGCGCTTGGTGGACATTTGGAGTCGATTCTGTCACCATTGTTTGAGGGTGTTGGTTATGTTGGGTGGGGTGCCAAAACAAAGTGTCTGAGTGTCCATGGCACAGGGGGGGACCGGAAGGAGGAAGGGAGGAGCGAGGTTTCTTGACCGAGGATGTTGTTTGGTACCGTAGTTTTGGAAGCTGGGAGAGCGTATTCCCATTTTGTCTTTTCGTTTTGTTTTTCTTCTTTCTTTTTTCTGGTCACCCACGCAAAACAGATATCTGGTTTTCCTTTAGGTTTGTTGTCCTTTAGCACTTCAACGAACAGCGTGGCCTCAAAAAAAGACAAGACCCATTTGGTTGCCGGAGAGATGGCCTTTTTCAGCCACCAGTACTTGCCATGGAATGTTGTGCCTGGTGCAGCTTCCGAGCAATGCGACTCGAGTCGTATGTTGTCTTTTTCCCCGGGGTCGCCCGTTTTTGAGGGATGCTTGTAGCTTGTTGAAGTTGGTCCGTCTTGATTGGGCGTACCCATGTTTGGTGGTTTTAATGGGAAACCAAAAGGACAACCTCACATTTTCGAGGGACCCCTTCCAAAAACACCCAAGTTGTGTTCACATCCAAACCAGCCAGGTGACCCAAGGCAGCCAAGCAAGCCATTAGCGCGTCATTGCGCTACGGGGCGCGCGGTCGAGCTTCATCCTGGCCCGGCCGTTGTTTTCAAATGTACAGTAATTGGATCGATCCAGTTGCTTTCTTTTTCCCATGCACTTTAAAAGCCAGCAACATCGACTGAAAAACAGCAGCAACCTGGCTATCTAGGTACAGTTTGCAACATGTCATAAACATACGGACGAAGCAGTGCTTCTCACATCAGGGCACCATAATTTTCCATCAACAATCACCCAGCCAGAAGGACTCTCACTATAAATGGCCCAAACGGCCATGTTCAAAGCATCCCAAAACGGGAAATATAGGGATTCCGCTCAAGCTGAATGCTGGCGTGCGGGCGCTTGAAACATGTGGGCGGTTTTGGGAGGCCGAAAAAAAACAAGGGCCTCTCCCGCTCGAGCTCAAATGATTTGCAAAAAACAAAAAAAACATTGGGGATCAAAGAAGACATGTTCAAAGCAAACCCTCTTCCCGTATAGCGGAATGGCAACCAGCGGAACCAGCCTTTAAACCAATTGGAGAATGGCTGGTAGCTGGATTCATTACTGAGAAATATGATATCTTGAAAACACATGAAAACACCTTTCTGTAGAAAAGGAGCTGGTCATATTTCTGGGGTGTACCGATCCTTGTGTTTCAACACGTGAAGCCAGGATGGAATTTGGGACGAAGGGGCCCTGGACACTCCACTTGGACGCTGCCCCCAACTTGCGCCACCCAAAATTGCTCCCTCACATGCAACCAGGAGTCGGAGTCTAAACGAGATTTCTTCCCATTCAAAGGGCCTCCGATCCGAACACCACAGAATCTGATGTGATTTTGCGTCAGGCTGAACATGGCGAAGCGCTTCGAGTCTATCTCGTTGGGCCAGGGACAGGGACCAAAGGCCATGACTCTCGGCTTGCGACCCGTTGGGGGAGCTGATGTGGAATTTCCACCTGTCACTCACTTGTATTGTTGTGATTTCTCGCGAGTTTTGCGGGCTTTGACATACCTGCTCGAACCCGTCTCTTTTTTCTGTGTGTGATGTTTGTTTCTTCATCAAGCTTTCGATACGTGTGGTGCGGCCAGAGTTTGTGTCCGAAACCAAGCTGAAAATGTGGGTGTGTCTTTTTTTCGGGGGCCCCCCAATTTGTATTTCGGTTTTCCTATTGGCGTCCAATTGAAACCACCAAAAACCTCCGGGGAAACCACAAAAAAAGCCGAGACGAGGCCCCCACCAAGTGGGGCATCAGCTTAGGAAGCTGATCGAGCAGGCCCAAGGCTCGGGTGGCTGGGTGCTCCTCTCCAACTGCGCCCTGGCATGGGAAAAACGTCAGCGTCGGTTTGGTGGGGGGGGAGGGGGGGAGGCAGAGGGGGGTTGCTGCCTGGAGCCATGCTTGGACAGGTTCTCGTGCGAAAAGCATGGATTAACTAAGTGCCTGGGTATCCTGAATCTTCCCAATTCAAACAACAACTCATTAAGTCAAGCGGCAGCGTGAAAGAACAGCACAAGTTCCACAGCGCGCGTTGTGAAAACGCAGAGTTTCGAGGCTATAGGCCGCAGAAGGTGATCACCTTGGCTTTCGTCCAAACGGGGCAAGTCCTTGGTTAGTAGAAGCAGTTGAGGTCCACTGGTTTAGATTGGTTTGATACACCACTTACCAGGGAAACCACAAGAGGACACCTGTGCAAATGAGTGCCCCCCCCCCCACCCACCCCACCCAAAAAAAAACACACGGCCCTCCGATGACTTTGTTTGCGAGGCCACTTGATGGAGAGCTGGATGCCCACGCTGGAGGCCATCGTGGAGCAGTTCAACGGGGAGAACATGCAGCTTGAAAATCAGAGAGAGAGAGAGAGAGAGATTTGCCGACAGAAATGTGCTCTGTCTCTCTGTGTGTGTGTGTGTGTGTTTGTTTTTGTTTGCTTAAGATAATCTCCTGTTTTTAAGGGAATCTATCACCACTGCTGGGAGCGAGATAGACTTCCATTTGGTGACAAGCAAAATGTGTTTGTGTGTGTGTCCGTGTGGTTGTCCGTGTGTTTAACCAAACACATCCCCTGTTTTGTTAAAGGGAATCTATCACCACTGCAAGTATCAGTTTTGTTTCTTCCATATAATTTAAGCAAATGGGAGAGAGCGGCTGGCTGCTTCCATTTGCTCAGCGTATTGTTGACCCCGAAGTAATAGACCCGTCCTGTCACCAGGGGGTGTTCCAGCGACCCCTAAAGCAACAGCCCACGCCTCGCATGGACCCGAGCCGAGCAGAGCGGACATTTTTCTGAGGCAGACCAGCTTCCGGCTGTGGCTCACCTCCATGCCAGCAAAGTCCTTCCCTGTGCAGGCCGGAGACAGAGCGGAACACGCCTCCGTTTCGGCTTCCGAAATGGTCGGGAAGCGAAACTACTGTAGGTCCCCAGCAGTTGGTGCCCTTTCTCAGCCGTTTCTTTTTTGCTGGGAGGGACACCCCCTACTAAAACAGACGTTTCAGACAACAGTTGGTACCATTTGTCTAATTTTTTCTATTGGAGGACCTAGGAAACATTCCAACAGGGGTGACGTAAAAAGGGCTGGAGCTTGGACTGCCGGTCTTGGGTCCATGGACTTTGTTCAAAGCCTCTCACCCAAGTCCGGGAGGTGTTCCACTTCCAAAAGCGATTTGGAGTTGGTATGTGGCAGATTCGAGGGACCCCCGACGTAGTATGGTATGTAATTGTCCGTTTCGTACCCTTTGAATGCAGGTGAGAGGAATACCAACGCTAAAAAACAAGTTCATTGGAGAGGTCAACACACATCCCCATTTGATTTCCGGGTGCCAAGACTGGCTCCGACGTCCTTGATTTTCCTGAAACTTATTGGTTTTGGGTTTAGGCTTTCCGAGCCTTGTCTATCCCCTGAAAGGAAACCTGCAGTTAAATGGTTCAGTTTCGGGACCTCACCTTTTATAACCTTTACAGCCGGCAAGGGCACAGACTCGGGAGCGCAAGCAAGGAGGGTACCCGTTTTTGGGCAGAGTTCCACTTGTTGACTGCAGGGTAGGCTTGAACCCGGCGGTTCATTACCCCAAACGGAGGACCTTGGGGTAGTCAAAAAGTGGAACCCTGTTTCGTGGTGGTTTTACACCCAAAGATTGGCAGGGTCACTGCATTTCTTCAAAATGTTGATCAATTTACTGGCGGAATGTCCATTGAAACTGCCACTTTGGGAGGTTCCCTTCAAGGGAAATGATCGGAAACCCATCCCACTTGTTTGCAGGTTTTGCTAAGGGTACTCTTTTTCGGGCGATCTCAGACCTAAAGAATGGGCCTGGATGGCCAAGTTGCTGCTTTGTTCAGTCACAAATGCTGGTTTTTGGGGTAAAGTGGATGGACAAAAGCGATCGCAACTGGGGATCCAGGGGCGGTTTTCTTCGGAGACCACCTGGGCAGCTCAGGGCACAGTGGTTCAATACCCCAAACGCAGGACCTTGGGGTTGTCAAAAACCCTGTTTTCGGGTGGTCTCAAACCCAAAGATGGGCAGAAACCTCCAGGTGGGGGGGGTTCGTGAAAAGAGCGGCTCAGGTGTTGCAGAACGGGGTGAAGATGACCAACGAGCCCCCGAGCGGCCTGCGCGCCAACCTGCTGCGCTCCTACTCCGCGCTCACGGACGAGGTCTTCAAGGAGGGGGGGGCCGTTTCATGCCCAGAAGACCTTGTGCAAACCCCAATTGGTTCACCCTTCTCGGCAACCACTCATGGTTGTTGTTGGGTATGATGTTTGCTTATTGTGGTTTAGTGGTTGAAATCCCCCGCTGAACTGCAAAAAAACAAATTGTTGCTTCCCTTCCAACGTCAACCCAGGTTTTGGAGTGGGTTTTAAAGGAAACCAACGGGAAAACCACCGTTTTGCGGGGGGGGCGGGGGGGGCGGGGGGGGGCGGGGGTTGGTCTCCGATTTTGAGACAAACCCATGTGTCATATTTTGGGGGTAGGAGAACTATGATTGCTTCTTGTGCGTTTCAGATGTCTTATGTCCCCTGTTGGTTTTAAAAGGGATCTATCGCGACAAAGATGGTCATTTGTCCAGGGCACGCATCCGCAAATGGAAGTTAGGGAATCAATTGTTTGGGAAAACAAACGTAATGTTTAGGGCCCCTTCCCCTATGGTTTTTGAGGGGTAAAGCTGCGTGAGAGCCTTACTATGGTTCACGGCGATGCCCGTTTCTCCCAGCATAGACGGACCGGGAGGTTTGGGAGAGAGATGTTTGTCCCCAGTGATTCCGTTTACCGGGTAAAGGCAGGGAGGACACGGGTTTCAAATCAAAAATGCCAAGTTCCCGCCAAAAGAACACCAGAAATACAGCCCAATCTGCCACAGCCCTGCGATGGATTGGCTCCGGGTGAAGACACATACCTTTTCCCAGCTAAGAGTGGGTGATCATCTTGACTGTTTCCAGCCATACGGTGGTCTGGTTTTTCCCATGGTTTCCACGGGAAGAGCTTGGTCAGCTTGGATGGACATAGACTCTCCTGTAGTTCTCGTGACTCAGTCGAATGCGAATGGGATTTTGTTTCAGCGGCTTTTTGCCTGCTCCGACCAGGAATCCAGGACACTCGATCTGTTTGCCGTATCGGGAAGATTGGAGCTCGACCCTGGTTTTCTTCCCCAGTGAATTGCAGTTGCCACGAATTATAGCAGGCAACCCGCCATTTCCGTTTGATTTTGAACGGCTGGCACGCCATTGCTCGCCTGCCTTTACCAGGTAAACGGAATCACTGGGTTCTCTGACTGCTCAGTCCATGTTCCAGGTCCGCCCCCAAGCTGATCCTTTCATTTCTCGCGCAAAGAAGAACTCGATTTCGGATTGCACTCCGAGCCGTTAGCGCCCAGGAGTCCAACAAGCCGGAGGTCTTCAAAACTTTGCTCTTCGGCTTCTGCTTCTTCCACGCGGTGGTGCAGGAGCTGACTGCGAGACCTCGCTCCGGCCCTCGAGGTGAAGAATTGGCAACCAAATGGTGGAAACCCCGTTTTGCATCCCCTTTGAGGGGTTTCAAAGGTGTTCCTTGCCCTTTTTGGTTAGGCAAATGCTTAGTTAACTTTTGATTTCTGGATGCTTGGTTCCTTCTTCTTTTCCTCTGCCTTTTGGTTCCTCTGCCTTTTGGTCCCTGTTTGGGTTTCCCTTGTCCCCTCTGAACGGCAAACGACCCCCCCCCCCCGCCCCCACATTTTTTGCGTTTGGTTACTGCGAAGTCCGCGACTTCAGGTGAGCTGAGAGCAATTTGGCTATGAGTTGTGATATGGGACCTGAAAAGCTGCTTGGTGGACATGAATCCCCATCTAAATGATGCCCACCAAGTAGTGCAAGTTCCCCTTTAAACGGCGGCACGCGCGGGAGCGTTAAAGGGCCCTATAAAGGAGCCGGAACCGGCCATGATTTTATACATATCGCGATTGGACCCATCCTGAACGCAATCTGGTGGCACATGGCGCTTTGAAGCATGCGATGTGCCCCAGAAGGTCGGGGGTGTGCCGTTCTGACCTGAGTTTAGTTCACGGTGCAGGACCTTCTTTACATTTCGGGATCCAGCATTTCTGCTGACAAAAACCTTACTGCAGGACCGGCGGAAGTTTGGACCCATTGGCTGGAACATTGCCTATGGCTTCACTCCTGAGGACGCGGCATGGAGTTTTATCCCCTGCCAACGGGATCCAGAATGCGGGTTCATGGGGTAATTTGCGAAGAGCGTTTTGAGGGTTCTCAAAAAAACCTTCGGGGGTGGGATTCGTGTTGACCACGGTTCGAGCGTCCAGAGAGCGTCATGAGAGCGTCAGCTGAATGAACCCAGAGAAAGGCAGTCTATCAGAGAGACGCTCTGAATCGTCTGGCAGCTGCGGACGTGTTTTGTTTGTGCAGTTGGACCATTGGCATGTTTGTTGCCTTTGGCAAGGGTGCAAGCCTCAACAATGCAACACACACACACACGCAGGGCTCCACAGTTTCACCTGCTTTGGCTTGGTGTTAATGGGAACGCCAAGAGGAACCAACCATTTTAGGAAATGTCGATTCGCGCTTGCTTTTGCCAGTTTCATTGCTTTGCTTTTGGGGTTCATTGCTTTGGGTTTCCCTTGCCTTGTTTCAGTTTCACTTGCGGACTGGTCTCTGCAGCTTTGGCGTTTCGAAGGACCTCCTGGTCTGCAGGCAGCAGCTCATGCTCTTCGTGAACCAATACGAACAGGTCCCCTACAAGGCAAGGGCCCGGTGGATTCCGAGGGGGCGGACAAAAAAAGGGGGAGGTGACTCGTTAGTGCCCTTTTACCGTTTCTTTTTTGGGGGAGGGTTCCCTACTAGAATAGACGATTCAGAAAAAAAGGGTACCCTTATTCGAACCTCTCTACTGGAGGACCTAGCTAAAGTGTAAGGAACACCATTTTGAGGGTCCAAATCCCGATTTGGACACATACCCAAATCCCTTGGAAGACGAGCTCGCCAAGGTTGGACGGTCCAAGCGGTTAACCTGGTGGGGGTTCAGGCTGAGTCAATGTTTATGCACCCTGGGCTCAACCCCAGAGCTCATGAAAACACACCGGGCGGGGCTTCCTGGGTTTCGCTTTGTGGAACCTGCAAAAGTGGCCAGAGTTTCCATGAAAACCGCCAGTAGGCTTCGTCGTCGCTCCAGAAACCAGTCATTAATCAGTCATTTCATAAACCCCCTTGCATTTGTTTCACGTCTCCTTCACGCTTGGGGGACCCTTCCCCCCTCCGTTCACCGGCGTGGATGTCACAAACAATGTTGACCCAGGATTAATAAACCCGTCCCATTGTTAGGGGGTTGTTCCCTCCTAAAGTGGTCTGTATCCCCATCGACTGGGCTGAAGCCGAAAGGATGCCCTGGCCAAAAAAAAACACTAAAAGGGGACACCCCCCAATCGAAATCAAAGCATAGGTGACCTTTCGAAGGAAATAGATTGGCGTGGATGTCACAAACGCCAGGTTCTGAACTTCCTGGGCGCGAAGATCAACTACGGCGGCCGCGTCACGGACGACAAGGACCAAAGACCGAGCGAACCACAGGTCCGTGTCTCAAGGCATCCTGATGGCCAGGATGGCCCAGATGGCAGGCAAGCCACTACAGGTAACCAGCCATTTTCTGAACTGCTATTGGGTTGAATCTTTAGACTTTAACCTTTTGGGAAATCAAGGGGTTTGCCACTAAACCCCCAAAAAGTTAAACCTTTTGCAGGGGGTCAACAGCAACCAAGTTTTCCGATGTTTGATTTTTCAAGGCCGCTGTTTTGGGTTACCTGCCTGTACCCATGCCACTATACCGCACGCAACCCATACAACCAACATTAACAAACAGAGTTCTCCACATTTTTCCCTGGGAGAGCAGTTTGAGGATAGTTGCAACCTTGTAGTCCCACATGTAGTCTGGTGAGCCCGTGGAGTTTTCGGGTCAAACCAGAAATCCCTTGGCCTTTGGGCCTCCTTGCACCAGGAGAGTTGCATTGTGCACCGGCCAACTCGCTTGGGTTTCCGTGCCATTTCCCTTCTTGGAAATTCGAACAGTGGCAGTTTCAATGGAAAACACCAGTAAGTTGCACCATTTGAAAGGGACATCCAGTGACCCCTCAAATAGCCCAGGTGCATTGCTCGGGGTGTCCGTTTAAAGTCCCCCCAACCTGAGAATCTTCGGTACCAACTCCAAGCAACACACACAATTTGAGTTCGTGACAACGCGCTAACTCGGGTTTTGCAGAGGACAAGCTGTTGATCTCAACGATCCTGCAGACCTACATCTGCCCTGAGAGTCAAGGCCGGGAGGAGTTCAAGTACTCCACCAGCGGCTTGTACTACGCCCCCACCGCCGAGACCATCGAAGACTTCGTGACCTACATCAAAGGCGGGGGCTGCGTGCGTAATTCGTTCCCCACTGCGTGAATAAACCCACCCGCTTGGGTGTTGATTCCATGATTTCCAGGGGTTCATCCAACCCAACTGTTCAGGAGTTTGTATGTGTAACCTGGGCCGCAGTTTTGCCTGGTGCCACTGACACCTGCAAAAGAACCACCGGTGAAGCAGAGTCGTCGGCTCACGGATGTCTTTGGCATGGGCAGGTGCACAGGTTTTTGTTCTTTTGGCCGCTGGCGTATGAGTCACTGACGAAATATGCTTGGTAGCCTGCTGTCGGTTTGGAGAAGAAGTGGGGGGGAGGGACCGGGGGAAGGCCCAAATCCGGAGCAAAAACAGGCGAAGAAGACACAGGGGAACTATGCATGGTTCCGAGATGCTTGAGGGATCAGGTAATTTTGTTTACCTCTCATATCTGGAGTTTATATGGCAGGTTGTTTGGCAGATTCAGGGCAACCCTCCAACCAGGTATTAACAAAAAACGGCATGAGTCGAGGCTGTTGCGACCGGCTCGTGAAGCAAGCCGTGATCACATGGCTGATCAAACTGACCCTTCAGCCGCTCATGCATGATGGATCTGCAGCTGAGTGAATGTATGGCGATCAGCCACTGTTTGCCGATTTTTCTTCGTGGGAAATGACGTTGGGCATATGACTCTTTTAACTATCTATTTGGGCATATTTGGGCATACGAGCTGGGGCAGGAGCTCTGCCAAGCTCGGAGGTTGGTTTCGGATCCCCTTTGAGGGTTTGTGAATCGCTGAACCACAAGAAGGCCAGATCTACCTTTTGGTGGCACCTCAATCAAATGGTTAAAAAAGAAAACAACTACAGGAAGTTGTTCAAGTTCTAACCTCTGGTGAGTATTGGCCCAACTTCCCGTATATTTGTCCAGCTGGCTTCAAAGCCAGGGTTTAGGGCTAACCTCGGAAACGCCGGCAAGGAATGGAATCCAGTGATTCCATCTCTCTGTATAGGTAACCAAGGGAACCAGCCTTTGAAAACCCAAGGCCAATTGCTGGTGACCTACTATACTTGCACTTGCTTCTATTTTCGCCTTTTCCTCAGGGAATCGTCCACCATTTGTTTTTCCTTTAAACCGTCTCAGCTGGCCGAAACCGGGGGGATCGGGGATCCGGAAAGGGACGCCGGTGCCAGGCCTGCCTCTGTACCCGATGCCGGAGGCCTTCGGGCTCCATGAGAACTGCAACATCACCTGTGCTCAGGACGCCGGCAAAGCGCCCCCACCTAAAATCATCCAAGGTGGCAAGGCAAAAAGACCCAGCCCCCAAAACTCATGGATTCCTTGATCTCAAACTGAAGAAAGGTGGCACAAGCTGCGCTTCAATCAAAGTGAAGCGACTGTTGCAGCCGCCTGTTCCAGTTGACCGACCCTATGATGGACTTTTGTTGATTGATTTTGCCCAGTGGGGATCCGGATTTGCGACCTGCGCTTCAACTGGGCGCGCCATGAATGAGTGTTGGACGAGCGCCTTGCTCCCCAAGAGCACGCATTTGTGAAAGTGCCGCGTTCAAGGGAGGCATGGGCTCAACTCCCGCCCGCCTTGGCCAAAGCTTCAGTTGGGTTCCAAAGGCATCCTTTTTGCGTGGGCTTGGTTGAACAGAGGCACTCACCGTGTCAGTTTGGTTGGTGTACCAGCGACACCTATGTTTCCCCCCAACAAAGACACGGTTTCCTCCTGTTGGTGCGCCAGAACCCGGAGGTAGCAGCGCATGTATCTCGAGCTACACCAGCTCAACCAAGCCAAGCAACCTTAGCAAGCAACCCTAGCAAACCAGCTCAAACTCTTGAACCTCCCCCCTTTTCTACTTGTGGGGGGGTTGTTTACCTTGGAGGTATCAGAAGGGAGTTTTGCTGCCTTTTGTGGAACAATGCTCGACCCCCTCGTAGTGAAGGATTCCTTTTTGAGGGGGTCGCCAATTTTCTCACAAAAGGTGGCAAAAAGACACCCCTGCGAGGTATGAGGTACGGCCAAACCGGTTTTGAAAGTGGCAAAAAACGCACCGGCTCCCGAGCCGTCGCCCCATTCGCATCGAAGAGGACGAGGCCCTCAAGCTGCTCACGGGGATGCAGAGCATGGCAGAGAACCCAGAGCTTTGTGGATTTGCCTTTTTGCTTTTGCAAAGGAAACCACCATTTTGGAGGGGGGGGGGTTCCCTTTAGAAGGCACACTCATGTGTGTTTGGCTTTGTTTGAGAGTTCCCCTTTTGCTTTCAACATATGAGGGAAACCAAACGGAACACCACCATTTTGGATGGAGGGGGGAGTCTCCTAACAAAGAAGACACTCATGTGTGTTTGTCTTTCTTTGTGAGCCTTGGTACTTTTTTAGGAGTTGGTTAAAAAGGACACCGTTTTGGGTTGGTTTTAAAAGTCTCGAGGACGCCTTAGGGGAAGCCGACTCTTTTTGCCCCAATTTTCCAGACACGCCTGACAGGTCCAGAGTCCGGCTGAGACCAGTTGCCCTTGACAGCCGTCCCCTGTTTTTTTTTTTTTTTTCCGATTGGGGGCGCCACAGTGGGATCCACTCGAACAGGTGGCCTCCTTTCGGGGATGGCAGCGTGACTTTAGCCGGTCTGAAGCCAATGGATAGCAAACTTGACCACGCACACCTGCAGAGTACTCGCATTGGCACATTGATGTCCTTAGAACTTGTAGAATTTGTAGGGGCAAACTCGTGGGACGTCCAAGTGGATTTTTGTGCATCCACAGGGGCCAAGCTTTGTCCGAGCCACAGGTCTCTTTGAACTCGGGTGGCGGCGAGGGCGGATCAGCGGAGACGGCGGCTCGTCTGGGAGAAATGTCCACACTTCCAGGCGAAAAATCGGGGAACATCCGGGCTGGGGAGTGGATTCCTTACTCAAAGTGGGCAGCCCCACATCAAAATCCGGTTAGTTGTGCGGATTCCTGGCAAAAGAAATGTATACCCCAAAAAGACTTCAGTGAGGGTCCCAGCATTCAAATCCTTGAGACCCCAGCAGGTTGGGGCCCAATACAATGGAATCGACCCCAAGAAGAAAGGGTTTCGATTCCTGTTCCACCAAATAGCCCATTGAATTGGGGCAAGGGTTCGGAAGAACCTGAACCTCACGTCCAACGTGCTCTGCACAAGCGAGCCGCTTTCTGGTTTCATGTGGCGTGAGTGGTACATTGGCCAGAAGTCAGGCAGCCTGTTGGTTTCCCTTAGGAAGTTCGGCTTCAAAACGAATTGCCCAATCGTTATGCCGTTGGAGTGAGGGACTCAGGGGGAGCCTTGGACCCACCACCCAGATGGCCATCATGAGGGGAAGAGCGGCTTTGGAGATGCGCTGTCTTCTTTAGCTTGGATTTCCCTTCAAACATACCTTCAGCATGCCCCAGTAATCAACACTTTAGGGCTCATTTCACATCCTTGAATAAGCACCCCTGCAAGGAGTCACAAGGCAATTGCTCGCTTGCCTCTGCCTGCAAGAGATCCAGTTGCCCAATGGGTGCGGCGCCGTCTTAGCAGCAGTCCTACACATGTATTTATACATGCGCGGACGGAGTTTAATCTTCCAAACAAGGGGTGAAGCATGCAGCTGGGACAGCCCAATCTCCAGGATATGTTGCGTTGAAATCCTGCTTCCTACATCTTCCTCTGCCCTTTACGCAAAACTGCTGCAATTTGTTCGGTACGTCTAGATGTGGCATTGGTGGTCTAGGTTTGACTTTGTGAAACATGGAACCTGACAGGTGTCCTCAGGAAAATTGCTTTAGGACCTCTCAGGGTTCCACGCTTGTGGCTTGTTGGTGTTTTTTTTCACCCCTGACTAAAAGGCAAACTCCCGTGTCGGCTGAGGTCATGGATGACACGGCAGCATCTATCCAGGATCGTTTGCCCACGCCCTTCCCGCTGGACGTGTGTGAGACAAAGTTTCCCACCAGGCGTGCGGGACGGAGTCAGCCACGTCCAGTCTGTGTCATTTCTGGGCCGAACTCTTGGAATTGCACAGTCACGTCCCGTCAGTCTGATTTCTGGCCTGAAGTCTTGGAATTGCGCAGCCTAATTTCTGGCTTGCTCAGGGGGTAAAACGAGCTCACCATACTGTGGATGGTTGCGAAATCCTGCACCACCCAATAAAATCGGGTACGATGATTCCGCTGTTTCTATACCAAGTTTCAACCATTTTTTCAAAGTGGTGTGAAATGGATTGCGCAACCACCCACAGTATGACATTCTACTCACCAGAACAAAGATCCTTAGTTCCTGGCCGGCAGCTTGCGTGAATCGGGCTGGCTTCGCTTTTGGCAGTCTACGAAGCGAAGGTTTTCTTCGCGCCCCGCATGTGTCTCGTTAGGGACGGTGATTTTTTGGTGGGTTCCCTTCCCACAAAACTGGGGTAGCCTCAAGAAAGACACACCCATATTGGTTTGCTTGTCCGAAGGGACATTTTAGTGGGCCACCAGCTACGTTTGAGTCTGTCAGGCATAGCCATAGCACCGCTACGTAGGGAATTCGACCCGGCACCTGATACTGACAAAGGCCTTTGGCCTGCAAAAGATGACATGCCCGGATCGAGCAATGCACCGGTTTCCTCGAGTTTTCATGAACTTTGTTGCTTGGTTTGGTTTCCTTTGGTGTTCCTTCGGGCCTCTACCCAGTTACCCGATCGGTTCGACTCGTCAAATGGGCGCGCCCTGAGGTATGAGGAGTCCATGAACACTGTGGTGAAGCAGGACATGGTTGGGCTGTGCAAACACCGGGCTCCAACCTTGGCGGTTCCCAGCCGGCCCCTTTAGGTCTTTGGGTTTTTAGGCTTTAGTGAGGGTTTCCATTTAACCAATCAGGGTATCTGAAGACAGCCCGGCAACCTCCGTTGTTTCAGCTTGGTTTTGTCTTTCAACGGCTTCCATTGGGAAATGTTGCTTTCTTGGAACCCTGACAAAAAAGAGAGAGGCTCATTTTGGTGGAACGCCCCAGTAGTGCCCTTTCTCTCCCCTTTTTTGGGGGAGGGTTCCCTTACTAAACAGACGATTCAGAAACAAAGGTACCCTTATTCTAAGCTCTCAAATCTGGAGGACCCAGTGTTGCTCAGTGTTGGAACCCTCCCCAACAAGTGGCTCATTGCGCTTGAAAGCCACCAGTCAGCGAATTTCCGGGCCTCCGGGTGCGGCACTGCGGCACTCCAGGAATGCCTCAGATACAACAAGCTGCTGTGGTCGATGATCAGCTCCCTCAAGGATTTCAGGAAGGCCATCAAAGGCGGGGGTTCGGTCAACTCAGAAACAGACCTGGGAGGTGACAAGAAAAAAGGTTTTGAAATGCTCGCTGTTTCTTCTTTTGTCATGGTGCTCGGTTTTGTTTCCTCAAACTGGTGGATTTCCCTTTGGCTTTTCTTTAAACCCAACAAAAACCCAGGGTGCCCTCGGAAAAGCACACACTCACAAACACACCCATGTTTGGGGTTGAAGGGTGGCTGGGCCGCGAGGGTGTTCAACAAAAGCAGCACACACCGGGCAGTGGCTCCAGGGCTTATGGGTTGCTTGCCAGGTCTCATCGTGATGACTGCGGAGCTAGAGGCTGCGGGCAAGTCCCTCTTTGTCAACGAGGTACCGGAGATGTCTGAAACTCAGACATCGCGTCTCAGTGATCGGTGTTGAAATATGTTGACTGGGTAGGCTAAATATCAGCTTCCCTCTTCACTCCTTCTCGGAAATACCCTTTTTGCGGTAGATCTTGACCTCATCGCCAACCCTAACAGGGGGATACTTGCGGGTTTTTTCGTTCTGTTCATTCCAAGCTTCGTCTTGACCTCAAAATGGTTTCCCTTTTATGGGCGTCATTGGGGGGTCATGCCATAGGCAGAATGAACCATTTACTGTTATATGTGTATGTCACCCTTTCCCTTTTTCACATCGGCATCAACCCGTTTAAACAGCATGTCCTTGAATGTGCGAATGAAACGCTCTGCGAAATGCGGCTGCCCTCGTGTTCTTGAAGAATTCAGCAAGTTCTGGGGTGTTGAGACTCCCCTCGTCGTCGGAGTAAATTAGTTTGGGCTTCCCGCCCATTTTGTTTAAACTATTTTAAACTCCATGATCCCAGCAGTCACGTCAGGCATGAGTTTGCTCTTGATAGACACCACCACGGCTTTGCGAGAGAATGCACCAATATGCAACAATCCTACTCTATATTGTTGATGTTGTAAATAACGTTTGATATCAATATGTGTTTTTTTGTCAATGAAGCACGGATTGCACGAAGCACAGAAAGCGATGACGCGATCAGATTGGATTTTTAATTGCCAGAGTCCATTGACAACGTAAAGCCACAGCCAAAATGTGCACACTTGCCATTGACATTGTCCTCCAGCCACTCAGCATTTACATAATTTTCTTTTGGAATATCAAACTGGGTTTTTTCCGATCCTGACCCTTGTATGCGAACACTTTCCTTTCAAGGTCACTCAAAATACATTTTGACTTCAACTCTTCATGGAATCACTACTGTATTTATTAAGCTTGGAGTCTATTTAAATCCCTTGCCCGCGTGATTGAAGTCCATAGCCACTCACAAGAAATCAAATGATGGTTCCAATCAAAAAGGGTGTCATCGTCATCTATGGACCAAACCCTGAATGGAATGACAAGTGTAACAAACAATAAAGATGAAATGACTTCTCAGAATACATTCGTGAAGTGTGATCTCTTCCCGTGTCTTGATGTTAAATGCCCCCAAACCCCAACATAATCTGAACATATGACTTTCTGGGTTCTTCCTGTGTGCCTCCGTGCTCGTAGTCCTATGGCGAAACCGCAGCTTGCTGGTGAGCAAGCTGCCAGGCGGATCTCGGCCAGAGGGTCTGAGGGTCTGAGGTCCTTTTTGCAGAGGACCGGAAAATTCCACAGTCACACAAAGCCTAGGCCCCCCAGCTAGGTGCCCCTTTACCGACTTTGTTGGGGGGAGGGTTCCCCTGCTAAAAGAGACTACTGAAAAAAATAGGTACCCTGATTCTAACCTCTCTACTGGAGGACCTAGACAGATACCCTATCCTTTTCCCGTCACAGAATCAGGTTTCTTTTTGAGGAAAGTCGTCAGATTAGGCTTCCTTTGAGGTAAGCATGTGCTCAGGTGGACCAAGAAAGGCCCGCTTTCGCTGAAGCCGCTGAGCAGTTGGTATCTGGACATCCTGGAGAGGGTGAGGCAGGACGACTTTCTGGGTCGAGATTGGCATCCTTTCCGTTTTCCCCGAAAGAACATCAACGGGGTGGATCAGTTCATTTGATCCAAGCAGTGGGCACCTAAACTAGGTCCCCCAGTAGTGCTCTTTTGCCCTTTTTGGGGGGAGAGTTCCCCGACTAAAATACACTCTCTACTGGAGGACCTAGATTCGACCACGGCATGCAACATCAGGTTTGGTTCAGCATGATGATAGGTAGGAGCGAGACCTCCAGCCTGTGAAGGGTGGAGCTGGATGTCCATTCTGGACATGGGCCACTTTTTTGTTGGAGTTAGCACCTTTTTGGGGGTTGGGTGTTTCGGGGAGACAGAAGGAAACCGGTAGTTTGAGACGAACCGAAGTGGCAATGTGTCCGGGGATGCTGCATATAAGCTAGTCACCAGACATGCGAATCTGATTCATGGCATTTCAAGGGGGAAGACTGCCCCTTGCAATCCGGAGATGCTGTGTTGCAGGTCGCCACTTTAGAAATGTGAACCGTTTGCATGATAACGACTATGTTTCAGGTCGATGGTGCAGTATTAGGTGGCCGAGGAAGGTCCTTTCGACAGTCAAGTTGCCCGTTTTTGGCTTCCTGCAGATCCGAGTTTCCCCGATTTGGCATGCGAGCGGAACGGCTCCCTCCAAAGCGTCATTGAAGGGAGATTCCTCGAGAGCGAGAGAAGAAGATCCCTTTGTAGTCTGACTGAAGATAGCCATGGAATCGTGATATGAGTATTGGTCAAAATCCAGCCACCGGGATATGGACCGCAGGTTTCAGTCCATGTTTCCATTTACATTCCATTTACCAGGCTTCCATTTTCGGGCTACCCTGTTTTGCACGCACAGCCATGTCATATCTGTGTGCAAGCATCGCAGGTTCTTCCAGATGTGGTTCGACCTGGGCCACGCGCCGCCGTGCTTTTGGGTGAGTGGCATTTTCTTCCCGCAGGCGATCTTCTGACCGGGTCAGAGAAGGTTCGCTACCATATCCCCACCACCTTAAAATTGGAATTGGGGGAGGGGGGTGACCCCTGGAATTCCGTTTACGGCTCCACGTTCCCTTGTATGGGGAAGACTATATAAATGGAATTGGGGACCCCCCACCCCCCTCCCCCTCATGGTAGGGGGGATGCTGCCATGCGTGGTCTTTCAAGGCGTGGCCTTTCCTAGGTCCTCCGCTAGAGAGGTTAGAAGGGTACCAATTTTTTTCTGAATCGTCACGTTTAGTCGGGGAACCCTCCCGTAAACAAGTTGGTACAATGGCGCTACAGGGGGACCTCGTTTCGTATAGCCTGGCAAAGGTTGACCTGGCAAACGTCGACGGGTTTGCTTTCCGATCTTAGCCAGGTGCCGAACCTTTTTCTGACCAGTCAACTTAGCAGGGGAGGGGCAGTGTTTGACTAGTTGACATGGCTTTCAGTACTCCCTTGAGGACCAGGTTCTGCTTAGGAATCATGTAGCTATTCAACGGAAAATCAGCAATGTTGTGTGAGTCGAGGTTGCCATTTGCTGATACGTAGCTTCTTTGTTGGCATTCACGTGTCAAGAGCAATGGCTGCAGCCAAGCCCTTGCAACAACAACATGTTGTAATGCCAAAGTTGATTTGATGGGTTTGTTTTGGCACCGGTTGATCCCTTAATGGGCTTAGAAGTTGTAGTCACGTCCCACAATGGTATCGCTATGGCCTGTAGCGGGCATGCCCTGCCCAGATTCACCGGTCGGGAGTGGTTTAGTGTTGGAAGCTCCGCGAGTCAAGACCACTCAGCCAAGGGGCATTGGTGCCACACATCCTTTGTTGAGTATGGGTCTATGATCAGTTTTCTGAGTGCGCTTGATGAATCCATAGGGTATTCATACGCTTGGCAGGTGGCTGGTTTGAGAACATATTCTTCAACTTGACCTGGAACCCACCAAAGCAGAGATTCTTCTACAAATTGATGTTTTGTTGGGGTGGGGGGTGCATGTCAATCATTAGTGCAGGTTCCTTGCAACTTAACGTGCAACCCCAAACGGGGTCCCAATGGACCTTTTCAAATGAAGCGTTTCGTGGCCTCGTTTTTAGTGAATGTACTTAAGCGCCGCTCCTCAACTTCTAAATGTGTTGCAATGGTTGTCAAGGGCCCTCCAATAGGGGCCTCCCAATCTCAATATGGCCTTGTAGCGACGAACAGGGCAAAATCGGGTTCACTTTGGGGACCATCACCAGAAGGGTCCAATTCCTCTTTGGGGGCCTCCTGACAACCACTTGGCGTATGTTTGGACCTTTTTCGGCCATCCACTCGGGAAGTGAGTGTTCAATCCTTATGAATTTCGCTGTGTGGTCGCCCCAAGGATAGAAACCAGCTACCGGAAATTCTACAGGAAACTAGCCAAATTGCCACCAACACCCGGCGATTCCTGTAGAACTTCCCGTTGGTTTCTCAACCCCACACCATCCGACAGCTCCCTCGACCAAAACAAATCCTTCCGGCGCCGGCGGGATTCGGCTTCATCAGGCCTTCTTCACCGGCGCCATGCAGAACTTCGCCCGGAAGTACGGGGAGGAGATCGACCTGCTCTCCTTCAGCCGCTCGGTGAATGGAGCAGTCCGTTTCCGTTTTTGGAACGTGTGTCAAATGTTCCTGCATAGCTTCTATGTGCTTAAGATCGTGATTGTTGTTTTCCCCCCCCCTGTGGGTTTTCGGACCAGTCGGGTTAAGATACTCTAGAATGGATCAAGCCCTTTGAATACTCGGACACTGGTCCAGGACATACTTGCTCTAGGGGTACCTTCCCTATTCTTTCCAGGGATCCTTCTTTTTAGGAAACCATCCAAAAACCCAAGGGAAACATCTGATTTTTGAAAAGAACGATGGTTGAAAAGAACAGAAAACAAATGAACCCCTAGACTTGCAACTGCAGTACGTTGGCCCTGCGCCTAAAGCAATAGACGCTTCACTGCTCAGAGGATTCCGCCGGCTTCGCCAGGAGCATTTCTACCTCCCAATTCGTGATGTGTCATGGCTTTCCATAGTTCCTCTTCAAACAACAGCGCACCAAAACGAAAGTCGCTTTCAAGGGCCCACAATGTGATGTTTAAACTAGGTCCCCCAGTAGTGCCCCTTTACCCTTTTTTGGGGGAGGGTTCCGGGTACCCTTATTCTATAACCTCTCTACTACAGGACCTAGTAAACGAACCAGGCCAAGTATAGGGTAGCCTGCTATCTCGCTTGGATCTCATGGCTTCCCGCTCAGGCCAGCACACCATGGACCACATCAGCGATGCCCCGGTACAGCTGACGACTCCTCCAGACGATGGGGCCGCGGCCCCAGGTGGTCATTCTAGTTTTAGTTGGGTTCTCGTCGCTGTTAACGGTAGTGGGATGGAACCATTGATTGCTTCCATACCAAGGGCTAGAAAGTTCTCGGAACCATTCTAAGAACATCTAAGAAGGTGCCAAGAACCCTTCTAGGGTTGCGTGCGGGGGTGGATCTTTGGTGATCTTGTAGCAATGAAATCAAATTGTTTGCTACCCAAGGGGTTCCTACTCCAAGCTCAAGCTGAGCTTTTTGGTGGATTTTGGTAGCACACGAGCTAGACTACTTTACGTGGGGTCAAATTTGGAAAACACTGTCACTGGATTTCGCTGGGTGACTTCCGGGCCGTGGAATGCTTTTCGTGTTGATTCCTTCTGGCTTCAAGTAGCCCGTCAGGTTGGTGGTTCGGGTTGGTTTGGATTTGGATTTGAACGGGTGCCGGGGTCTGATGGGCTTTGTCGGGAATGTCTGGTGGGGTTTTCTCGCTGCGAGGTGCGCACGGCATTGGGGATACTTGCAATACACCGTTTGAATATTGGCCTGCCGGGTTTTTATTTTATTTTTTGTCGGGAAGGAGCCCTTTATGGGGTAGATGAAAATCAAAGGGAAACCGCAGCCAGTTTGTGCGGGGGGGATTTTGAAGCAATCCCGAGCAGCGCGCAGGTCTATGTCTATGGCATCTTTTTGGAGGGCGCCCGCTTCGATTGCAGCACTCATCAACTGGAGGCAGGGGTAAGCTGGGGGGTGGGGTGGGTAGGGATGGGGTGGGTAGAGGTGGGGTGGGGCGGGGCGGGGCGGGGTGTGGTGGGGTGGGGTGGCTTTACGGAGGGTATAAGTGGTGGGGGAGTGGAACGGGGCGGGGCTGGCGGGGTGTGGAATGATTAGTTGTTCTTTGGGATCTTTTACTTTGAAATAAGACCTTTCGGAACAGTCGATTTGCTGGCCAGACAAATGCCTACTTTGCAGGAGGTCTAACGGGGCTTGCCTTTGATAGCACTGGGCATCACAGACCCCAGAGTGCTTTTTTGTTTGCGCACAGGCCAATGTTTTGTTTCGCAGGTAAGCGCGGGCAATGCAAAGCCATAGTGTGCGAGGCGGCCTCCAGAGAGCTGTCCAAAGATGCGTGGTTTTGTGTAGCATGGCAGTGAAGTCAGAAGGTTTGTCACAGAATACCTGCATATATCCCAAAGTGTGACGCTTTGCCAAGGTCAAGCTGGTCAACTGATGTTTGCCAACGGCTTTTTTGCAATCAAACGGCGTTTTTTGGCAATCAAACGGTTCACACAAGTTCTTGAATATTCGCCAACGACGTTTTTGGGCACCAAGCGCGTTTATTTAACTTCAATCAGTGGCGGAAATTCGGCGCCCTGGGCTTTCCAGGCATGATAGATTTGTAATTCTACGCGCAGCAAGAAGCTGTTGACGCATGGTCGGACCTGACGAAGCTTTGGAAGCACGTAGCGCTCTGAGGGTTTCTGCTTTGCGCCAGCTCAAACAGGCATGCCTTCTGAAATGCGTGATTTCAAGCCCTACGTTGAACAGCCAAAGGTGAAAGCGCCGCGCAGCTCAGCTTTTGTGGGTCTTGTACTCTCCAGAATGCTTTTTCTGCTTGGGCGTCTATTCTCTTACCCTTGTGGTTTCCGTGGGCCTTGTTGCCTCTGATTTGGCCAGTGGCTGGTGCTTCTAAGCGCCAGAAAGGAACACCGCCAAACGCTATCGCCGCAAAGCCAACAATCTTACAAACAGCGCCCGGCTCAAGATACGCAATGCTGAGGTGTTACAGAAAACGCCGTGATTTCTGGAGTTGCCCCCTCCCCCCCCCCCTTTTCTAGGCTCAATTCTGAGTCCACGTGTCCATTGCTTTCCATTGGGGTTGTTATAACAAAGGAAGGGTGGTGGGGGGGCTGGTGGCCGGATTGCGGCGTTTTCTGTAACACGCCAGCTCTCTCAAAGGCTCTAGGCTGAGCTGCCAATTACTTCCCCCTATCAAGAATGCGCTCTATCATTAATTTGTTTTTCGCGGACCCCTCGTCCAGACCTGAACTTATTAGCTCTCCAAACCAGGTTTGACTTACGATTGCATTCACGCTTGAATTATCGAATTGCAAATTCAAATCTAGAGTGAGCAAATCAGATTGAACTGCGCCGATTTGTTTTGTTCAAGTTCAATATCAACAATACTGCCTTGAGCGGTTTTCTTGTAAATCGCTAGTGGGCATATTGCTGTTTAAGGCGTTTGTGCCAGGTGGCACCCTGCAGCGCCCTTGTGGTACCCAATCCAATAGTTTTTTTTTGCCCCAGGGAATATTGATTAAAAGGGGGGAAGGGGGGTACCCCATTTATTGCTATGGGCAAGCCGCTCGCCAAGGCAAAGCTCAAACTAGCATGAGCCTCGCAGCAAAAGCCGAGCACGAGCCGGGCACGAACCGGGCACGAACCGGGCACGAACCGGGCATGAGGCGGGCACGAACCGGGCACGAACCGGGCACGAGCCGGGCGCGATCCGTGTGCGGTCCGTGCGCGCTCCGTGCACGAACCGGGCGCGAACCGTGCGCGAACCGTTTACGAACTGGGCGCGAACCGGGCACGAACCGGGCACGAACCGGGCACGAACCGAGCACGAACCGGGCATGAGCCGGGCACGAACCGGGCACGAACCAGGCACGATCCGTGCGCGATCCGTGCGCGATCCGTGCACGAACCGAGCGCGTGCGCGATCCGCGCGCGATCCGTGCACGAACCGGGCGCAAACCGGGCACGAACCGGGCGCGAACCGGGCACGAACCGAGCACGAACCGGGCATGAGCCGGGCAAACCGGACACGAACCGGGCACGATCCGTGCGCGATCCGTGCGCGATCCGTGCGCGATCCGCGCACGAACCGGGCTCGAACCGGGCACGAACCGGGCACGAACCGGGCACGAACCGGGCCGGACCGGGCCCGATCCAAATACGAGCCTCCCAAGCAGAGCGCCACCTGAGCACAACCCAAGCAGCACGAACAGAGCGCGAGCCGGCAGAGCAGAGCACCAATTGAGCACGAACCGAGCACTAACCAAGCACAAGCACGAACCGAGCGCGAAGCGAGCACGCTTAGGGTCGCAACCCTACCTAGCTGGGTTGTGAGTTTCGAGCATAAATGCTTGTTTGGTCTTGGGAGGCAGGCTGCCGCAAAGCCTTGCCGCGTGGAAATATAGTTTCCGAATTCACGCGCAGATGAAAAGCACTCCTGGCCCCGTGTGCAAAGGCGAGCCCCGTCTAAGACCAAACCAATGGATCACAGTTACCTCCATAGTAGGCAAACCCTTCGCCCATGAAATGACCCTTTATGATTTTTCAGGTCTGGTTCCCTTGGTTACCTGCCATACAAGTCTTCAAGTAAATGGAATCACTTGGAAATTTTGAAGAAAGAGGCATCATAGGGATCAAAAAACAAACAAAAGCAAACCGATCAAAAACATGTCAGTTAAATATATATATATATATAAATCCGGTACCCCAAGAAGGACTCGTTGAGTTGGGCTGAGATGTCCAGGACTCCAGGCCGAAGGAGCTCTTCACGGACATGCCGCCCCTGCAGTTCCTGCCGGTGAGGACGCATTCCGAATTCGGATTCGCAGGTTGCATCGCTTTGGGGTCGAATTTGGTGCCCATCCTTCACTGGTCTTGGGTCATGTTTTTTGGTTTTTTAGTTTTGTTGGTTCTGTTCATTTTTACTGGGGGTCTGCAAAAATCAAAGTTTTTCGCTACCATACCAAGAGATGCATCGGTTGGGTCAGAATGAGTCTGGATTGTTGGAGGCGCGCAGTCGCTCCTGTTGTGTCCATGGTTGAATTGACCTACTTCCGTTGGATTTAGGAGAAGCAAGTTGTTCATTTGGACTTGGGAGGGACGGCAAAGGGACTCTGAACTCACTAAAAGCTTCGCAATCCCAGGGGCGAGCCCTAGTTTACCCCATATTCGTTGAGGGCTCATATTGCCTTCAGTGAGAGCCCCTGATCAGAGCCCTAAGACAGTTTTATGTTTTTGTTCGACCCTAAACAAGTTGTTGGGAATTGGCACCCAGCAAGCTTCCCAAGGTGGTCACATGCAACGCCGAGCCCGTGAATGAGGCACCCCTCCCTTTGCACGCTGTTTTTTTTCCAAATACGTATTAGCTGCCAAATAGTAGTTTTGTTGAATCCCCCCCCAAAAAGGAAACACCCTGTTTACAGTCAGAATCTTTCAGCCATATGGGAAAGACTGCCTAGATGTTTGGATTCGGGCACAAGACCTTGAAGCCCCTGAGGCTTGCCACAAAAGCAAGCGCTTTAGTCATAGATCACCTGCTGATGCACGGAGAAGCCCAGAAGCCCACTGGCCTTCGCAAGACATGTTTCAACCACTGTCATGGAGGAAAGGGAAACTCGGAAACTCACTCATGTCCAATGTCCCTTCCGGGCATTGCGCGCGCAGTCCGAAAAACAAATCGGAGTTGTCCGCCAGCTCGCGGGCTGCGGCTCCCGAGCTTGCCATGCGCCAGCCTGCAGAAATGGGCCGAACAGTGATCAGGGTTTGGGTCAAAATTACCCCCCCCCCCCCTCAGGGGACTGCAGGTTTTAGTCCATGTGTCAAAATTACCAGGGTTCCATTTTGGGTACCTACTTTGACCCACAGCCGTCAGAGTCCTGTCAATTTCGGCTTCAAGCTCCACCCCTCAGAACTTTGGTGCATTTTGCTTGGATGTTTGGACTTTAACTTTTTGCCAACTAATAGATTTTCCATTAAACCACTAAAAGTTAAACCTTTAGCAGGGGAGCAGAAAGCAACCGAGATAAGGTATTATGCTTGCACCTTTTGTCGCTCTCTCCTTTTCGCGACGCCGTTTTCTTCCGCGTGTGTCTCGCTCTTTTCGGAGGAACCGGGTGCCGGACGTCATGGACTACCGGTGCCCTTGCTACAAGGTGGTGAGTCGGAAGGGCACGCTGCTCACCACGGGCCACTCCACCAACTTTGTGCTCTACATCGAGGCGAGGAGTCCGCTTTTTTACTGGGAAGGGCCAAGCCAGGTGGCCAGGTTTAGCCCTATCACACTGGGACATATGCCTAGATATCTTTTATGTACCCATGATGTAACGTTGAGCTCTGGGGTATTTTGCAGGGGCACCTGTTGAGGCGTACATGGATGGGTCGTGGGGGGGTTCGCATATACCCCCTGGCCTCCTGGTTGGGAACACTCCACTGCCAGGGCGGGTTTTTTTGGTTGTTAGTCCGTTGTTCCCAGTAACAAAAAAATCCGGAGTAAGCAGAGCCCCTGGTTGATTTTGAAGAGGGCGTCCGAGTTCAGTGGGAATCCGGATGACTTTTGTGAGTCCGCCCCCGGCCGGCAAACGATTCTGCCGGCATGGGGGCTCGCTTGAACTGGCGGATGCTGAAGGTAATGGAAGCCCCAATGAACCTTCGGACACGCGTCAGGCTTGTGTGAAAGCCAGCCTTGACAAAGGAAGTTGGTAGGCTGGCAGTTGGTAGGTTGGTAGGTTGGTGGCTTCATGTGAGGTGAAGACGGACAAGGTGGTGGACAAGTGGATCAAAGCCGGGGTCGCAGCTTTCCTGGCCTTGAAGTACTGAGCAAACCGCCGGCGCTGGTGGGTCTCAGTGCAGTCTTTGGAGAACTGAAGGAAAGTCCTCCAGGCTGGGCCCTTTGTGTTTCTAGATTCCACCACTGGATATCCCTTAAGCAAAGGAAGTAAGACTTCATTTCGTTGGATATCCCGCAAGTTTCTAGATTCTAGCTTGGATATCCAACCCAATTTCGTTGGATGCGTTTTTTTTGGTTGCTTCCGGTTTCCTAGAGTCCTGGAGGACATAGAAACGGCGACGTGGGCACGAGAGGGCACCTCCAACCCCTGATGTCTAGCAGCTGGGGCTGGGCAGTGCCTTACGAGCACAGGCGTCGGGCTTAAGATGGCAAGGTCAAACCACTCAAGCAGAGCACATCTCCTTTCTCAAGGAGTAAACATCTGTGATGACGCACCAAGCCCATCGTGAATTTCCGTTGAGGATCTGCGAGTCAACAAAAAGCCCTGCCTTGAAGAAGGGTGAAGTCACGCCTGCGCTGGCTCGTTGCCACGGCTTCGAAGGGCGTTTCAGACGGGCCATTTGCCAGCCCAAGGCTTGCCGATGGACCCCACGAATTCACGGGAGAGCACCGAGAGAACTGGTTGCGGAAAAGACCACGTGTAGCTTGGTCGCCAGCCCTGCGGGCTCCAGTGGCTCGTTTTTTTTTTTTTTTTCTCTGCGCTTTTGCGGGATCGGATGAGCAGGATGGAAGGCTCGGTGCGTTGAGATAGCACCACATCGGAGCCAGGTAGGCAAGGCTGCCACCCCTGCCACCCCTGCCATCGCTGCTGGGTTCAGGCTTTCGACGGCTGCGTGGAACGAGCGGAGGGCGTGTGAAAGGGCGGGACAACTCTTGCTGGTTGCGGGCAGACTTGCTTTCTTTTGGACGTGGTTGTGGAAAGTGCGGCAAATCCTAGTGAATGACAAATGGAGCAGCGAGGCTACCTGCATCCACAGAGTTCTTGTCCGTTTGGACAGTTCCATGTGCTTGGAGTGCTCCGTATTTGAAGGATCGAAATGAGATGTTTGGCCATTTTGTCCGCTTGATGGGGGGATTGTGCAAAGTTGGCTTCAGCAAGACCCTTCCGGAACCCAAATTTTGTCAGGACCTTTGAGCGCCCAGAGCCCCTGTTGGCAATTCGGGAAGGTGTTGTTTATCGTTTTATTTGTTTTGCCTGATTTCATAGGGCTTTCATAGGCCTATCTAAACCTTTGTTTATATCCATGAGAATAGAACCACAAGTCAATAGGTGTTGCTCGCTGTGGGTTCGGACATTTTCGGGGGGCCCAATCCTTGGCCCCATGTCCATGCACAAAGCGAATAGCCAAGGCTCTGGAACGGCTCTCTCGCCAAGAAGTTCTGTGCGCGTTGTTAGACTTCCCATTTTTTCCAGGCAACCCTTGATTGGTGACCTGGAATTGGCAATTTGGATTTGGAGTGGAATTTCTGGTTCGTGTGGAGGGCAAACGGGACACCTGGAGCAACACCAAACCGCCAATCCAAACCAATTGCCCCGAAGCCAAGCCACGTCGGCCGAGCTGTCGTAGAGGCTCGAGGGGGCCCGGCCGGAAATGGTGTTGAACCCACTTCGGTAATAAATATGGCGGATCCCAGCCCAGCTGTCCGGTTCCTGAGTTGTTCGGGTTTAGCCCACTAAAAGTTTTCAGCTTTTAGCAAAGCAGTTTACACGGCTTCCCCAATTGCCCCGCGCACAACCATGGTTACGACCGAAGTGGGTTGAACATCCAAGTGGGTGTGGGTCAAAACTAAACAACCGGGATATGGACCGCAGGTTTTGGTCATGGGTTCCATTTACCAGGGCAAGCCATTTTGGGGTTACCCCATTTTTGACCCACAGCCAAGTAGCAGTCACTGATTCACAGTCAGTCCTCGCGTGCCATGCCAAGAGCCGCGCGGCTGGGCCACCTGGTCGTGTCAGTCAGTTGAAGGCCTCTCACCTGCAAAGCGAAGTCTCAGCTTTTCGTTCCTCAAAGTGATCATCTGCCATTTCAGGTCCAAACTGAGCAAGTAGTCTTAGAGGCGACGGAAGGGCCAGATCCTGACCTCATGATTTTGTTCCGAATGTGGGTCAGTGTTTTTTTCTTACAGGGACCCCCTGAGTGTTTTTTGTTAAAGGCACCTGTTATCAGAACTCTGCTTGCTTGATGAAATCTGCGCGCCCGTTTCAACAAGGCAGCTCAACCCCAGCTTTGACGACCCAGTGGATCCCATTTACTACCACGAAGTGGCTAGCTTTTGATGTTTAAAGGGCGGGCAGGGTGTACAGGTTTGACTAATATCCCCAAGGACTTCAACCCAGGGGCTCCTCCTTCCGGAAGGAATTGCGTAGTTTTAGGGTCTATTCAAAGAAATCGGCGCCCTGCTCTTGGTCGCTTCTGGCTCACGGCAATCCCCGGTAGCCACTCTGCTCAAGCAGTGGCGGCCTCCGTTGAAAACGGAGGGCTTTCGCCATGAACAATACCCCACAAGTGGTGAATGAGGGCGCATCGCCCGGCAGCTTGGCCGGCAGGGTGTGGTCAGACTCCAGACTACTCTTGGGCTAGGTTCCCGTTACGCCATTTAGGTTTCCCAGGATCGTGCCCTTTTACCAACTTTTTGGGGAAGGGTTCCCCTACTCAAATAGACCACAGAGAAAAAGTTGGTACACTTATTCTAACCTCTCTACTGGAGGACCTAGCCATTTAGAGCTAGGAACTTGCTTATCCAACGCGAAGCCTCCCTTTGACCTGTCTTTTGTTTGGCTTCGGGCCATTTCTAAAGAGCCTAGCCAGACACAGAGTACACATCTTGTAGACTGTATATATATATACACATATAGTATGCGATAGGCAGCTAAGTGTGCCACAGTCGACCCACTTTGCTTCTCGGTTAGCTCAGGTGGGATTGGTTGTCAGCCTGGCAATTGCAGATTTCACACGAGATGTTTCCAGAGCCGTTTTGAACGATGAGTTGGCTTCTGCGCAAATCAGCGATAAGGAGACTGACCGCAGTGCGCATGGCACATAAGAATGGCGTTAAACACTTTCACGGGGCGCGGCCATTGCGCCCTGCACTTGCCGTAGGCACGTTGCTGGTGATGAAGCTGAGTCTTCCCGTTTCTTTCCGTGCAACATGAGGCGAGACTTATTTGGCACTGCGGGGTGATCAGGGACATGCTTTGTTTCCAAGCGCTTCTCGCATATTTCTGGTGGATTTATATGATTTGCAATTCTTCAGGTGATGACGCTGTCCTGTCTGGGTTTCTCCTCACCTCAAGTACCTTCCCGTAGCCTGACGCAAGTGCCTAAAATGCAAAGACCTTTGATTTAATAAAGGCAAATGATCTATTAGAAGGTAGTTTTCCGAGGGCCCGGTAAATTGCATAAACAACGTTTTGACCTTCTTGGACTCAGTCAGATGGTTTGCCGCTAGGCAAATTCAAGCCCTCCCGCACGGTGGATGAAGGGGAGGCGAGCTTCAAGGAGAGCCGAGACGGATTTGAAGTTGGGCAGCGTGGGTTTGTTTTCTTCCATTTGTTGAACCATAACTTGTTGAAATGTTTTTCTTTGTTTTCTCTTTTGTGTTGGATTTCCCCGGCGTTCAAGGGAACCTATCACTGGACATGATGTGTTTGTGTTTTTCCCCATGCAAGAAGAGTTCAAGTTTTTCTTTGACATGAATATATTCTGCTTGTGTTCCCCCGGTTTTGAAGGGAACCTCTGGACGTGATGGTTTTGCTTTTGCCCCATGCAAGAAGTGCTCAACTTTCCTGAGACATCAAGCCCAGTGGGTTGTAAGGCTGTGGTTTTCGGTCGGAGCGAGTTGTGTAAGGAGGTAGTGGACAACTTAGGTTTAGGTTGCCGCTTGCGCGCGCTCCTCTTTTTTTTTTTTGGGGGGGGGGGGGTACCCCGTTTTTTGTGGTTTGAAGGTGGCAACGAGCAGAAATCACATTCAAAGTGATAAAGTTGTGATGGATGGCCTAGGGCATGGGGCATGGAGGGCTCATTTATCTCACAGCCAAGGGGCTCGCAAACTTTACCATGCCCACATATGCCACATATGTGACCGTGGCTTACTTGACCTTTTGGGGTTGTTTGGAGGTGGGTGCCAAAGAACACATAATTCTTAAGTGCTTTTAGAATCTATTTTCTATGCAGCACCTGTAGGGTGAACCAAGGATAAGGACACACAATTGCGCCAGTCAACAAGTCACATTTACCGGCTGCAGAGCATCCCCATGTAAGGAGGGTGTTTGGATGTATCGTTTCAGGAATCCTGCAGGGCCCATTTGGAGTTTGCTGGCTGGGTATCCCTTTTGGAGACGGTGCGGAGAGCTTTGCTCTGCTGCCAGGCTTTGCATCGGTCTGAAAACTGCAGGCAAACCTTTTGCGCACAAAGGCAATTTGTTGAGAGGTGCTTCAAAGAGAATGGCAAAAGCACACCAGCCAGTTTCTGGAGTCATTATTTTGACGGTTTCCGGGGGTTATCAAAGTCAGAAAATGGGGTTGTTTCCCTTTAACCCACCACTTAGGGGGTGACTTTGATCATGGCAAAATAATGAGGCCAGAGTTTTGGGCTTGGAACACATTTGAGTCCAAAGGGCAACCTCCTGCTGACAACCTGCGGAATAGTGCTAAAAAATCGTCGAGTGTCCCTGGCACAGCCTTTCCCTCCTTTGAAACATTGATTTCTGTGCGTGTGTGTTTTTGCTTGGAGGGAACCCTTGTCAGCTTGACTCAGAGAGTTGAACCACAACCCCCAGTGACATGTAAAGGAATCAAGGGAACCAAGCCTTAACAATTTAACAGGACAATTGCTGCTTACCTATTCTAGTGGCTTGCCTGGGCTTGCCGCGAAGTTTTTTTTTTTTTGGGGGGGGGTGCGTGGATGACAGGAGTCCTACCCGATGGCCCTCATGGGCACCCGGGATGGCAAGGAGTACTTTGGCCGACTGAGGCGCGAGATGCGCTTGCCGTCCGTCTCAGCAGGCCCCCCCCAAAGACGGCGAAGTTTGGGTCAACCTGACAAACAAAATCCAGATCGCGAAAAAGTCGTATGGTTTTTCAAGCACTCCTAAAGTGTCATTCCCAGCTCATGCAAATTCAACAGGGATCCCTTGGTTTGCTTTTTTCTTCCATCGAGGTGGGTGTTTGGGGAAGTCTGAGGGTCCCAAAGCTTCGAACCCTTGTTGCTTCTGGACGGCGGGAAAGCATGCAAGCCATGCATTGGGGGCACGGACCCTCAGAACTTGAGATGAGTAGATTAAGGTTGGTAAGGGGCAGTCCCAGCCAGAAATAGTTGCGGCAGCCTTCTCAATTCTTTACATGGGTCTGGGTAGGCCATTTTACTACCGGGTTTTCATTATGACTCAAATCTAGTCTTATTGTCCCCAAGGAATCCTCCTGGAATTGCCTCAGTACCCAAGGAGCATGACTCTATCCTGTACTGGTTCGCGTCCTTCAAATTATTTTGGCTCACGCTTGTTTGGTTACTTGCTCAAATGCAAACCAAAAGGGAGGCCATGTTTTGGGGGTCCACACCCAAATTGCCAAAGAGTGCCCAACTTTCTCCTATGAGGTCAATTGTGCGGGATCGTGAGGGATAGCGTGCGAGGCGAAAGCACTATTGAGGCTCTTCTTTTTCTATGGAAGCTTTGGGCACTGGATCTGCTATCCTCGTTGCCCTTGGCTCAGTGCTTGGACATTGCAAAAAATACGTTGCGGGCCCTAGTGTTTTCCATATGAAACGGTTGTTTTTGGCCCTTCCGTTGCAAAAAGTGCTTTTGCCGAAAGACCTTTCATGCACTCACCAGATAACATGGCAGACTGTGATTTCCTCCAATCGTTGCACTTGTTTAGAACATTCAAGCGGGATGTTCCCTTTGGAAGCACGTGACAGGGAAGTGCAAAGCTTGCAACAAAGACAGGGCTCACCCAGTCAGCACTCGGCTTGGTGATGCGTCAACTGTGCAAGCTCTGGCTTGACATGTTTTCATTTCCTCAGCTGGCCCATGCTCACCGAGCGCGCCAGTTGCTTGACCAAGATGGCGGCGACCTTTCCAGCCGTTGCCTATGGTGGCTTGAGGCCGGGCATTTCGAAAAACAGAAACCACCTTCTTTAAAATAATAATATTAATGACAATTATATATATATATAATGCGGGCCTTCTTGGAAGCCTACCTTCCAGCAGTGTGGTTGCTTGGCATCCAGCCCCCTTGGCCTTTTTTCCCTCGGATGTTTCCGAGGGAAATCCATCCGCTCGATGTCGGAACAGGTACGGGTGAGCACACTGCGTTTTTTTTTGTGTCTTCGGCCCTTCCCAGTGACAGAACCTTTGCCAAGCAACCTGAAATGCCAACCCAACCAGTTGCATGTTTAGCTTTCGGACTTAAAATTTAAAAGGGTTGGGGTGCTTTGTGGGCTGCAGTTTGGTCAGGGTTGGGGTGCTTTGCTGTTTCAGCAGAATGCAGCCCTTAGTTGGTGGTCAGGAGTGGTGACTTGGGGATGTCAATGTGAACCCTTGCTTCCTGCAGATCCAAATAGGAAACGAGCCGTAAACTTCAAAGCACCCAACCCAAACCAGTTAGAGGGAGCCCAGATTCCAGGTACTTCGAAACTGGATACATGAAGAAGTTTTACACGGACGACTACCCTCGTGCTTCGCCGCTTGGAATGATCATCAAAGCACCGCCCCCCGTCGTGGTGGCCTTCTTCGCCAGCCAAAGGGTATCGAAGAAGGCTGGCGCAGGTTGAAGGAGCATTTGGTGATGCGGTCCCTCGAACTTGTGTGGAACATGACAAATTCGCCCAATTTGTCTGTGTTTGTCGGGAGTTTTGTCAGGTGCATGTGAGTGGGCGGGTGCGGAAGTGGGTGAAAATCACTCTTCCATGTCAGTCTATGTTGTTTATTTGCACCTTTCTGCATGGACCACTTTGCGTCAGGGCCTCTTCTAGGTCCCCAGTAGTGCCCGTTTACCCTTTTTGGAATCGGCCACAGAAAAAGTTTGAACCCTTATTCTAACCTCTTTACTGGAGGACCTAGGCTTGGTCCCCAGTTGCGAGGCCAATGAGACACCATTCAGCCAGCATGCTCATGGACTGGGGGCTACGGGAAGGGGGGCTCATCCTTGGCTCCAGGGATGGGCCCCCCTTGCAGAGGTTGATGGCAGCGTGCAGTGCCACTGCTTGGGAGGGATGAGTGGTCTGGGATGCCACGTTTTTCCAGTTGGGCCAGTCTTTTTTTGGATGGTACCGTGCTCAGTTCCTTTTTTTTTTTTTTGGCTGGTTTTGCAAAGGAAAACTTTAAGAGGACACAAGCATTCTGGGGGTCCACTAGTTTGGCTGAGGTTAAGCATCATGTCGACCTTTCTGATCTTGGCCACCTTGCTCGACCTGGTGTGGGCTGCTCGCCGGCTGGGGCAGGGTGTTAGTTTGGACTAGGTCCCCCAGCTAGGTGCTCTTTTACCGTTTTTTTTTTGGGGGGGAGGGTTCCCCTACTAAAATAGACATCCTGAAAAAAGTTGGTACCCTTATTCTAACCTCTCAAATCTGGAGGACCTAGTGGAGCTTGGCGATGCGGGGTGTCCCTTGGTCTGGGCAACTTGGGCCTTGGATCTTGGGAAATTGACCAGCTCCATTTTTCTGGCTTTCAGAGTGCTCGGTTTTTCGGTGCATGTCTTGGTCAGCAAGGAGTGCCACGTGTTGGCTCCCCAAACCCATCCTAAGCAACGACATGAACCAAGGTCAACCAGTTTGCACAAATCAAACCAGAGCAAAGACCATGGCAATCCGAATCAAGTCTGCCAACCAAAACCAAGACTCAACTAGGACTTTGCGCCGATTTCAATCACTGCGCAAGGCGGTGAACAATGCGGGCCGTGGCAAACTCGAAGACCAACGAAGGGATCCAAAGTGGTTGGGGGCCCTTTGCTACTCAGTCACCCATAAGCAGAGAATGGGCGAGGCGCAGATGCAAGCCATGTGCGAACCTGGCTTCTCACCCACAAGTTGCTTGGTTGTTGCCCTGACCTCAAGAGGTGCCCCTGTTTGTTCGGGGGGGGATGTTCCCTACATACACTGCCAACATAAAAGGTGCCTTTGTTCGGCCAAAATGCCGAACCACCCAGAGAAAGCAACCTTGCAGGGAGGGTGGAGACCATGGATCCCATGCAAGCATGATCACACTGAGCAAAGTCCGGGTCGGCAATACGGCAACGAGGCAGTGAGACCGAAGCAAAGATGTGCGATTTGTCGTCCAAAAAGCAAACAAACAAGTTAACCAAGGGCGCTTGACAAAGCCAAACTGGTTTTACAGCCAACTTCCGCATTGCTGGGAGGCGAGATATGAGGGATTCTTTCTCCATGGCAAATGTGGGGGTCTGCGTTGCGCTGAGCCGAGAGTCGAGGACCCATTTGTCGCAGCTCTGACTGCTGCTTGGCGATCGATCGGACCGGTGAGAGGTGGCCTGTGCCTTCAAGCGGAAGTCATACAGAAGTCCTCACAGTGTAGGGCCTGTGATTTTTTTCCTTTTGGGGGGGGGACAAGCAAAGGACTTGGTGGTGCCCAGAGATTCGTCCGGTTCCTTAGGTGTTTTTAGTTGTCTTTAGTTGGTTTGGCGGATTCTACCCGCTATAAGGGTTAGGCCTGTGGCAGGGGCTCAGAAGAGCAGAGGTTATCAATGTTTCCAGCAACCCACGAAACGGCGAGCGTTCCAAGCTGCGAGTTTGTGGTTGGACTGGTCCGGCGCTTGTGCTTCTGGCCGTTTTGGGATTAGATACTCACTCCCTGAGTTCACTTTCTCTGGCCAATGCACTCGATCGGGAGTCAGGTGATAGTGCGAAAGGGCCGGCCGGCTTGGCCCAGGTAGCAAATGGAAGCCAAGGGCTGAACAAAAGGATCCAAGAAATCTGTCAGGAAGTGCTTGGGATAAACGCTTGCTTCTTGCTTGCAGGGCGAGAAAGCCCGAGCACAGAGCCCCCAGGTCAGACAGAGGCCTTGCAAGGACCTGCTTGGGGGGCGTGGAGAACCTCCAAGAGGCAAGTATTTTCTGCGGTTCTCTGCAGCGTGCCCTGCCCATTGGTTTCTCCAGACCATTGCGCTGGAGCCTGTTTTTTCAATCTAGGGCCGCCTGCCTTATGCAGGGTGGACACCACAGGGTGGATAGGGTCACATAGGCAAACATGCGAGGGATATACTTGCAAACGTTCGCCGCACTCTTTTCAACCATCGTTCTTTACCAGAAAAAAACACGGCAGTGATTCACCGTTTCTTCTTTTCAACAATTCGCATTTTCGGGTTGGTTGGCCTTGTGGAATGAAACGCCCCTTTCTCGGGTTCTGAGAAGAACGGCGGCCTTTCCCATCCGAGGACGGGACCCGCCGAGTCTGCGGCCGAGACTGGGGACGGCGACGACCCTTCCTCGTCGTGGCGAGCTTCATCGCATCTCGGGTTCCAATTCGCGCGCCGGAGGGGCATCGCTCGTCTCAAACTGTGTGGCTCGTCTTTTCGTTGGCGCCACCCGATCCCTTTGTGGTGCTACCTCTGTGTTTGGCGGTGTCCCTAGTTTCCTTTTGGTGTCCCTTTGAGACCAGCCAAAAGAGGGGTACCCTCAAAAACGAGACAACCACTTATATAGTGGGTCCCGTTCGCGGCCCGGTTTCACTTCATCGAAACATTCAACGTAGATGCTCAAAAGCCTTAGGAGTGCTGTCCCCAAGATGCAACACTCATCCATCCGCACCCATGCCAAGATGAGGCACTCATCCATCCTCACCCATGCCGCATCGCCGGCTCCTTTAGGAGTGACTGGGTCCCCATGAGTGCAACACTCATCCGCAGCCATCGCAGCCATCCGCTACCTCAGGTCCATGGTTTGCCTTTTCCACTGTTTGGGTGATAAATCAGCAGCCCCCTGGTAGTGTAGAATTTCTCAAGGGAGGCTGTTCATTTCAGTGGAAAATAAAGGCATCCGCTAGCTCAGGTCACTCTCTTCTACGCCTTGGGCTTTTCTCCGCCTGCCATCCTTTCGGCACAAGCTCAGCAGGATGCGGAGGCGTGGTACGCTCAGCGCCTTGGGCCGCAGCGATCTCGCGGAGGCGTTGAAGGTGGGAGCTGCACCGGTTGCCCCGGGAAGTGTGGAGGCCAACATGAGCTTCAACTTGGGGAAGGGCCTGTTGCCGCGGGAGAGATATCTGCCGGAGGGATTTTGTAATTTTTTGGTGGAGCCAAACCTGCTCCATAGCAGCTGCAGGAAGAACGGGTGCAAAACAGCGCATTCAGAAAAGAAACGGGAAAGCAACAAGGGATGAGTATTCTTGGATTTAAAGGAATGACCCCAGAAGAGCAACCCGTTTCTGCTGTGAGTGGGTTGTTCTCCAAGAGGTTGATTTGTGCACAACCCATTTGGGAGCAAACTGGGAAATTGGAAGGAAGTGAGAGGAGACCAAGGCGCCATCCTATTGAACAACCTTATGACCACCACCTCTAAGTGGACGCAAATCGGGGGATGCCCAAACCGCCAATGTTTGTTGTGCAAACTGTTTCTTGCCCAGAACACCTCCTCAGTTGTTCGAACCCCAATTGGTTCACCCTTCTCGGCAACCGATCAATCTTGTTGTTGGCAAACATTTTGCATGTTTCTTTATTGTGGTTTAGTGGTTGGAATCCCCACTCAACTGCTATGTAAAAAAATGCTCCCCTTCCAACGTCAAACAAGTCACTTTTAGCAGGCCCACAAGATGGCTGTGGCTCAATCAAGTGGCACCAAAATGGCACCTTGGTCAATGGAAGCAACGGTTTCATGTGTAACCCTAGCTCTGCAATTTCGAGGCACACCCAGATGACCACCTTTCATTTCCAGGTCCTCCAGCTGGAGTGCCCTATTTTCCCGTTTCTTCTTTGCGGGAGGGTTACTAGACGTCCTGAAAAAGGTGGGTACCCTCATTCTAGCCTCTCAAATCTGGAGGACCTAGCTAAAGTGTTTGTTTTTTTTCTCACTGGGAAATGCAAAGGAACCCAATTTTGAGGGTCCAAATCCCACTTTTCAGGACGAGGATCAAATCGGGAGGCCCTAGGTTCATTTCCGGTCCCATCTGGCCATCTGTCACTCTGGCACTCCAAGCCAAAGTGCCGCATCCGAGGCATGGGGATGCGCAGGCGCCAGTCTTCAACTCCCTGCCGGCTGCGGAGCCTCGGTCGGGATGGGCGGTTGCCAAGTTGCGGTTGGGGTTTTAGGGAAAACATGCCCGGGTTTTTGTCACTTGGGTTGAATTTCCCAGTTTTGGGCTTGGGTTCCCATTTAAGCACATGTTGAGTTTGTCGCTTTTAAGGGCCACCTCCCCCTCAAAAAACAAGAAAGAAAAGAACAACAAACAGATGGATTTCCCGCGGTTACCCTTTGAAACTAACCCAGCAAAATCTATACCCTCAAAACATACCCACTTGGAGCGGATACGGCTTTGCGAGAGGGAAGGCTTCTTGGCGTATGAGACTTGTTTCTTGCTTTTGCCGCTCGCTGCAAGCAGCAGGCCTCGTCGTTGAAGGTGGCATGCGATGGCCGCGGCTGGATGATGCTTCAGTCCAAAGTGACAGTCTTCCAATTCCTGGGTTTGCCCGTGTTCGGGATTTGCTGTCTCGAAAAGGGAAGCACGATGAAACAGCACAGTGAGGCCAACAATTTCTCAGGTCCCGTCATGTCGAGAAGAACCCATGAGGCTTGCTTTGGGTTGTGGCACGCGGCTTGCGCAAGCTGCGTGTAAGGTGTGGTTCGGCGTGTTCCACATTCTGGCCAGGACCCTAGGAGCTGCGCAGCCAGCATTTGCCCAGGTTGGGGGATTTTCACATGATTTGTCGGGGTGTCATTTTACCCAGAGCCACTTGAATGGACCCAGCATCCAGTAGTCCATGTTCAATTTGCAATGGGAGGCACATTTATCCACCCATTGAGGTAGCCGCATATGTTGACTACCCACATGTTGCCCAGGTCAAGGTGGTATCAGACGCAGTGCAAGACATCCCACATGGGGCGCTGCTGGTAGAACTGACGCCGGATGGGAGGGAAAGCAGCTTGGACTGGCAAGTGAACGAATAGCTGTGGCTGAAGAGGGTGATGCTGAAGCTGGCAAATGCCTGATGACTCGTTCATTTGCAGGGTCCGCTCGCTTGGTACCATCTTTCACCCGCGAGGAACGTATCTCTGGTCCTGGATGGAGTTCTTCGGCTGCTGCGGAGTGTTGCTGGGCATGATCCTGCCCGCGCTGGCGGAGTCAGAATGTGCCTCCAGCCCAGACACAGGCGGACTAGGGCGCGGAGTCCGTGGAGGAATGCGCTGGTTACACTTGACTAGTAGAGGGGGCCTGCCCCCCTTCAAGGTCGACAAGGTTTGGACAAGCCCTCAAAACCGAGATTCAATGTACAACCCTGATTAATCTGGGGCAACTTCGGTCCTCGTCAATTTCCTTCTGGCCCAGTCCCAGCCAATTGAACTGGAAACTGGTCCTTGCCTTCTTGGCCCCTTTTGGGCAATACATTAAATGGCAACAACAGTTTCTGTTTTGAGCTCTCAAGTGCCTCGATGAATCGCTGAGGGTTTTCTGTTAATGAGGGGGGGCGCAAAGGGGGCAACTGTCAGGGGTTGAATAGTGGCTTTTTGGTGCGAACACTGCGCAAAAGGAAGGCCATGGACAGGTGAGGGGTTTGATAAGTGAACATCCATGAACACAGTTCATGCAATGGCGGAAAGGAATTTTAAGGGTGTGCAGCGCCACTCCCCTGGGCCAGTGGAAGCCTGCCGAGCAAATCAAATCCCCAAACCCCCACGTTACTGGCGCCTTTGCAGACGTTGGCGACGGCAAGCAGGGATTGGATTGGCGTTGGGCCCCCGTAAGGTTCCCAAACCAGTGATTTTGAGTGGCGGAATTTCCGGTCCGACGTGCACGGTTGTTCCGCACCAAAGTGGTGCAGGTCTCGAACTGGGTGCTGGAAGGGCTTGCTCAGCTTCACTGTTCTTGGCATGTTTTTTGGTTTTTAGTTTTTTGGTTCTGTTCATTTTTACAGGGGGTCTGCAAAAAGCAAAGTTTTTTGCTACCATACCAAGAGTAGAGATGTAAAGTTCCTGTGGTCTATGATCCAGTTGCGTCAATTTCCCCTGTCGGAAGCAAGAACAACATTGACCATTCGACCATGGCTGATGCGCTTCAGCCGCCAGGCTGCTATGGGTACCTTTTCCTAGCGCTGTGCTTGGGGGGCATGTTTACGGCCTCCAACTTGTGGCTTGGCGTGAGACGAATCCATCGCGAGTGACTCGGTTTCCGAGGTTCGTCGGTCGGGTTCCGACTTTTGAGGTAAGAGGACGACATGGGAAACAGCTTTGAACATCACCACACATCACCAGCCCAAACCAATGGGAGGGAAGCTGACCACTTGCGGGGTGCGGGTCCTGTGCATTTGGGGATGTGTAGCGCGCGTGGACGTCGGCCCCGGCTTTGGGGAAGCGCTCTGTACCGAGCTTCCAAGTTCGGCGAAGTTCGGGTGGATTTCATTTAAACCTTGGGGCTCCAGTGATGAACCTCGTGTCACGGGGATGTCCCATGGGGATCCGCACACGAGGGTTGAATAGGGCTTTCTTAGGGTACACAGGTACGCCCTCTTGAGGCAGAGGCTAAGAAACTACGCGACACCTGGGAGCCAGACATTCGCCGAGAATGGAGTATTGGGGCTGCGTGCGCGCTGGGTGAGGTTTTGCTGAGCGTCGTGTTTGTCTCTGCGCGGCTCAAAAATAATCTTTGTCAAGTGTTTGGGGATTTCATTTCATTCTTCAGCATTTCCCCAACTATTCGAAGCAACTGATTAACAAACCAACTTGATAACCTGCCTACTTACCAACCAACCGACCGACCGACCAACGAACCAACCAAGCGACCGACCGACCAACCGACCAGCGAACCAACCGACCGACCGACCGACCTACCAACCTACCTACCAACCTACCTACCAAACAAGCCTGGTAGCCATAGACCGCCCCACTGACTCCTTTGCGAGGTTCCTTTGCCACCACGTGAAGGAGCGGCCCTGCGCCAATCTGACGGACGAAGCAGAAGGCGGGGCCAGCAGCGCTAACTCTGACGGAAACGGTTTCCGAGCCATTCCCTGAAGGCAACCTCCAAGAGTGGCGATCATTTCAATAGCCAAGAAATGGATTCACCCTTGACTCGGGGAAATCCAGCGACCCCTGCTTGAATGATGCTTTGGTTGAAGGAGTCCTTCCCCAAGCGATCATGTTAGCCTGAATTGGTGGTTTGGATTTGTGGCTTGGATTTGGATTGGAACCCCTTGTTTGTTTTTGTTTGTTTGTTTGTTTGTTTTGAAAGTGAAATTCCACCGCCCAACTTGAAGCTGATTTCAGTTCACAGGCAAGCCTTGAGGGGGGATTCAATCTATGTGCGCTCGAGTTTGGTCCCAAGGGTTTGGTACCCTCCCCCAGACTAACATGGAAGCTCCCAGGACCCCTTTGGAAGACTTGGTTCCATTTACAGGGCCTTCTGGGAGCTTCCATGTTAGTCTGGGGGTTTGGTATGGTTTCCGGTTTCCCTTCCCTGCAGATGGCGTTTTGGATCCCAGGCACCGTTCAGGCATGGAAGGATTCCTTCACAGGCACGTGCCAGAAATGCATCGGACTCTGGGTCCCACTTGTTTGGTGCCCACCATGGCCATGAAAGGTAGGATTTCCTCACTTCAGTTCACGGACTTCTCTGGACTGCATACCTTTTTAGAGGATCATTTTCGTGGTACAGAAAAAGTTAAGGCTCGTTTTGGCCAATCCCCCGAGCTCTCCGGGGGGGAACATAAACACTTCCGACGAATGGGCCGCCTCGCCCTTCCGCCATCGAAAAAACCTGCGCCCCGCATGCTTGTCTTGTTTGTCTCAGCGAGATGCTGAGCTGGGGAAGCGTGACCACAACGATGGCTCACTGCCGCAATTTGCCATTGGTCCATGCCATCACAACTTCGATCAAGACTAGTGAGTGGAGTGCTTTGTCAAAGCGCGCCACTCAAAAAACGCCAACCAATTCCTGAAGTGCAGCAACCTCATTGGTTTGGATGCTTACCTCTTAAAAAACACAACTTTTCAACTTTCTTGGGTCACATGGGCTATATGTCTGTAAAAGATTAACTTCCCCAGGGCTTGGAGTTTTAAGGGGTAAGTATGGGTCAAACACCATGGGTCCAACTGTCCAGGTACAAATTCGTAGCCAAGGGAGGCATTGCAGGGGCATGAGGCCATAGCCTTTCCATAAACCACCGATGTCTCCCAAGTCTTGGACTTCCAATGCAAACCGCGTGCAGCGGACCAGGAACGGGATAGCCAATGGGAGGCCCAGGGAGGCATTGCAGGAACCTACCCATGGCTCATGGCTCAGTCTTGGATTCGTGAATTAGAAAAGAAAAGGGATTGTTTCAGGCTTCGTGCCCTCCATCGTGGGCTGCCTCAGCAACTTCCCCTTCTTCATCCTCCTCATCTCAGACGTCGTGGAGGGCTTTGGGGCGAATTTGCCCCTCCTAGCCGCTCTGCAAAGTGTTGTGGACCAGGCGTCTCCAAGTGGATGCGGGCAGGCAAGGGCTTCCATCAAAGGACTTGTTTTGGCCTTAAGTCCACCCATCAGCCCTCATTCTCCGCTTTGGGCATAGCCATGGGGAGCGAAGTAGGCGTCAGAGAGTTCCCTATGGCAGGGCCAGAGAAATCGATTTCCGTCAACCCGGAAGAATCCCCCAGAGGCGGCCGCAACGAATTTGTTGGGATATGTTGAGGGTTTCCCGAGGTCCAAGGCGGTCACCTTTTAGGACCTTGACTAGGTCCACCAGTATTGCCCCTTTACCAAAGTTTTTGGTCGGGAGGGTTTCCCTACTGAAATAGACTGCAAAAAAAGGGTACCCTTATTCTAACCTTTCTACTGGAGGACCTGGTTGACTCACGGACCAAAAACAAGAAAACCTCAAGGTCAGATCTGGTCGGGTTACTGAGATTCTGGAGAAGCGGGTCAATCTTCTCTGGTGCCGAACGCTTTGCGCCAAACGCCATGTGCTTTTTGCATCCAAAAGGTTGTGCCGGCCTGCCTGCATGCTTGTGCGTCTTTGTGTCTGTTTCTTTGTTTGTTGCATTGTGATGCCCCCAAGGCCTGTCCGCATGTCGTGGGCATCCAATTTTCTTCAGCCAAGCTCATTTTGGCCTCGGCACGCCGGAAAGTCGGAACCTGTCAGGTTTTGCCCTACGTGATTGACTGGGTCGTGGGCAAGGAGCGGACATGAATTGTGCTGATGTCGTGTGATTACGTATGGTTCTAGGGGTTGATTCCTTTTCCATTCTTTTCAACCATCGTTCTTTTCAAAAACCAGCTGTTTTTTTTTCCCCCCAGGGTTTTTGGTGGTTGTCTAGAAAGAAGGATCCCTGGAAACAATGGGGAAGCTACCCTTAGAATGGTTCCACCTGGGTTTTGGATCATCGAGCCTTGAGCGAAGTCTAGGCCGGCGCACTAGACTTCGAGTTTGTGTGGCCTTGATCCTTGCCGTCTTTCGTTGATACCACGTGGCTTGTTGCGGTTGTCAAAATGGCATGAAGATACGTATAGATCGTGTAGATATATAAATGCACACATGTATATATATATATACATATATATATATATATATCATATATCTATAGATATGATGGTTCGTCCCGGCAGTGTGGCACTTTGTCTAGGCCGGTGTAGCTTTGCGGTGGGCCGGGAGTGGGTGAATCTTTTGAGAGGGCGGTTAACACCGGCTCGCGGCATGAAGGCAACATCTGTCAGTGACGCACATTCTGCCGATCAATGAACTTTCGCAGGAATGGAGTTTGGATGAAAGGAGTTCAACATTCTGCCAGGAAGCAGGTTCTACTCGACAATTTTTAGCAGCAGCCAACCCATGAAACTTCGAGAACAGCATCGGCCTGCTGATATCTCAGATGCATTCCAACTGAAGTGGCACTCTGGTGTCACCTGTGTATTGCGGCCTAGAGTTCCATAGCACGTTGTTCTCTGGGTGTCGCTTGGTGGGAAAAAACCGCCAAGGATCGAGTTGCATCCCCCCCCCCCCCCCAAACAAGCTGGCCCAGCCCAGTCCGTGAAACCCGGGGTGGGGGTTCAGCACGCTCAGAGCCGGGCCAGGCCATGCTGACATGATCGCATATTGACGAAGAATGTCTATCTGCAATATCTCGTCAATACATATGTCCTTGCTGGGGAATCTATTTTTATAGTTTTGCCGGTGTTCCGTTGCATCCACTGTCCGGAAGCTTGCCAAAGCACAAGCCCACAAGAAGACGCCAATGGCTTGCCGATGTTTGGGCCCGCACCCGTCCGACCCGAGAGGAGGCTGCAGAAGCTCTGGTAGGCTCTGTGGGCACTCTCTTTGCCGTCGGCGTGCTGGTGCCTTTGCCAGAACCTGCGAAAGCCTGGATCAACATCTCTCAGGCAATTCCATGGAAGCTCCAACGGGACCCTTTTGGAAGATGTGGCTCCATTTGCAGAGGCCATCTGGGGGAGCCTCCGGCTGTTAGCCTGAGGGAGCGAATGAACTCAACTGCCATGAGCCAAGCTAAGGCTTCGAGCCTCCCCCCACCAACCGCCAGGAGTATTGAACCAGCAAGAATTGGAACGCCAAGAGTTCTCGCGGCTTAACCTGAAACAAAACAATGCTGCTTGGGCCAAGAAATCCAGAATTGCAACAACAGTACCTTGAGGTCACTTTTCCATGGTCACCCACTTTGAAGCACGCATCCGTTGTTCTTGCCAGCAGCAGCTACTTTCATATTGGTGTGAATCAACAGGAATTGATGGGTGGTGGGAATTCAGAATTGGGTTTAATCAGCTGGTAAATTGTCATGCCCATTCCAAGGCGCTAAGTAGTGGCCAGGCATCTTGTTGAAGGCACGTGAGTAGCTGACAATCTATGTGAATCTATGTGGTACTTGTCTACAGTTTTGCTTGGGAGGACATGAGGCAACACCAAATTTCCCTTGTCCCCTTTGAGGAAAGGACTCTCCATCCCCATCCCCTCAATAATGGAATTGGGGGGAGGGGGGGTGCTGGATTTTTCCCCTTATGGTAAGGGGTGACTCTCCTTCGGCCGAGGCCCATATGGCCGTTAGGGTGCCGATGAACTTTGTCTGGCGCGCAGCTGCCGCGACTCGCTTGCTGTCAGTTGGCTAATGAACATTGAGACAGAAACGCAGGACACAGTTTACCGACCCTCACCGGGTTCCGAGGATGTTTCAATTCCACGTTTCGGAAGGGTAAGCTGGACGGATTCTGGGTTCTGGGCGGGTGCGAACATTTTAGTTTGAGAAGAGGAGGAAAGGGCAAGCACAATTTCCGAGGACATGTGAAATTGAATGCATGCAGCGCTTGCGCATACATATGGGTGTGTTTTTTTTGGGGGGGACGCACAGAATCCTTTTGGTTTTCTTTTGCAAGCCACCAAGACACACGTGTGCATAAATCTGTGCATAAGCATAGGCGCTTCCGGCGCTTCTGGCGGGCAATTCCCATGGTCATTCAGAGGTGGCAGCTAAGACATTTGTCGATCGACCAGGAATCTCCTGCCCACATTTGCCAGTCTTTAGCTTCCCCTCCCTGGCATCAATGGAAGCCACTCCTTTTGTTTGAATTGCATTTGCAAGCTAAGCCAGCAGCGTAGGCACACTGTTGCTCACATAATTTTGCGAAATGGTGCTTACCTCCAAGGCCGAGCCTGCTGGAAAGGTTTGCGAAAACTTGGGGTTTCCTACAAGGCTTCTGAGAACCTCGGATGGAGTCGAAAAGCCTCGAGTTTGACCAAAGATTGCTTCCCCTTTGGGCAGCTGAAAACACGAGCCCGCCTTTGTTGACCGCTGGCCCAGAACCGGTGGGGCAAGTACCCCGCCTACTTGGCCTACGAGATCTTCTACGGGTCGCACATGTTTCTCTTCCTCTTTGTGACCAAAGGCTCTGCTCTGCTGGGTGCCTTGGCCGGGCAGCCTTGAAAGAAGGGAAATCAGCCAAGAGCAATGGGCGGTGCGCAGCCGTCCCGTTGGGTTTTTAGTTTTTGGGGGGGTTTAGTGGTAGTTTCCATGTAATCCACTGATTGGGCAGGGGATCTGAGCACAGCCCGGTAGTTCTGGGCGGTTTCTTTTGCCGAAAAAGATCGGCCTGACCAGATTCTGTTTGGGGCTGGCCTCGAAGCTTGAAGTCCTGGGTGGGTGGGTGGGTGGCAGAGTCGCGGGCACAAAAGTGGGTCACGCCTTCTGCGATACCAAGTGCACCCCCTGTAAAGTGACACAGTCACGCGGCCCCGTTTGGTATCACGGTGCTGTGATAAACAGTTACTTCCCACAACATGACGTGGTGCCTGCAATGGTATGTGTTGGGTGCCGCTGAATACCAGTTGGCTCCCTTTTTGTTGCCTTGCTGAGTCAAGACCCTCTGGACGCGTCTGGTGTAGGGCGACCATTTTCGCTCGAGGCGTCATCCTGTGCGCTACCTGGGGGATGGCCTATGCAGGCAGGTCACCTGAGTTTCTCGGGCTGTCCTTTGAACTGGGTCGAACTACTTGTTGGTTGGCTTTCTAAGGAGCTTAAAAGAACATGATCACTTCAGGGGTTGCTAAATTTGAAACAAGCCAAAGTCTCACCTGGCCCAATGCAAAGTGAGTTTCCTTTTGGCGTGATGGCAGTGGAACACATGTCGGGAACCTCATCCAACCCCTTGCTCCCCTTTGATCTATTCGGGGCGAACCAAGTTGGGTCTCCTGAGTCAGGAACCCTGATTTTTCCCAAGTCCTTGTTGATCCCCAACGGAACCAGCAAGTGGGGTCATCTCCTTGCAAGAAAATCTGATCCGGAATCAAAAGTTGTTGCCTGCTACCTAGTTTTGGGGATCCGACCCCCTAAATCCCATGCGTCTGCTTCTCCACAACCCCTCATTCCAAAGTTGGACTTCTAGCTTTGGATCTAAATACCCAGGTTTTTGTTGTGGGTCCCCTAATCCCCCGCAAAACCCCAGGTTTTTTTTGGTGGGGTCCCCGAACACATGGGTTTTGCGGGTCCATTCCCCTTCCTTGAAGTGTTGTTCACTGGAACCTTCCAGGCCACTGGCTGCTCTTCGATTTGGTCTCCGACGTGGCGGACTACGACGAGCTGCTCACCGGCCAGCGCCGCGAGGGCCAGCTCACGCCGCTCGGAGTCGGTCGCCTGGGGCACGACCAAGTCCCAGGGGAAAACCGGGGGAGGGGGGGGGGTTATCATGTACTCCCTTTTTGGAGGCTCAAGGAAAGCCCGCATTTTTTGGGGGGTCTACAAGAAAACCGGGGGGAGTTCTATGATCATGTGCTCCCTTTTTGGAGGCTCAAGGAAAGCCCGCATTTTTTGGGGGGTCTACAAGAAAACCGGGGGGAGTTCTATGATCATGTGCTCCCTTTTTGGAGGCTCAAGGAAAGCCCGCATTTTTTGGGGGGTCTACAAGAAAACCGGGGGGAGTTCTATGATCATGTGCTCCCTTTTTGGAGGATGAAGGAAAGCCAGCAATTGTTTAGGGTCCGTAAGTTGACAAAAAAGACACAGCATGCCCTGTGCAGCTTTGGGTTGCATCCTATGAAGCCCGCAACGGGGAACATTAATATATTGACCACAGTTCTTCCGCAGAATTAGCTCCCCTTTTTGCCTTTTTTGTTTTTTTGGGGTTCCCTTTGTTTTCCACTCACCAGGCAAAAAAGATATTTTTTGCTGGGGTCAGCCAAGTGTTTTGGTGGGTTTTCGGATCGGGGGGGGGGGGTTCTCGAGTCCCAGGATGGCAAGGGAGCTGGTGCCAAAGATCTGCGAGATCCCGGCGGACGCTTTGCCCTTCCTGCTGATGAGCCGCTCGACATCGACCGGTGAGAATGGCGAGAGAGATGAATTACCCTTCCTCCAACTAACATGGCACCTGTGAAAGGGACCCTCTGTCACGTGCCATGTTTGTGGGAGGGAGGGTACTTTCATTTGGTTAAGAATATGTGTTTTAATTGTCCCCTCTTGGTTTTAAAGGGAATCTATCACTACTGGAAATATGTTTTGTTTTTTTCCTCCAGGGGACTTAAGCAAATGGAGGATACTCGACCGGTGAGAATTGCGAGGGAAGAGACAGAGGTTTTTCCAGACCGATTGGATGGGCTTGGATTTTTCGAACATCCGCCTGAAAGCCATGAGCCGTATGACAGACGGAGCCAGTCAGATTCAGGCGACAGATGCAGCAGAGCCGGTCGAAAACGAACTACGGGAAGGAAGCGGGGCCGCCTATTTGCTAGACAGGGAACACGCCTGAGGTCAGAAACCTCTTAGCCTACACCTTTTGGAGCTGGAGAATAACCCAGAAACCGAGCATGTTGCAGTCTTTTGGAGCTGGAAAAATCAGACACCGAGCATGTTGCTCTCAATTTCTTGGCCGTCGTATTTTTTGGGAAACCGCCGAACTCAGGCATACGGACATGAACCCCGCCTGGCCACTCAAGTAGAAACAGCCGGAGAATCTGCCAGAAATTGGAAACAAGGGGTTCTGGCTGTGGCTAGCTTCCTCCAAAACCAAACGTATCTTGTTCTATCAGGGGGGACCTGAGTGCGATGAACAGGGCCTCAGGCAATAGGTAAAAGACGTAAATAGACTCCCAAATTAGCCAGTGACTACATATTAGCTCCTTGAGTCTGAATGGTGAAATGGCACCCCCTGCGCGCCGAATGTTGATTGAATTCTGCGCAAACCCAGGGTGTGGCAGTGGGTCAAACATATGTACCCAAAATGGCTGCCCGTGGTAAATGGAGACATGGACAAAAACCTGCGGTCCATATCATGGTGGTTTGATTTTGATCCATACCCATGTGAGCCACACATTTTTAGGGTCCCACACGGGTCAGGGCCTTGCTGGCCCGTTGCAACTGGCAGTGTTCTGCAACTAGGTCCGCCAGCTAGGTGCCTACTTTTGCCGTTTCTTTTTTGGTTGGGAGGGTCCCCCTATTAACTTTTAAAATAGACTACAAAAAAAGTTGGGTACCAGTATTCTAACCGCTTTACTGGAGGACCTGGTTTACACCCAAGTACCAAAACCGGTGCCCCTTTGGCCCCTTTGGCCACTACCCCCGTTGCAGGCTCAAAATAAAGTTGGGGCTGGTCGGATCCTAAAATAAGTCATCTATTTCATTTTAGTCCAACCCCCTTTTGCCATCAAAACTCATTTTGGCCTCTTTGAAATATCCTTCAAAGTTGGACTTCTTCCCCAGGAAGAGTTGGACCCCCTTGACTTTATTTTCATCCAAAAATAAAATGAAATATGTTTTGTCCAACTTGGACTGTTCAAACCAAACCCCCCCAAATCAGGTCAAAATAAATCGTGATTGGTCAATGTATTTTCTGTCAAAGTTGGACTATTTCATTGTTATTTCCAATAAGGATGGACTAACCCTATTTTATCTGATAAAATGGGGGGGGGGGGAGTTCAACCTTGTTTGGAACCTCCGACGGGGATGGCCACTGGATCAGAGAGCTGAGGCTACTATGGGTATAACCCGGACTTGGCGGAGCAGAACGACACCGTGAAGTGGATCATCAAAGGGCCTCTTGGTTGCACTGATGCTGGCCCTCGCAGCGCCGCAGCGCGCAGAGCGAACGCGGCAGCTCTCAATGTTGTTCGTCCGGAAAAATCGAGCGGCAAAGAAGCTAGATTGCAGGCTGTGATAATCTGGGTGCATTTCGGGTATTGCGACTGTTTGTCCTGGTTGAGTTCATTTTAGATATGTTTGGCAACAACGTCGCTATTATGCAAGCAGCAGCGTCCACGTCTGGGTGTGTCTTTGTTGGGTGCCCGTCTCGGGTTGTTCGAAAGGGGACCCAACATGAAGCTAAGCTTTTTGTATGCTCCACTATGTTGAGACAAGCCAATTTGTGGAACATCTGCCTACAGTTTAGGGGAGGGGGGCGTGGGGAAGATGGTGACAAAATCGTGAGCACAAAAGGGTATGACTGCATTGGGACATGTTTGGGGCGGGCAGGAGCTTAAACTCGCGCGCTGTCCTGACTGAATTGGCTTGCCACCTTCTACTTTGACATTCCTGGTTAGCAAGCTTCATGGAGGCTAAAGCAAACTTGCATGCAGCCTGGTGAAAAAGGCTCGTTTCCTTTAATGCACAAATTGTTTCGGTCCGTCAAGTGCTAGCGTAAACCGACTCTCGATGTCTTGGTGAGAAGTGCAACTGAGGTCCATTTCGCTCCTGCCGGGCATAGCAGGCGCCAACTTGAAAACGCGGCATTCCTGTTCTACCTCGGTGGTTAGATATAAGATTTAAGCAACTTTAGGATGAAGGGGACAGGTTCCATGGTGGGCAAGTCCAAATAGGGTTGACCGCAAATCGGCTGCTTTGGAACTTTGAATGAAGCAGAATCAAGCCAGAAGGCAAGGGGGGGTCGAAACGAAAGCGAAGCACTTTTTTTCTTTGTTTTGTTCTCCTTCTTCTTTTTTTTTTCTGGGGTAGACTCAGGATGCATGTTGCAGGGTATTGTGTTTGAGGTTGCTGACAACTAACGAGGAGGACCCATGACGAAACATGCAAGAAACATCATAGGTCCTGGTTCGCCCCAAATTTATGGCAAGTTCACCTGAGTGCCAAACAAGCTCAACCCTCTTCACCATGACCATCGTGATCATCATCGTGGTCGTCGTCGTCGTCGTCGACCTCGTGGTCGTCGTGATCATCATCAGTTATCATCAGCAGCATCATCATTATCATCCTCATCCTCATCCTCATCCTCACCGTCACCATCACCATCATCATGAGCATCACCATCATCAGCAACAGCAACATCATCATCATCATCACCATCATCATCGTCCTCGTCCTCGTCCTCGTCCTCGTCATTGTCGCCAGCATCGTGGCTTTTTGCAATCGCATATTGCAAGCGGTGGAATCGGACTTGCTCAAGCCTGTGTCATGAAGCCATCAAGACGCTTGTCAAGTGTGCCTAGGAATGTGCGCAGCAAATTTCGGTCTGACTTGTCCTTGTTGCGGGTAAGGGATGTGGTGGCCATGTAGTTTATATCATGTTTGTTGGCTCCATGATTGTTGGCGGTCCCCTAAAATACCACACGGCCAGATGGAAGCATGGGCGTGCAAAGGCAGCTGTCAGCGGTAGCCAGGCTTTATTCGGGTGATTCGGCCAATTCAAGTGACACCTTCGATCAGAGAGCTTGCTTTTGCGTCGTTGGCGCCAGGCCTGTCCGGCACCGTGGCATTGCTATGGTTCAACCTGCGGAAGCAGGCGAGGAGGGTTTACTTGGCGGATTTCGTTCCAGAGATGTCCTGAAGGGCCCGCAACTCAGGGGTTTTACAAGATTTGCTTTTGTTTCTTCAGTTTGTAGGTTTGTAAAGTTTGCAGTATTTGTATATTTCTTGGGCTTCGGTGTTGCGATGTTTTCGGGTTTGGCTGCTGAAACTCTGCCAATGTGCGATCAGCGAATTCCTTTTTTAGTTTTACAAAGGGCTGCTCGCGCGGCAGCAGCATGGCTGTAGCCTGAGGGCTCAGGGTCTGGGACTAGAGGGTTCACCCCAGCGGTTGGAGCTTTCCTCTTAGATTGGCTTTGTTATGGCATTGCTTTTCCTTTGGGGCCGCCTTGGGACACCCGGCGGCCGCACTGCTTCTCCTCCATGCCAGGAACAGCATGATGACATCATCCGACACCTGGCCGAGAGCAGTGCAGGGGAGGGATGTTCTCATTGAAGTGCCCCATATGAGAAGCTTGGGAGTCAAAACGGGTTTAGACCGGGAGTTCTTCCAGAGGTCTTCCGATCTGGACTTGAGCACAATGTGGGTGTGGGTCAAAATTAGACCAGAAAAACCCCAGGCCTTTAATCCTCAAGCCATTTACCAGGGCAAGCCATTTTGGGGTTACCCCATTTTTGACCACCACGGCCAGGTGTATCAGGTCCTCGGATTTGGATTTGGATTTGGCTGAGTTAACCAACCAATCATCCAAACCAAGGGGCTCAAAAACTGAGGTGATGGGTCCAAAAGAAGTGCAGCTACGGAATGCGGGGGTGATGAATCACCCCACAAATGGTTGGCCGTTTTTCTTTTTTTTGTGGGTACCCTTTTTGTAGGTGGGAAACAAGGAAAGCCAAATGGAAACTAATGAGTTTCGGGGGTCCCCTAATTTGAGACATACCCAAATGTGACTTTCTTCCAAAGGGAGCCACAGAAAATGTTTGTCTTTTTGTTGGTCCAAAAACGTTCTATTTACGTGATGCCTAGAATTGCAAGGTCAGGCTGGAAGCTGAAATGCCCTCCACCAGACTGTGGATTCATCAGAGTCAGCGTGAAACATCGGTGGACGGCTTCTCTCACGTGACAAGCATGAGCCAACCCCTGAAAACCAACTCCAGAGATACAAGCATCAATGCGCACACAGCTTTCCTGGCGCAGGGGGCGTCGCGGCGGCGTGTCGACCTGCAATATCAGAAGCTCTGTTTGATTCGGTCAGAACATCAAGATCCTCATACAATTCATCAATATTGGATTGATGTAGCGCCAACGCAAGCATTATAGCATTATGCCAACTCATGTGTTGTACCCATCAAATCGGGATATGTTGCAGGTGTTTTCTTCTTCAACATGACAATCAGGTAATACTGCCTGAATTGCTCATGTTTATATCATTCAATACTTGGAACCCGACTTAAAGACACCCCTGCTTTCTGAGGTTTTGACCATGGCAATGGACTCGCAGATAAGTCAGCCACAAGCAGGGTTCCTTCAAAAAGGATACCTTTTGGCCAATTTCAATCCCACATTTACCAACTATGTCAACCGGTTTCTGCGTGGGGATTGTCTTGTAAAGGACCCCAAATGTTGGCTTTCTGCGACACATCACAGCTGCCCAGGAAGCTTGCATAGACATCAAGCTGCTCGGCAAATCGCACTGCCGGGCCCGCTTATTTCCTGTAACCATTTCCAAGGGCTACCGGAAGTAGAGTCACAAGTGGGAACATTGGCAATGTCGTCTTGCAGGCATGCATTGGCTACGATCCGCTATGGTTTCTAAGATGCTGGCAACTCGTGTTTACTCTGTGTCTTATTTGGGGAATGCGCCCCATACTGTTAATCAAAGTCACACAACTCACATAGACATAGAAACAACAGCTTGCACCCAAGTTCTGAACATGCCTTAGTCGGCAGAGCCCAGATTTTTGGCACACCCCGTGCCCATGAAACTTGCCAAACTTCCAAAAGATTGAATCCCGCAAGCATGGTCCTGGAACAGAAGCTTGGATGAATGTCACATTGATACGCGACCTGGTCTACTGGAAGAGCCACCCAGGTAGGGTTAGCCCATCTCAGAGATGGCCCGGGCTACCACTTCAGCTATGGGGAAGGGCCACTATACCCAGACATCATTTGGACGTTGTCACAGGCCCATCCAGGGGTCTCCTTCCCTTGCCTGTGGCGTCAAACCTCAGCTTTGCCCATTTCCCAAGCAGCAGTGATGTCAAAAGGGGAGACAAACAGTATTTATAGCCTTAAAGCACATATATATATATATATATACATATATATCTATATATATATGCATATACATACATATGTCGACATATAGTTATTGTTATCATTATTGTTGTTATTAGTTATCATGCTTATTATTACTATTATTATGACATATATATATATATATTATGTGCATGTATAGGCTGACCAATCACTTCGCTGACCCTTGGACACGCGCCCATCACTTGCTCAGGCCGGGCTCGTAGCCACGGATCCCTTGACGGGGCTGCGGCTGCCGCCCATCAAGCGCTCCGCAGGCTCCGCCGCGGCCCCAGGCGAATGACTCTCTAAGGGTTTTTGTATAACACCCTGGGAATACACCCGCTGGGTATTGAACCCATTTATGCACATTTTCGGGAATAAAGCCGTGTTGTTTTGAACCATTCTGGGTCATTTCCCAAGTGTGTAATCCCAGGGTGCAATACAAAAACCCTCAGAATGACGGACAAGGCCAGAAGCGTGGCATGGTGTTCCTTAGCTAGGTCCCCAGCTAGGTGCCCTTTCACCGTTTCTTTTTTAGTTGGGAGGTTTCCCCTACTAAAATAGACTCCAGATAAAAAGGGTACCCTTCAAGCCTCTCTACTGGAGGACTTAGTTAGGCTTTGGTTAGTTTCGTGGTTGGACCAGGTTCTGTGGGCAAACCCTCCTTGGTTCCCAGCCATTCGGTTCCTTGGATATGTGGTTGTTTTTTGTTGGTGAAAGGAGGTTGGGTGTTTAATTAGCGCACTAAAAGCTAAACTTGTAGCAGGGGATCTGATAGCCCGGTCCTGTTTGATGTTGCCGGGGTCATGTTGGCCCTTTCTTGGGGGTATCAAAGTTCCGAGGCTGGTGGGTGATTTCCCCTTAGCCTACCACTTGCTGGTAGACTGTTGGATAAATCCGAGCCCGGATTGATACACCTGATGGCAATTATTGGGATGGGGGGGGGGCCTGCAAGAGCGGAGGAGCCCCACCGAACGGGTTGTAATGCTGTTGATAGGATCGATTCAGTTGAACCCACGTGTCCATCAAGTCGGTTTGGCCTCTACTAGCTGTAGCTTGCAGAGCGCGGATAGTATTATTACAGGAAGACAGCTTATGTAGGGGAGTTTTGAGGCCATTTCCTGTAGTTTTTCCTGTAACCAAACCCTTTGATATTAGTAGCATGCACACCGCGGTGTGGAAGGGATTTTGCATTGCCCAAGGTCGAGTTTGAGGGCTCCACGATAGCGCGCCGCTTGCCTGCACTGGGATGGGTCGCATGCATTGGGCCTGTCAAGTCAGGGAGATTTTGTTGATTCCTTTCTGCTTTGAGCATGGAAGGGTTCCATTCGTTTCCCTCCAAAAGTGCTGGAAACCACCAGCAAATTTACGGGGAAATCCAGTGACAGTGACCCCTGCATGGCACTGGTGCTAACAAGTTCCGTCTCCTTGGCCATTGAAGCGCTCTTACGCTTCGCAGCCAGTCACGTCCTACTGCTTTCCAATCAAGACTTTGTTGGACCCGCAAACTGCTCAATTTCCACTGGACCGCCTTTTTTTCAGAGAGACCTACCTGACTTCAGCTCCGATTCGGTAGGCCAGTCGAAGGTGTTCACCTGAAGCTAGGGGGTTCGACCAGAGTTTTCAACGAGCTCCTGCGCTTTTGGCTCTTGGGCCTGGTGGAGCCACTGGAGTCCAACATTTTCTCGACAGGAGAGGCGCTGATCATCATGGACCACTTCTTTGCCAGCGAGATCAAGTGGGCCTGCGAGTCAGGACCCAGGGGCAGTAAACAAAGCCAGGACATGGAGATGAGCTACTTCATTGCTAAATTCCTTTGGGGCAAACTTGAGCCTTTGGGTTGATACCCCCAGTCAGGCTTTGCAATAATTAGTGCAACTGGCAAATCTGTTCTGCTTGCTGGCTGGCTGGTTGGCTGGCTTGCTTGCTTAGATGGCCCGCCCAGGAGTGGGCAAGCTCAAGGTGAAGCCTTTGGTGGCTCTGGTCATCTGCATCCTCCTGGCCGTCCCGGGCGTCGCCCTGGCAGCGGTAGGTGCGGTGGTGGGATCCGATGCATCCGGGATCGAAGTCGCCTCTAGGAACTTGGATGAACATGGCGTCAATGAAGGGGCTTGGTTCCCCGAAATGCGAGGTTTTCCCTTTTCACTTCCCTTTTATGTCGGCCGGAAAGCCCAAAGAGGCAGGTTTAAGAGGAATCTCTTGTTTTAGCAAAACTCTTGCCCCCTCTCTTGGTTCGATGCTGATTCGAATGTGCAGCTTGGAGGTTAAGGTTGAGAACTCAACCTCGCAGGATCGGTTTCTTTATTCCTTTTCTGCATGCCTAAAACCTCCAGTCTAGGTTTCAGGCAAAAAAAATCGAGCTCACCCCGCGGGTTCTGGGGAGGTCCTTTGCCAGGGAGGTCCTTTTTACTGGATTGCGAAACACAGTCTGCAAGTTGTCCAGATCCACATGTTTCATCATCTTTCCATTGGATCATGTCGGGTTTCGGAGGCGCCCGGCCCCCTGTCCACTCCCATGATTGAACAAAGGGTAAACAGCGCATGATTCTCGCAGAGTTACGTTCCCTTTTGCTGCTTTCCGAATTGAAGGATTGAATTTTAACTCTGAACGTTGGACATGTTGACAATTCAATGTTGAAAATTAATGTTGAAATGCTGAATTTTGACAGTTCCACCCAAACTCGGGGGACTGCAACAAGGATCCACCCGTCCTCGCTAGGCTGGGAGACTCTCAGTGCGGGCGAGGGGTCCCTGGCTCCTGTGGGACTCATCTTGCGTCTTGGCAGAGGTGCCATGGAATTCAAGGTCCAAACATGTATTGGAACACCGGCTCAAAAGATGAGTATGTTTCCATGTTCCTTGGTTCGGTTTTAAAGGGCAGCTATCACTGGACACGACTTGATTGTTGCCAGGGGACCTTAAGTAAATTGATGAAACATCATAAACCCCTTTGATTGGGGAGTCCCTTCTCGTGGGGATTCAGATATTTTTTTGGAGGGGGGCACCACCCCTGTAGCACGGGCTTATTTCACCAGGGTCAACATGAATAAGACGTGCCTGGCTTGCAGTTCGTGCAGCGAGCAAGCAGGCGAGAGGCACAAGCTGGGCAACCAGGAAACCGACACCACCCTACAAGTGGAGTCGGGGGACCCCTGCAATTCCATTGGATCCATTTTGCCTGGGAAGACTAAATGAGAAAACGGAGAGCAAAACAAGAGAACCCGCCGAGCGAAGACTGCGTGGATCCCGCAAAAGCTGGTCATGTTCTTAGACTCCTCGGTCTAGACGTGTCCCTCTCATGCGAATACAAAACTTCACTGTTCTTGGCATGTGATTTGGTGTTTTTAGGTTGTTTGGGTTCTGTTCATTTTTACTGGGGGGTCTGCAAAAAAAAAACAGTCAGTTCTTCGCTACCATACCAAGGAGTAGAGATGAGAGTAACTTCCAAGACGCCAACGAGAACACTCCGCCTCCAACAGGTCTGAGAGCTTCCAGTTCAGCTTGAAGAAGCGGAGCAAAACCGAGCGGCAACCAAGCAGCCGAAACTTGGAAAGGCCCCCATCCATTTTCGGGATGGTCAAAGCAGTTCGAAGGCAAAGCCCGCCACACACGGGGATTCCCTGTAAGAAGGACAGAATGCTGCACCAGTTGGTAGTTGTAGGTGGTTTATTCCATTGTTTATACGCTGGTTTTGTCCATCCAGAGTATGCTTGCCTTAAAACCCGCCATTCAGTTGGGTTTTAGAGTCTTGGTTCCCAGCCGTCCGGTTCCTTAGGTTTTCAGTGGATAGGCCAAAAAACATGTGCGACCTGCAGTGCCGGAGTTCGGTTGCGTAGTATCCCCTGTACCTACCTGCCGAACGGGAATTCTATGCCGTTTGCTTTCCCTGGAAGCCACAAAGAAAGCAATGCAAGGGGCCAAAGACTCACACATAGTCTACCCCTATGACAAACATTGGCCTTGAAGTACCCCCAGCCTGTTCGACTGATTAAGGCTTAGGCCCATGTTGGAATCCCTTAAGGTTAAAGGGGGCCTGGCTGCAACCAATTTTGAAACCAACCTTGCCCGCCTGAAGTTGTGACATCTGGTTACTAAGCCTGGATTGGTTTGCGAAGCCCAGGTTCCGATTTGATCCTTAAAGGATTCCCAAGACTACCTGCAAAGCGCAAGGGGCTGTCCAAAATCAGCTGGTATTTGGGCATCTTTTTTAAGTGGCCCCAGTTAATTGTCCTTCAGCTGGTAAATGGGCATTTCGACTCCCAGGGTGGGCTTCGCAGTGATGGGGGCACTCTTCAGCGTGGCGCGGCTGCGGCAAGCGTGCCGCGCCGCACACCTGGTGAGCAAGGAGGATTTGGAGGCGCGCGCGCGCTGCCAACTGCCTGGAGCCGAGAAAGGGGAGGAATTTTCAACGGACTGGCGCGAAATGGGCAGAATTCGGGGATTCAAGTTGAGAGGAGGGTTGTGAAGGATCATTAACTGGGGCCACTTAAAACAGATGCCCAAATACCAGCTGATTTCGGACAGCCCCTTGCGCTTTGCAGGTAGTCTTGGGAATCCTTTAAGGATCAAATCGGAACCTGGGCTTCGGGCTAAACCAATCCAGGCTTAGTAAGCTTCACTGTTCTTGGCATGGAAAAAACAAAACAATTTTGGTTCTGTTCATTTTTACTGGGGGTCTGCAAAAAAACAAAGTTCTTTGCTACCATGCCAAGAGTAGAGATGTTAGTACCTAGGGAAAGTCACAATTTCAGGCGGGCAAGGTTGGTTTCAAAATTGGTTACAGCCAGGCCCCTTGAACCTGAGAGATTCCAAGAGGAGGTTGTCTAGGTCCCCCAGTAGTGCCCTTCTCTCCCCTTTTTTGCGGGAGGGGAAACCCCACTAGAATAGACTACAGAAAAAGAAAGGGTACCCTTCTAACCTCTCTACTGCTTCCCCAGAATTAGCTCCCCTTTTTGCTTTTTGCTTTTTTGGGGGTCCTTTTGTTTTCCACTCACCTGGCAAAAAAGATAATTTTTTGCTGGGGTCCAAATGCCAGCCTAGACGGGAAGACCTAGTTGTATTGGTTGCGTGTTTGAAGGGAGGCTTGGCTGCAGCTTACTTCCGGAGTTCCTTTGGATTTCGTCACCTTTTGGGACCATTTGCGTGGCACACGCTGGTGTTGCTGCAGGGAAAAGCGCCGCACAGAGTCAGATGTGGGACAACATGTTTTTCTTGCTTCAGAGTGTGTTTTGTCCAAATGAGCGCAGTTGGATGCTCAACTAGGTGACCTGACCTTTTGGATTTTCCGGTTTTCAAGCAGATTCCTTTGTTTCAAACGCCAGTTTTGGCCCGGAAACAGCCTGGGTCTTGGCGCCAGGTGATGCTTGCCATTCACAAGTCCCGGGGCCGCATTCCAGGGGGCGTCAAGGTGCGCATCGGGATGCCGCATCCCGTGAGACGGAGTCGGCAAAAGCGGGGGCAGGCAGCCACGGCATGCGGCGAATGGACAAAATCCCTCACCAGTCACCAGGTGGCTTATCTCAATTGTGAGATTTTGGCCATCCCAACTGGCGCAGGCTTTTGACCATCCGCAGTAATGTTACACCTCCTTTATTAATAACACCCTCTATTATAGGACAAAAACAACACGCAATTCAGGATCTTGTGACTGTTTTGGGGTCCTCAACTGCTGCAAATTGTTTCCACGAAAAGAATCCAAAAACAAAACAACAAATTTTGTTGTTTACTCTCCTGATCTTGTCTGCGACTAAGCCTCCGATAAAATATGGGCCAAACAAACTTGGCAAAGAAGCCCAGCAACAAAAACGAGCAAACAAATCCGGGCAAACAGGATCTTGTGAAGTGGTCCCCAAACCATCAAATTTAAGATAACTTCCTTACAAAAAAACGCGGGTACAGAGTCTCACAAACAGGGTTGCCCACAAGGGGCCTGAGCCTCTTTAATGTGACTGTTTTGGGGTCTTCTTTAGTGTCCAACAGCTTTTTGGGTTGCTTAAATTATTAGACTCAAGCCTTAGCCTTTTACTTTTAGGGTGGTTCGCCTAGCCAAGCTCTTCCCAGCTCAAAGGGTAAAGGCCTTGCATCTAGGAGGTTCATTTTGCCAGTGGCCCCCAAACCATCAAATTTATGATAAAATCCAAAAGGTACGGGCGAACAGTCACACAAAGGGGGTGCCCACCAGGGGCCCTGATCCTCTTTAATGCGAGAATTGGCAATACTAAAGTAAGTACTGGGAAGCTGAGAGCCAGCCTTGGCAACACTAAAGTAGAATTGGAAATACTAAAGTAAGTACTGTCCCTCCCAGACCCTCAGGATCTTGCTTAAAGAGGGTCCAGCTGACAGGTGCCACTCCCAGCGAGGGGGGGGGGTTTGTAAAGAGGGTCCAAGAGTACCCATGGCTTTGTTCTCTTAAAGTGGATATGGAACAGCGATTCGGGCACAACCACGTGGGTATTGGAAAATGATATGTTCCACAACCATGCGCTTGGCCCGAATTGCTAGAATAGTTCTTGATACATGTGGTGAAGGCGCTTGTTCACTTGTGCGTGTAGTGTTTACTGGGGAGTGAATTGCCAGGAATCTAGCCTTGGAGCCTGCTGTTGGGGCCATTTCTGTCAGTGAAAGAGTCGCCATCTAGCTGCAAGGGTCATTTGCAATTTTGGTTTCTTTCCTGAGGAAACTCTGCAACGGAGGTTGCTCGACCAAATTGGTCTCCATGCAGCCGGCAATATGTGTCACAGCGTGGCACCCATATTTACTTCTGCAACCGTGAATCCCATCAAAGGGTTGCCCTTTTGCACACAAATTCCCTGGGGCGAAGCCTGCAAAAAGCATCATTCTTTGGGCGAAGCCTGCGTCTGCTGACCACCGTGGCCTCAAGGTTTCGGGGTATGTTCCCCAAAGTGGCGCGGTGTGCGGTGTGCGGTTTGGCTAAGGTCCCCACCAAGTAAACCTAGATAGCCAAGTTGCCGCTTTTTCTCAGTCACTGTTGCCGGTTTTTGGGGTAAAGTTCATGGAAAAAAAGCGGCAACTGGGGATCCAGGAGCATTTTCGTACAATCTGGGTGCACTTGTTTACTTCTTTCGGGCATGCCTATACCGTTCTCCATTGCTAGACTTGGCTCTCGCCGTTTTGTTAGCTCACCTGTTTACATTCCACTGGCCAGATGTATTGTAAGAGGTTCACGTTTTGTCAGATATGCGCCTTCGCCTGTGCTGGCACCCCACAGCCCGTAGCAAGCCTGCACTTAGCTCTCTAAGATACCTGCCTTTTTTCTGAGCCCCTAAATCGGTGGTTTGGATTGGTTTGGAATTTGAACCCCTGGCTTTTGTAGAGGGCAAATGAAAAAACCACCCCTTTAACCACCAAACCACCAATCCAAACCACAAAGTAGGTGTAGGGTGACTTCGTGCGCCAAGCACCACAAAAATGAGTCCTTTTATGCCAACCGTTTGGGGGGCCCCGCCCATCTTTTGGAATTTGAACGGAGCTTACACCTAAACGGTTGACCTCCTTCCACTGTACAATTGGGCTAAGATGATTGATAGAATCAGTCCAAGAAGCTGGAAACTTCACTCTGCCCGTGCCAGGCTACTGGCGACGAGTGATGGCGTCCAGGCGCATCTCATTTTTGGCAGGCCTCGATCCGCACTGAGCCAGGGGAGAAAGGGATCCACGCGCAGGGCGTGCTACGCTTCTGGGTTCTCCCTGGCTCGGCGGGCATGGAGCGCCGTTCCAAACGACCGCCTCGCGAATGCGAAGCAAATGTTTTGCCACTGGCTTTCGGAGATACCAGTCTCTGAGGAACGCTAGTGACTTCCACAGAACTCTTTTTACATGAAGTTCACTAAACTTGGCCCAAGCCGGTTTTGGTCGGGGGCAATTTGCTGAGGTGGTCCAGGCTCCATATTCCCGGGAGAAGTTCTAACCAAAACAGGCATACTGGTCCTCCGGAAGCCAGTTCTCAGATGCGGGCTGCATCTGGCCAATTTCCAGTGTCATGTGGCCGGCAGAAAATTACAGAAAACACGAGTTGCGCGTGCGTCGCATGGATATCAGAAGAGAACGATAGGCTTGCTTGGGGACGGTTGTTGAGGTTTGCTTGCTTTCCGCAAGCCTCCTTTCACGTGGGCAGTGGCCTGGCTGGTTTCCGGAACCGATATGGGGATTTCACACACCTGAAGTCAAGACCGAGTCCAATCGCTCCCAAGAACCCAGCAAAGAGTCAGGTTACCACTTTGAACCCCAGTTTCTTGTGGGATGGGACGCCACAACCTCCAAACCACCAATCCAAACCAAACAACGAAATGCTGACGTATGACTGAAGCGTGTCAAAAACCGCAGGGTTTGTTCAACGTGTGTTTCAATCAAACTCTGAACCCCTTGATGGATGAACCCAAAGGACCCTGTGTCTACACATGGTTGAAGAGGGTGTTGGCCCGGCTCGGGCGGGCCCGGCTCGTTTCCTGAACCCCTCGGAAAGTATGGTTTTCCGGCCACTGCCTGTGATACAAAGGGAATCGCTTGTTGATAAAGTGGGGAGGGCCGGTTTGGCATCACAAGGGCTCCATATTTTATGTGAAGGGTGTGAGAGCTGTGTCCCATTGCATTTCCTGGCTGAAACGCACAAGGGCATGTGGCCATACATGGTTGTTCCTGCGGTGCCGATCTGCAAAGCTACAAATCGACATGGAACCCAGAAGCGGCCTTGCCAAACCTTCCCGCAAAGGAGATTCCTCCAGATTCGGCTTTTTGTTGCCCAATGCTTCCAGTTACTGTAGTAGGCAACCAGGCGAAACCATCATGTACTCTAGAGGTAAGCATCCCTGGTGACCTATCCTGGTTGCCTAAGCACTGGGTGTGAGATGCTCGATTTTTTCGAATTAAACATGCCGGGCATAACCGGACTGTTCTCGGGGTACCTTCCCCAATAGGGATCCTTTTTTTTCTTCAGGAAACCATCAGAAACCCAGGGGAAGCAGCCAGTGTTTGAAAAGAACGATGGTTGAAAAGAATGGAAAAGGAATTAACCCCTAGAAAAAGGTTTGTTTGTTTGTTTGTTTGTTTGAATCAACCCCGAGCTTGAAATCACTGGCAAAACGCTTTTGGCGTGTCAACCCCTGAGATCAGCTTGGCCTTCCGCCGGTTTGAGACCAACAGGCCAGGCCTGTCCTGGCGCGATTCATTCGTGGCTCGAAAGGACACCAGCGGGTTTTTGTGTTGGGACGCCCCCAGTTCGGACAAAACTGTTGAAACCTTTGGAAGCCGTTGTTTGTGGGTATTCGCATGGGGGATCATCCTTCCGTATTTCTTAACTGGTGCAGGTTTTGGTTCATGCACAGTATGGGAGCCTGTTCAAATCAACCAGGGTTGTGGGATCCCGTCTTTGTATGGGGGGCTCGTGCTGAAGCAAACCTATGGCATGAAATGCTATGGGACTTCGGACTGGTTCCGTGCTGGTCTTGTGCAGCTAACCCAAGACATCCTCGAACTCCCGCCTCCAGCCGGATTGTTTTCCCTTCAGTCATCCCTTGAACGGGAGTTCAACAAGTGCCCTTTCCCTTTCCCTGTTCTTTCAGTGCCCTTCCGCGCTACTTTCCCTCCGTTCATGGAAGTTCACAGGGGGGTTTTGGAAGACGACTTTCCTTTTGGGGAAGCCCCCTGTCCACTTCCATTGCTGGAAAGAGGGTGGCTCACGCTCATGAATTCGTCGAACCCCCGGAGATGTGTTTCGCACTGATTGGGGTTCGGGCCATGGCCTTTGAAGCATGGTATGGGAAGGTTCGAGTGAAGCCACCAGGCGCGCGTTGCGAGCGTCTCTCTAAAGGAAGCCAAGAGGAATCCAGAGGCTCAGTCATGCTGCTGCCTTCGGATTCTGGGCGCAGTTTGGACTTTTTCATTCCGGGGAACAACTGAGATACAATACCATGAGGGGGGTTACACGGACATAGAGTTTCCGCCAAAATGGATCGAATGTTGGAAGGGCAACTCGTCAGCTTGAGAGAGGTCTCTCCTTCAATCAGCCTAGAATCGCCCGGAGCTTGGGTTGTTGGGCTTGAATGCGTGTGTTCTTCCAATTGTGGCCATTCAGGTGACCCCTTGATGTTTCGATTGGGTTTGGATTTCCCCCAAACCAAGACGGATGCTGATCGCGGAATTGGCCATCGCGGTATAGCTCAAGGTAGAGCAGTGAAGGGCTGGATGTACATGTCCACATAAAACAAAAAAAAAAAAAAACGGTTTGAAACCCTAGTTTGTGGCTTTTCCTTTGGAAGATTAGCCCCCAAACAATTTCCACATGGCCATGGGTTCAGATGTGGAGCTATACAATCAGCCTTAGCAGGTGGACATTCCAAAAAGCCAGCCGACCATCTCTGTAGCGCCCAACTTGCAACCCTGGCCGCGCGCGGAAACATGCGCTGAACCTCTCCATGGATTCCGTATGTGGCGAGACTGAGATCTGGTTTTGGTTTGGGGTTGCGGATCAAACTATCGCATGATGTTCGAGGGGAAGCACCCTCAAAAACCGGCATAAGTTAAGTGACCGTGCATGATTGATCTACACCAAAGGCCCCTCAATTCCAACAAGCCTTTGTATCTCTACATGTATATATGGTAGGGTGCCTGGACTTTACTTGTGGGAAGATCATTTGGATGGCAAACAAACAGTTCGGACTTTGTTTTGGCCATCCACTCAGGAAGTGAGTAGTAATATAGGTTTCTACTCGATGGGGCCGACTGTTTGCACGTGAGCCATGGGCAATGCGCCACCGATCTCCGCACAGCAGCTGAAGCAGCTGCGGAACAAGTATGACAAGGACAGTTTTTCGACGGGGCTTGTGGACGTGTGTGTGTGTCTCTTAAGGGTACCGTAAGGCAGTTTGGTTTCAAGACAAACCAAGGGGCAATACAAATAGAACCTCATTTTGTTTGGAGCACCCCTTTGGTATGACATATAGCCCATTTATCTTATTAGTTTCGCCTTAGCTTCACTGAATTCTCCATTAGTTCATTGTTGTTTGGTGGGTTCAGGACTCACCCAATGGTCAGCCCAAACGGCTTCCTTTCCCTACCATGGTCAGTTTGCAGGTTACTTCGCGCAAGCAAAGCCAAATGAGTCCCCCGAGCCCTCGCGCCTTGGCGCCCTCGCCACTCGCCTCCAATGAAGACACCATTAAGAAGCCCTTTGCTTAGCTTAGCCACACGGAAGCAGTCATGCCTGCTTGGTCGTTTACGTTTGGAGATTTCCCGCCAGGGGACCCCATCATGTTGAGAACATCTTATGAAGTATGTATTTTGGCGGGTGGAAAATCCCTCAATGAACGCGGTATATACCCTGTACACTAGTTGTTTGGCGGTTCTATAGCACATGTTTTCCGTTGGGTGGTGAGCCTCTTAGACATTGTGACTGAAGGGACTGGTTCAGTAAAATTGGCATGGAACAAAGTGATTACCAACCTGTTGACACCACAATAAATGCTTGATCTTTCAGCCACTACATTTGGTTGAAAAGCCACCCATTGGAAATTGCTTCAGCGCGCTCACACTTGCAAAGCCCCCGTCCATGAAACCCTGGAAATGTATTTTGGGTTTTTTCGGGGGGGGCAATTGTTGCCCCGGCATGGATATTTGGTATATCAACCGCTACATGGACAATTCTTAGCCCTGGTCATTCGGCGGCCAAACGGACCCAGGTCTCACTAAAAAGGTGGAGATGCCAACCAGACGAAAACAAACAAAAAAAGATGTGCACACCGAAGGGATGTTTTGTTTTTCCAACTCCACCAGGACCGCAACCGCCGAGAAAAGGAAGAAGAAACAAACAGAGATACGAGCGCCCGGCATCCTCGCCCCGACTGGAGTCCTGGAGGACGGCAACGGGGACCTCAGCTGGGAGGAGTTCAAAGCGCTGGCGCTGGAGGTGGGCCAGCTGCAGGGCCTCAAGACGCCCGTCTCCGAGGAGAAGCTGCCGCTCGCTCGCATCACGATCGGAGCGGCGGAGCCGGGAGGACGTGTTTTTTGGAAAGGGCCGGGAGGAGTAGGAGGTCGACTTTAAAGAGAACCAGGAAGGGAAAGAAAGTCGTTTTTGTGGGTGGGGTCCTCTTTTTGTGAGGAGCATCCATTTGGAGAAATTAACTAGTTAGGCCCTTTTTCATGTTTTTCAATTCACGTGTCTCCCGATTGCGCCACCAGCCGAGTCGCCGAATCGCATTGCACGGTTGGCGCTAGAAACCGATGGCTCTTTGGGCACCCCACGATCTGCTCTATCTCGGCCAGTCGCATATGCTATGTTACGGAGGCCCAGGCGCTGCATATGCTATGCTGGCAAGGCGCGGGGGGAAGGTCAGGCACCCACTTCCAGTCTAAGCATCAAGCCGTCTTCGGTTTCCCCAGCCCCAGGAAGTCCTAGGCATGAGCCGTGCTGAGGCAGAAGATCTTCCAAGGGCTGGATGCAGACTCGTCACCTGGCTACGCCGCCCTTACGCCGGCGATTGGCTGCTGTTCAGTAACCTCTTCCCCCATCAAGGTCGTCAAGGTTTAGGAAAAACGATTTGGCTATCTGGTTGGATCTTTAGACTTTAACTTTTGGGGAAGTAGTGGATTTCCCGCTGGACTCTCAAGAAGTTAAACTTGATGCAGCCGGGTCCACAGCAACAGGTTTTGTTTTTCCCAGAGCAGAAGGCGGGTTGTTAGTGGGGGGAGGCTGGCCTTGAAGGGGCTGTGCACTTTGTGAGCTTGTCAAACCTTGATTTGTTAAACTCGTTGAACAACATATTATGTTTGCTCTTTCCGGATAGCTGATGTTTTGGAGATCTGTTATGGCAATCCGTGGGACTCTGAAAGAAGGTACCATTGGAAAAACATTTGCACTAGCCTGAGAATTGGCATTCTCCTTTGTTGTTGATTTGCTGGGGCAGGGAAGGTTAGCACCAGGGGGATGGGTGTGAACAAAAATTAGTCAAGGCGTCGGTGACTATTTGGCGCAACCTCGTGTCAAATGGGAACTCGTCTTGGTGGGGGGAATTTAGGGGGGAGCAGCTTAGAATGAATGGGATATCCCACCTCGGCGTCCAAATCCACCACTCGTGGTTAGTCCACACGCCAGCCTGCAGTCATGTGGGCTAACTTCCCCTGACCTCCAGAGGTAGCCTTTGTTCCACTTGTGTTTTATGGAGATGTTGGGGATACCTTGTTTTGAGGTGTGTTGGGGCATTATGAAGACTGTGTCTGTGGCTTATCAGAGTCAGAAACTGGGCTGGTGTCCCTTTAACCTACCAAGTGAACTAGTGGGGCCTCCCACTTGCTTCCATTTGCTTAATCATATGATTTTGTTTTTCCCGTTGGTTTCAAAGGGAATCTATCACTTACCGGACTGTTTTTTCATTTTTACAGGGGACGAACAAGCAAATGGAGGCTTGCCTTCTCGCTATTTCCTTCTTCGCCCGGCTTTCCCTTCGGCTCGGCTCCCGCGCCTTCGGCGTCGAGGAGCGGCTCCGTGAACTTCCAGGAGTTCGAGGCGGCGCACGCCAAGCTCCAGGAGACCTCGCGTTCCGCCGGGCTCCGGGCGCCAGAGCTGTTGATAGCCTCCCACCAATCCCACCAATCCCAGCAATTGAGCGATATTGAGCGAGCCACTTGCTCAAAACCCGGGCAGATGATCCGGTCGGTAAGCAGTCCCAGCCAGAAATCGTGGCGGATATCCGCCTTCTTAATTCTCTACCCTGGCTCTGGGTAGACCATTCGTGGGTGGTCTCTGCTGAAGAAGGCTTTGAGGGTCCGGGCACAAGGGTATCCACATGGGTATGTGTCAAAATAGGTGTGGCCCACAAGAATCGTAGGTTTTCCGGTTGGTGTCCCCAGGGTGCAAAGGGTGCGAACTCAAAATACCATCGGTCAACCGAATCACACACCCACAAAACCACCCTGAACAAGAAAACACATGAACAGGAGGAACCTCTACACGCTTTTGTTTTTTTAGTGAAACGGGTGCAAACGGCACCTCAACAAAGGCAACACGTCAAGAAACCAGATACTCAACGCAAAAGCTACCCTCCCACCAATTCACATGGAACCGTTCGGTGGGCCCTGATTTGGACCATTTTCCTTTTAAAGGGACCGGATCCCGAACGTCAGGTTCCGGCTGTGAATTGAGTCACAATTACAACCCGGCATTAAATCTTTTGGAGCATCCAATATTTGTTGGGTTGGGTTGAGTTGGATACAGTATATATACTTGTCCTGATGGAAGTAACTTGCACGCGCCTTTTTTGATACATGTCCCGGTGGAATGAAGCGTATGATTTCCCTTTTGCCCCACGGAGATCCTTGGCCTCTCGCAGGAGCAGCTGCAAGCAGCTGCCAAGGCTAAGGCCAAGGCCAAGCCTAAGGCACGGTAGCGGAAAAACCTTGGTCTCCCCGTTTTGGTCATTTGTTCGTTGTTGTTGGTCAATTTGGGTGAATTTTGATCATTTTTTCGTTGCGGCCCACAAAAAGTGATCGATCACCTTCTACCCTTCGCACTAGCATGTAGCATTTGTGGAGGGTAAGTGGAAGATGAAAGTCCTTTCGTGGAGCCCGTGTGTGCCATGCTAGTGGGACTGAGGGTATTCCTTGGTCCTCTGGGCAACTGACCTAAGGTTTTTCCACGGTTCAAAAGCTGAAGGCGCTGGGGTCTCTGAAAAAGAGAAGCTTTCGTTCAGGAGGGTTCAAAAGGAGGATACATGAGGATAATACTTGGGCTTCAGGACATTGGTTTCTCTCAAGAACCTCTTCAAAATCGAGGGCTCCCCTTGGGATGCGAAACTTTGGCCATGGCTCACATTGAATTTTCGGTTTTGAACATGGGTCATGTTGATTGTTGGTCAGGAAATGGGGTTGCTTCCCTTTAAGCTACCACTTGCGGGATGTTTTTTATGCAAAGGAAACCGCCGGATGACAGGTCTCTTTTGTCGGGTGGGCCCCGTTCTGACACATACCCAAATCCTTTTTCTGTGGTTTGCCGCTGGCGTTTTTTGCCCTGTGATTTGTGCGACCATTTCAAAACCACGCTCAAAGCCTTCCGTGTACCCTTTCAACAGATCCGGAAACCCTTAACTCGCGGTTGGGATTGGTGGTTTCGCGATTTGAACCGGTTCTTCTAGAGGGCAAGTGGGAGGCCAACCCCAAGCCTTCCTTTGGTTCAACCTGCCGTGGAAGCCGTGCTGGATGACAGACGCCCGAAGCTACACGTGACACGCTAAAGTTTGGAAGCATCATCTCGCTGTAATTCTCCAGTACTGGCTTGTTGCATGTATTTGGGTGTGTCATTTTTACCCCCCCCCCCCCCGCAAAACTTTTGTTTTCCCGGTTTCCTTTAACACCAGCCCGAAAAATTGGTTCCCTACAAAAGCACAGCCCCATTCGTGTGGGACATCCCATGCTTTCGGCGAAGTTCTTTCCGGACGAGGCAAAAGCTGAGGGCAAGGCCAAAGCCAAGCCGAAGCCCAAAGCCAAGGCCGCGGGTTGGGTCTCGGGATCGGTCTCTGTGGTTGGTATGTGGGGGCTATTTTGTGAGGCTTCCCCTTGTTTGGGTGGGTTTTCAAATAGTATTTTTTGGGAAAACCAGCTTCTCTGAGGGTACCCTTAGTTTGGGTTGGTGCTGAGGGAAACCTAAATGGAAACCAACCATGTTGGAAGCTCAAAATCCTGTTTGTAAGACCCCACGCGAAGCTGCTGATTCCATGTTCCCCAATGAAACAAGGGAACCACCAACATGATCTTGACGTTTGTGCTGGTACCCGGTTCATTCCGTACATTCCGAGCGAAGTCGGGAGAACGAGCGCTTCAGAAGTTTTTGTTTAGGTCCCTCTTGAAAGCCGCTTGGCGATTTTGGGGAGTCATGTGGGTCTGTTTTTGTTTCAGGGTACCCTTCTTGGGATTGTTTTCAAGGGAAGCCAAGGAATATCCCAATCCGTTTTTCGAGGGGCTCCCCTGAAAAATGATCCACCCATTTGGCCAGTGTGCACTTCTTGGCTTTATGTGGTTGGCCATGTCCGTGCCGGGTCCCGAGCCCTCAACAAAAAGTGAAAAGTTGCCGCTGGCGCATGCCGCTGCGACTAAAAGACCAAGCTGCTTACACAAGCTCGCTATCCTCCGGGCCAATGTGGTCCAAAGCACTGTGCAAGGGGCTTCGGGGGCATAGCTAGGATAGATACATCTTAGGTTTCATGTGCGCAAGAAAACACGGAACGGAACCACAGCCTAAGAGTTTCAGCCAAGAAAACTTCTGGATTGGCTTTTTACACTAGCTTGTCGATGATTAGGGAATTGCGGATCATGTATTGCAGATTATATGGGTTGCGCGGGTGTTCAATGCTGCAGCGTAAGGTTTCGAATCGACATTTGCAGCGCGGAGGAATGGGGCCAGGAAAAACCCTCCCCAAAGCTCAACGGCCGTGATCACGGCCGCACGGTTAGGTCGGGTAGGCAACGGCGGAGAAAAGCGCTCGGCCAGAATCAAGGGGCCTTTTCAATGCAGTATTCTACATCTTGGCCCACGACGAAAATCCCTGACTCCCTGAGTTCCTGAACGTTATACTTTTTGGGAGACAAAGAAGTCGGAAATGGTTGGCCAATCCGCCTTGGAAGTGAGACACTGCACGCCAAGTACTTCGATCCTAGCTTCAGGGTACGCTGACCAAGTTCATGGGGGCTCATGCGAACAGACCCTCGCGTCAAGCTCAATGAATGCCAACGGGGCGATCCCTCCTCAAATCAATCTGTCGAATTGGCCAACCGCTTCACAAGCAAGTTCTGGCCACGGGTGTGGATGCCTCACAAAGCGAGGCTGTGTTGTCACATGCTCCTTTCAGTGTGCAGTGTTCTGTTTCGGCGCTGTGGATCTGGTCGAAGTCAATGTCCCTTTGGAACCCCTTGTAGAGTTTTGGAGGGTCTCGTTGTTGTGTGTGGATCACTGCCGGAGCTCTTGAACCTACCTATTTTAGTGGTAAAGAAACAGTTTGGACTTTTTCGGGCCAACCCACTCAGGAAGAGAGTAGAAGGAACAGCAGGAGGAAACCCGCACTTTCGGGGGGTTCCAACTCCATGTCCAGATCCTCAGCTCTCCGAGGCGCCGGCTGCGGATGCTGTGGCCGAAAATCAGGCCAGGAAGTCATCCGGATGGATGCACTGGACACGGCGAATTCTAAGGGTGGAAGTACATACCCCTTGTTCGTACCCCTTTGCTTCCCTGGTTTCCAACCCACTTCGTAAGCAGTATATACTTCTTTTTGGGGGAGGGGTATGAACATCAGGCCTTTTGGGTTCATTTGCCCAGGGGGTATGTAGAAGGGGTATGTACAAGCACCCCTGCAAGAACGGGATACCTTGAAATCAGCCCGGTGATTCTGGCGGCCACTATGGCCCTAGTGGGTAACACAGGGAACCACCCTTTAAAAAGTCAAGAGGAAAATGGCTGGTTAGCTATTATAGTGCTAACTGGGCTCAAGATTTGGGGGTGACATTACGCAGGGCAGAAACTGCAGGCGATGTACAAATATGGGTGCCCCTCAAGTGAAGATACCCGTTTGAAATGGCCAGGCAAGGAGGCCACCAATCTGCCTTGGGTTCCTCTTGAAACCAACCCCCCAAAAAGGAGATCCTCAAAAAGGCAAAGCTCCGCCCAGTTGAGACCGCCCTTTGAAAATGTCCCAGTGCACCAGGCCTCCATTTTCGACTCCCTGCCCGGGTTCGACTCCTTCATACCTACCATCGGCGTGCCGGACTTGGGGGTCTCCAGCCTTTTCGCAGAGGACGGAAACCCACCTAGGTCCCCCAGTAGTGCCCTTTTACCAGTTTTTTTTTGCGAGAGGGTCCCCCTACTAAAATAGACTGCCGAAAAAAGGGTACCCTTTTGCTAACCTCTCTACTGGAGGACCTAGAAGCGCTTCCGGCACAACGTGAAAGCGGATGGCGCAAGCGTGCTCGTGGGTGAAAGGGGGCGAAACCCAAGAAAAATGGTGCCATCTACCTTTGGTCAGTTGTAACAGCTAGGGTGAAGGGGGCGACGGGCTCGTGAGTTGGCACGGGACTGTTTGATATTTAGTGGCGTGAGTCGAAGATAACCACGTGCATGTTGTGATGGAAGGGGCTTGAGGTGAACGAGGCGTGCAACGATGACAATACAGCTGGCTCAGCTGATTTTAGAGAGGGATCATTTTTCTGAGTTTCTCCGCCACGAGAAGGATTTGTCAGTTTGCTCGCACTGCTTGCCCCCTAGCAACCATTGCCACCCCTCATAGTTATAGATCTGACCCGTTCACAGAGCAGCATCCCTTGACCCATTTAGCTCGGGTTGCCGTGTTGTGGAGTTGGCAACGGTCAAGCGCAACTTGTTGTCTGGTTTCCTTGTCACAACTTTGGTCAGGCTTGCGACGTGCTTACTTTCTTCAGGCACCAAACCGCAGGCCAAGTTGTCGTTACCATCCTCCCACAATTCTCCTCAAGAAGTCATTTAATATGACTGGGCACTGGTTTCTTATTCCTCCTCACTACTCTCCGGGCAACGGACATCGCTTGCCAAGAATTTGGAAGAAGCTTTCCTTTTTCCCCCTGACTACTATGTAGTGTGGGAATATGAGCTGATCTTCATGTGGCCAAAGCCGCTGTGGCTTCTCGTGGCCTGTCACTTGCCGGACTTCTCTTCACGCCGCGTGGCCACCGTTTCTTCATCCCGTGGAAACCTCAAACAGTTCCCTGCCCAGCAACGTCCTTTTGCCACCTGTTGTGAGAAAATTGGTGACCCCCTTACAAAAGGAATCCTTCACTACGAGGGGGTCGAACAACTTTCCACAAAAGGTGGCAACAAGACCCCCCTTTCCCTGTCAATCACTCCTTTGTCCGGCGGGGGGGCTGGTTTTCATTCGATGGAGGCACGCCATCGGAGCAGATATTGAACATCCGGGCTCCAACCCACCAGCCTTCCGAATGGACGGTGCCCCATGAGGAAGCCTAGAAGAAAGCAAGCGGGACTTTCCACCACCGTGGCAAATGCCAACGACTCAAGGGTTTCTCGTATGTCCAGCTGGTTTCTTGGAACACCAGATTCCCACAGCCATCCCACATGTGTCCCGCAGTTTGAGTTGACCGCATATGCTTTTTGGCAGCTAAATGTAGTAGAAGCCTCCAATCGGGTATGTTGTTCCTTGCGTTTCCCAATTAAACCGCCCAAAAGATGGGTACCCTCAACTTCAGCAAAAAGTCACTCTCAAAGGCTTATCCTTGAGTGTCCATCTTCACCCAGTCAAGTTGTTTTGGTTTGTGTCTTTGCTGTATATTTTGCGGAGGATGCCCATGCCCGGGGGGGGGGGGGGGGTCTGGGTCTGGGAGGTGGCAGAGTCGAACTCCTTGGCCAAACAGTCATGGATGGGGTCGCACATGTCAACATGTTTCACCTGGAGGTGATCGATGTGCTCCCTAAAATGCCTCCACTCGAGACTTGGGTGTGGCTCAAAATTAAACAGGAGGGGTTAATTACGCGGGTTTTGGTCCATGTGTCCACTTACCAGGGCTTGCGCCATTTTGGAATTTTCCGGCTTTTCGACTTCGCCACGGCCATTTCTCTGTCCGGCCATGGGGCCTTTTGAATCACGCGCCAGGACTCGCGGGTGCCGGTGGCCAAAGCCATCCCCACACCCAAGAAGACCAAGCCCCCGCCGCTGCCGGAGCCACCCCCCGCGCCGCTGAACTCCCAGGCGCGTTGCGCGACCGCGCTTTTTCCCCTCCAAAGGGTTGCTGGGAGGGTTTGTCTTGAAGCCTTGCTTCCATTTGCTTAAGAATATGTTGTATTTTCCATAATATGGTTTATTAAGAAGATGTTGTATTCTCCATATGTTTTTTTTTAATTGTCTTGCTTCCAGTGTTGCCTCCATTCTTGCTTCCATTCTTGCTTCCATTCTTGCTTTCCATTTGTGTTGCTTGAGACTATGATTCCATATGTTTCATTTTCCCCTGTTGACTTTTTCGAGGGAATCTATCACTATTGGAAATACGCTTACTTTGTCCAGGGGACTGAAGCAAATGGATGCTTGTTTTGAGGGTCCCATTTTTTGACAATACGAACAAAAGAGATCACGATGAAACAGTATCAAGCAGTGCCCGTACTAAAATAGACTACAGGAAAAAAGGGTAGCCTTATTCTACCCGCTCTACTGGAGGACCTAGTTGCTCATTGCCTTTTTTCCAAAAGGAAACCACAGGGGATGGTGTGGTTTCTCCAGGTTTTTTGTTAGCGCGAATTTATGAAACAAATGCGGTACCTTGCCGCAAGTGGAAGTACAAGGGTCAGTGCAATTCCATGTTTGTTTCATGCCATGTTCAGGTATGGGTTTTGTAGGTATGGATGCTGAAAACAACACTCTAAGCTCGTACAGCTTCTACACCCAATTGCTCACCTACCTCCAAAACCCAGGAGACAACACCTCACCTCCATCCTCCAAGATCCAAGAACTTTTAAGCATACCTTTTGAGCATAGCCCAGGCCTATGAAAGGAATCCTCATGGGAGAGCTGGACAAGTTCTTGGACGAAACCCATAGAAGCCAGTAACGGAAATTTGACAGGAAGTTAGCAAATCCCCCCCCCCCCCCCAAAACCAGGAGTTTTGCGTAGAATTTCCTGTGGCTGGTTCAGTAAGAGAACCCATGCCTGCAAATGCCCCAAGGGTTTCCCGTTGCCGCAGGCGCCCTGGTCTGCCCAGCTCAAGGCTGCCGACCCGGACTGGTACGACCCCGACGACGCGGAGTTCTCCGGCTCCGACGACTTCCCGGACGTGGGGGAGGCGGGATTTCCTGGAATCGATGGGGCCGGCGAAGCCACGGATTCAATTTCGTCGGGCGAAAATCCTGCACCTGAAAAACCGAAATTGAATCCTGAAAAACCTGAAAAACGGCACCTGAAAAGCCCTAAATTGGTGGCCGATTTCTTTTTGGGCCCCTGCTGGTGGGTGCATGATCTACAGGGCTTCATCCCCAGTGGAACATTTTCGTTCACCTGCATGAAACCCAGAGCCTGGGGGATTGAGTTCAGTGCAAAGCCGAGCCTTTGACCTTTTTGGTTGTCCTAGGTGATCACCTGAAACAAACTATCTCCAGGCCCATTTTGGCCAGCCAGCCAAAAGTCCGCGATTCAAGAAATCTCTTGTGTTTTTTGGAGGCGCCTAAAGCAATGGGACAAGGGAAGGTGGGGCCGTCAGGCCCGAGATTCCTCTGCACAGGTGTGTGTGTTTTTCTCCCAAAAACTGGATTCCTCTGAATATTTGGCATGGGGCGTGTCAGGAGTAGTTTCGTGTGTGTGCGTGCTTTTTTTTAATCTTGTACATTCTGTTTTTTGTTTTGTTTTTTTAACGGGAAACCTCCAAGCAATCCAACTGCGGGCCCCTAAAACCACTGGCTGATGGCGAACGGCTCCTGAGTAAGCAACCAGGCCCTGGCACAGATGGGCGAAAGAAGATTAACACGTTTTAGTCGCCTCATTTGGGTTTAGTCATAGCGTCATACTCTTTACCCACATGAAATCATGCAATTGACGTTCTCCCTGACGTACCTTGTCAGAGGAAAGCCAAAAGGTTGTTGAAGCAACAGTGGTTTAACGGTTGGGGATCCTTCTTTCTAGAAAACCTCCAAAAACCCTGGGGAAATGGCTGGTTTTTGAAAAGAACGCTTCGTTCGGAGCTTCTTTCTTCCCTGAAACGATGATTGCCGAAAAGAACGGAAAAGGACTCAACCCCCAGAAAGATGTTTCAGCAGCCTGAGGTGCCAGAGGAGCCTTCGGCGCCTCCGGCGGCTCCTGCGGCTCCTGCGGCGCCGCAAGCGCCGCCAAAGGCGAAATTCGCGGCGCGTCTTCGCGCCGAAGCTGGGGGTTTTGGGGTAGCTGTGCTCAAAGCTGCGGGACACAGGTGTCCTTTTTGGTTGGTTTGGCTGAGAAATAGAGGGCCCTGGTTCGCCCTGGTTTACCTAGTGGTTCAATAATCTACCAGGGCTACCTTCCATTTCCACTCTTTCCAGGGATCCGGTGCAGGAAACCAGCAGAAACCCAGGGAAAAAAAAAAACAGCCGGGGTTTGAAAAGAACGATGGTTGGCTTGGCTGAAAAATAGAGGGCCCTGGTTTACCTGGTGGTTCAAGAATCTATCAGGGCCATCTACTTCCGAAAAAATAAAAATAAAAAACCACCGATGCTGAGGGAGCTTCTCAAAATTCGGGTATGGCTCAAAATTGAAGAGGGGAAGCGGCTGGTTTTACCCTAGGCTTCCAAAGGCCATTAAAAGAAGGTCGAGGTCGCTAGACGATTTTTTGCCGAAAGACCGTTTTTTTGCGCCTGGCCCTGAATATCCAACAAATCATGGTGTTTGTTGCCCAAGAATTGCTTAGGATCAGGTCACTGACAGTCACGCCGCCCTCATCCTCCCAGCTGCAAATGACTGCGCCCAAGCCACTCATTCCCCGGCTTGCCAATTGTATGGTCACATCACTTTTCAAAATCGCCAGGTGTCCCGCCTACCGTATATGCGCGCATAGATTCTTCGCATGTTGGTACTGAAGTCCGGCTTTTTTGAAAAATGCTTGCAAACTTAGTGGCTTCGGGGCATCGCTGCCGATCAGTCATGCTTTGTGGGCTCCTGGGAGTATGGTTGTCCACGCTTTTCAATGTACTTTCCACGCTAAAAAACGTACTTTCCACGGTTTGTCCATGGTTTGTCCACGCCTCATTTTCTTTCGAAATCGATTAAACAATCAACAAACGACACGCGATCAGACTCTGTGGAGCTGTGGACAAGAAGCGGAAAAGCACTCACGGGCATGTGAGTGACAAGCCAAATTGACACAGCATGGTGACGGCGTGTGGTTGCAACGGGATGAAGCGACTTTAAGACATACTGAGCTTCTTTCACAAAAGGCAGCAATACAGTTCTTCAACCCTCACTGCACAGAAGCGCGGGGATGTCAGGAACCAGCCGTCTCAAGTTGGCCAAGCTTGTCTAGACTCACTTTTAATGGTCGAGGGACATTACTTTCATAGCCTTTCGTTTTTTAAATGGTCGAGGCTATTTAAAAAATAGTCGAGGAAGCATAGGGTACTTTCGTAGCCTTTCGTTTTTTAAATGGTCGAGGCTATTTAAAGAATAGTCGAGGAAGCATAGGCTTTAGTCTTTGGCCAAGGCGCACGGTTGGTACATTGGTGTTTGTGGATTTCGGACCCTGCATTGGTGCATGTAGAGGGCTGCCAAAAAACACTAACCATAGGGCACCAATTCCGATTTTGAGAGAACGCCCTCAGGTTTCTGCTAGGATGAATGTGGACACGATTTCCCCTTGAGAGACCAAACCACTGCGGGATGAACGACGAGTAAACCCCTGGTTGAGTTTGATCGGAGGTGTCCACTTTTCGTGATTTAGTGGGAGGGGGGGGGGTATCACTTTTGAAGGGAACACCCCCCTATAAACAGGAGTCATCCAGACGGTCAACATGAAGACGCGGAAGGGTCCCCGTCACTTCGCGTGCAGGCGGAGCCGAAGCCGGAGGCAAAGGCCAAGCCCAAGGCGAAAGGGGAGGCAAAGGCCAAGCCTAAGGCGCGAGGAACCGGACGCGCATCCGGACGATGAACATCAACCCCCCCCGGCTTCGTGAAGTGGCTGTTTTTGTCAAAACCGTTTTGGGATCCCATTTTGGTTGGTAGGTGAATTCGCCACCCATTTTAGAACCTATTCTAGTGGGGATTGGGATGTTCGCTGGGTGTACGTGATTTTGACCACATGGCCAAGTTGGCAAACTCCAGGAGTTAGTTGGTTTGCCGATCACTTGCTTAATGAGGTAAATCAGTCTGAATCAGCTGTAGCTCGGCAACAAGAAACACATATGGAGGGAGTTGTTTTCCTTTAGGGGGAAGTACCGTCCCCTTTGCATACGCCAGGTTGGTTCATCCGGGGTTGGCATTGTTTTTAGGCCACGCTGGTCGCATCAAAGAAGATGGACAGCTACTCGCTTGTGTCTGTTTACCGATTCTTGTTTGGGGCTGCTTGAAAGTTAACATTTAGAGACACACCCAAGCAAATTCACCCTTTTTGTCGGTGGAGTTATGTCTTCATACTTGTGCCAGTCACTATGTTTGTGTGTGTAGCATGCTGCACATTCAACATGTGATGTTTTGGGCCTAACTTCATGCGACTGGCAACATGTCCAGGATGGAACCCATTGGCAATATGAGCCTTTCGCCCGACTCCAGGCCGATGCCAAAGCCAAGGCCAAAGTCAAGCCGAAAGCTAAACCGCAAGTCAACCAACTGGGGCAGCTGAAGGACTTCCTGCGGTGTCGTTCGGTTCTCGCGGGCCAAGCGTTTCCCCACCCCATCCCCCACCCCCACCCCAACTCAGCCCCACCCCATCCCACACTCCAGGTTGCCTTGAGCTGGCCCCTTGTTCAGCGCAAACTGTACCACTAGATTTGTGCTTTGGCGAGAATGGGCGGGTTTGATCAGGCGCTGGTGCCTCGCAGCAGGTCGCTTGAAAAGGTCGAGTTGCCTGGATAAATGTGGGTGTGTCTCAAAATGAAAAAGCTAGAGGTTACGCGGTCTTAGTCTTTGTTTCCATTTACCAGGATTCCATTTTGGGTACCCATTTTTTGACCCCGCAGCTTAGCAGGAGCCTAAAGGACGAGCCGAAGGGGTGTCGCCCCTGGAAGGTGTCACAGAAGCTCCGCCGCATTGTTTCGGTGGTGGGGTTGCTGCACCCCACCCGGATGCCACATCTGGTCCCGGATTGTTCCACTGCGTTCACCCCCGTAGTGCCTTTTACCCTTTTTGGCGGGAGCGTTCCCCTACTAAAATAGACTACAGAAAAAGGGTACCCTTATTCTAACATCTCTACTGGAGGACCGAGTTTTGCCAGTTCAGTTATGCCAGTTCAGTTATGAGGAAAATCGGGATCACCCCCCCCCCCGTTTGCACAAGCCAGCCGTGGAAAAGTGCAAGCTTTGAGAGAAGCGGGGCACCAGGCTCGTTCCGTTACCAGGGCACCTGCATGGACTTGGTGAGCCTTCACCTTGAGTCTGTTGAAACACTACATCCTTGTCAAACAGTCCCCCCTTGTCCACATTCGCCCACATTTGTTGGCAGACGAACACCGAGTTCTTGAAAAGCTTTTTCGGAAGAACTTGGGTGGGCCTTCAGATTCGTTGGGAGGAGCCGAACTTAACTGCGCCGAACCCGGCAGTGTTCAAGGCAGGTTTCCTGTAGACGTTCTTTGGCTTCAGCTTGCCCTCCTCAAGGGCTGTAAACCAGGAGTCTCCTTTCTTTGACACCCATTGACACCCATGTGGTGGGATCCACATTGACACCCATTGACACTCGTTGACACCCGTTTAATTCGTTTGACTCTGGGGGTGATCAAGGTCAGCAACTGGGGGTGTTTCCCTTGAACGAATATCACTTCGGGGCTGGCTTTCGTAGTGGTAAAAGAACGGGTCCTGTGTTAGCAAAGCTGAAAGCCGGCATGCCCGTGTTCGGCTTCATCAAGAATCTTGGAGATGGCGTGGAGTTTGTGGCAATTTTGCCAATTTTGCCACCATGGCAGACACCACTGGAAGCGTCTGGGAGCGAGCAAAAACGCATTCGATAAGACAGCTAAAAGATTGCCCACGTTGGTGGGAGCAAACAAAGAGCCACAAGGGCACTCTGCGTTTGAAGGATTGCATGGCCTGCATTCTGATCGAATGGAAGTGTACACGAAAGGAGTGCTGGATCCCAAAGGACGGCTTTCGCAGTTTTGCCGCTCCTCTGGGTCCGTTTCTCAGGAGGACGAAGACGCGTTGTCTCATCTTCAGTGGGCCGCCTGGTGCAGGCAAGACCGACGTTGCAGACAAATTGAACGGCCAAGGCATGGGGCGTGCCTCCGATTTTCGGTTGAAGCTGCACGCCTTTTTCGCTGCCTTGCTGAGTTTAGACCTTCTGGACGCAACGGCAGAGAGAGAGAGAGAACGGCAAGGTTGCAGGAGTTGCGCGATTTTAGTCAGAAAGGTGAAGTCTTGCGTAGTGCTGATTGACGAGATCGATCATTTCACTTCTCGGTGACCTTCACGAGGGCGAGGCCGCATGGACTCGCTCTCAGTTTCGTCAGTTGGTAGACGGACCAGATGGCAGTTTCGCAAAGGACAGCAATGTGCTTTTCATTGGCACCATCAGCTTCATCGCATCCCGGAGGATATGCTCTCGAGAGCCAAGGTTAGCCACTTTAGATACCCACATGTGGATGCCATGGAGGAAGTCGTTCGGATTGGTGCTTCTCATCCTACACCCAGAAAACTCTCTTGGTTGGCAAGGTCTGCTACAAGCTACAACTTGGGGCCACGCGATGTGCACGAGTGCGCCTGCACGGTTTGGCTTGAAGCTAACATGGTTCACAACGGTTTGACCGTTACATCTCGTCAAGCTATGACAAAGGTGTCACAAGAAGAAGCATGCTGGATTACCAGCTTGTCCGTCGGCATTCTGTATATGCTTGATCGTTCGAGAAGGCCACCTTCCTCTTCGGAGGCATTTTGGTTGGCGCCTTGGCAGCGCATTGTGGTCACAGGCGGCTTGCAGCAAGCGTCGTGCAGTGGCGTGCTGCCCTTCCGACAGACAGGCAGCCGAAGCAGTGATGAGTGGTGGATGATTGGCACCATACTGGTACTTCCAGCGACAGCCAGACCCAATGCGATTTGGAATCTGCAAAAAGGAGACTGAGAGATGGATGGAATGTGGTGACGGGCATGCATACAGCACTAAAGGTGTTGCTTCTTCTTCAAGGGAGCGGCAGAGGTTACTTGGAGCTGCGCCCTTCAAACCACCTGCAAGAGCCAGAAAGGATGCGACCAGACAGGACGCTTAGTACATTTATCCCCAAAGACGCGGCTTGTGTCATGAGAGTAGCCCGCCAACTGTAATACGCTGCTTGCTGTAGATATAGTTCTTCCCAGCCCCCAGCGGGCCTGCAAGCCAACATCGAGTTCCAGGCACATCTCTTGAAAGTCCGCAACCTGGGAATGGAAATTCTTTCATGGTAGCATTGCACTTTTTGTCTTTGGGGGTGTCTTCGGTGTTGTCTTTGGGGCTGGGGATGTTCTCCGAAGGTCTCTTGGGGGGATGTCTTTGAGGGATGTGAGTGGGGGGTTGTTGTCGTGGTCTTCCTGCGTGATATCTTTGGGAATGTCTTTGGGGAACATATTTGGGGATGTCTTGAGGGGTGTCTTTGTGAGGATGTCTTCCGAGGGCGCCTTGGGGAGATGTGTTTGTGGTGACCGTCAGACCGATGGTCTGTCAAAGAATTTTGCACCGCCGCTCTCAAACATGGAGGACCATCCATTGTCCCCATTCCGTGCCGGCCTCCTCACTGATGGCTTGGGCTGGAGGGTGCCCAGGCCAAGGATGCGGAACACTCCGAGAAGTTGCAGGCAGGGGACTGGGCGTTGCGTGCCTCACGATGGAACGATGGAAAGACGCCCCTCCCAAGCATGCCCCCCCAAGACACTTGCTTTGGCACTGAGGCCCAGCAGAGGATCCGCTATCTGGAGGCCGGGATGCGCCTCCTGTTTTGGAAAACAAGCGGAAAACAATGGATAAAACTGATGTACATGAATAAGCGTAGAGAATAAGGGGTAGGAAAAGGTCGTTGGGCGGGGGGGTTGAAGTTTGGAAGCAATTTATTGCTAGGCGTGGCCCTCCACACGTGCCCCGAACAGGTGTAAAATCATGGTAAAAAGCCGCAAAAGAAAGACCCTTGAACAACCAATCCCGTCCTAAAAACCCTCAGGTTTCCAACGTGCAAGCAACCGACACTACCCGCAGCCGACTATGAGCCGCGCGGATGAACCCCACCAGTCCGCACCGGGCCGATGTCTCTAAGTTACTCGACGTGAGGGCCCATCCGAGGCCGCGACGGATCCTTGAGCCAAATGCCGCTTACTACCATCCTCCCGAGTAACACTTTCTCTAACAGTCTAAAATATATTTGTCCATTTCTCGAACAAGAACTAGAACAGCTAAAGCCTGCCTCCCCTCCGTTTCATGCATTTAAAGTCAATAACCTAGATGACATTTATGACTCTATGACCCAGAGGTTCACTGTGCAGTTGCATGTTGACAGTAGGCTATGGCATGAAATTGTCATTTTGTGCCTTACAATTTGGCTCATGGAGGGGATCGGTTGGTTCCGGTCGCACATGGAAGAAGGCCCCGCCCGCGGGAAAGGGGCGTCGGCTCCAACAACAGGCTACAGCAGTACAAGCAGCAGGGACGACGATTTCGTTGGGTGAAGTTTCCAAGCAACAGGTCGCACTTGGCGGGCAACGCTGGACCACTGGTCCCGGTGGTACTTCGATCCTGAGGATTGGGAGGTGATCAAACAGTCAGACGTCGACTACCGCCAGCGCCTTGAGCTTGCTGTTGAAACCGCAGGTGCGGTAGGCGCCGGAGAAGATCAAGCTAGAGCCGCAGCTCCCAGCACGGCCGCGGCCACCGACAGCACTGAGGAGTGGCTTCGCCCTCCCACACCGCCGGAGCCTTCAACCTGGAATCCACACAAACAGCATTGGTTATCTGCAGCCGCGCGAACCGCGGAGCAAGGAGGATATACGCAAAAGCTGCGGAAACGCTGCGGGTGGTCAAGGATCCGGAGACAGCCAACTGAGCCAGAAAGTCGGAGAGCCTGGAGTGTTGAACCTGCGCTTGCGTGGGAGAGTAGGCCTTCAAGAGCTTCTCTCATCACTCGACCTGTTGTATTGGCCCCTAAGAGCAGCGTGCACAAGGGACGTGGATACCCTCCAACAAGCTCTCCAGCTCACGGTCCAGATGAACTGATGGACATCCGCCCGCTCCCGAACGATACAACCTTGTCAGCAGCCTTTTGTCCCGAAATGGGTATACGAGGCGGAGATCCACGACGAGCCGATCATCCTGCGTAGCAGACGTGTTGTTGTCCAGCCACCGCCCAAGGCTCGGCCGGCCGGCGGAACCTAAGGTTTTTTCGCCTTCAAGGCACCTCCAAGAGGATTGACAAAGTGCGCCGACGGCCTCCGCAAAGGCTCTCACTGCTCAGCGAAGGCACGAGCACGGTGTTGCGGTTCACTTTGTCAACGACAAATACGGTCGTGGGAAAGGCAGACGCGCCTTCACGGGTTGGGGGTCATACCCTGATAGACAACCAGCGTCAGAGGCCCAGGAAACTGGTTGCTGCGCGTTCAACAACTTCCCCAACATCGGCCCGAAGGGTGTTGCACACGCGCTGGAAAACGCTCAAGATTTCATTGAATCGAGGCAGAGATCTAGCATTCAGGCCGCCGGCATCCTTCAACTTGCGGATCTCGCAGATCCCCCGCCCAGGGTTGCTTCGATAGTCCTGTGTTAGCAGCTAAAGCCGGTACAGCTGCTATTGGCAGGCAATTGGATCTCGTACAATTTTCCAGCAGCAGCGTTGCGACATCTCTTTACAAGGCAGTGAAGTTTGTTGTATCCACAGTACAGTATTAATGGACGGCTTGAACTGCTGCCGCTCAAGGCGCAGTGCACCTACAGAATCTTGCGGCCTCCTTTCACATAATTGCATATAGCTGTCAATCCCGGGTAAGCCCGCATTGCGCTTGAACACGCTGCTCAAAGCACGAAGGTGTGTGCGCAAAAGTGCGGCATGCGTGAGGTTTGAGTCATGACTAGACTGGTCTTTCTCCACCATCTGAACCACGCTCCAGATCAACCCCAAATAGGGATTTGGAGGGCGAGGAGCCAGACTTGGCTATGTCCACAAAACGCAACTCCACACCACAGCGTGCTGCCTTTTCGACATCAGGTAGTGGGCCAATTGTGTCGGAACCCTCGTCTACAGAGCCCCCTTCAATAACGTTCCCACAAAATCCACCTGACCCGGACCCGATGCCAGCGCAGCGCAGCTGCAGTGCAACAGGCCCACACCTCGCCGCTCAGGAGGCGAACCACACCCTCCATCAGCAACAAGCAGCTTTTCAGGGAAGACAGGTCACCAACATGAGGTTGCAGGCAGCTTCACACGCGCAACAAGCGGTAGCCACAGCGCAATGGAGCGAAGCACAAGCACGGTTCATCACAAGCTGGACAACTTATCGAGCACGCTCGACAGGAAGCCATAGGCCATGTTGAGGATGCCCGTCAGCGCTACTCAGCTGGATGCGCAAAACAAGGTCCACCACATTGCGCGAGAGGCAGCTTCCCACATGGATCAGACCATTGCCAATCAGGAGCAACCATTCGGTGACGCACCAACGACTTGGGGATCTTGGCTAGCTCAAGTCAGGGCCCAATCGCCGCAGGTCCCCTCGGCCGGGTGGAGCACATGAGGACTTGCAAAGTCGTCTGTGCTGTTTGCGTTAGGGTGTTGTCACCTACCGCCACACTAGCCAAGTAACAGTCGACACCTCCTTGCGGCGTGCTTTCATTTTCACACACCCGCAGAGCTTCCGCATGTGCCATGCTATCCGCACAATCTCCGGGCCCTCAATGTCCTTGGCCCCTCGCTTGTTTCTAGTGAAGACGGCCTCAACTTGGTCCCGAAGATTATCTATGGCTGGCATGTTTTTAGCATACCCATTCTTGTCAACAGCGGCTGCAACAGGTCTCTGTTCTTGACGCAGGTCCCGATGTCCTCCGCCATGGCAGCGCTCTCTGGATGTAGAAGCGGGCCCCCTGACCTCAACCTGATTCTTATTTCCTCCATGTCGTCCCATTCCGTGGCCAGCCCTTCCAAGCACATGCACTCCTTCACCTCCGCCTTGGGTCGCCCTCCACACTTTTTTGTTGCAAGCAGCACCATTTGGGCAAACAGATCGAGGGGGGGGTTATCGATCCCAGAATGGCAATGCACGCAGTACATACACACTGCGCAAAACCCGAAAATCATTCAAGTGGTATAGCCATCACTGGCTTATAAAGTGACCTGTAAAAACAATGCTGGGGGATAAGCCACTGCAATGATGCCCAGACTGTTCCGCCGTTGGCTGATGGGACGATCCAGCAGCGGGCCAAGTCCTGCGGAGCATGCGATGCGCATGGAAGCCAGTGGAAACGTTCTTGCCATTTAGCCTTTTTGGCTCGCTGTTTTCAGACACCCGAAGCCAACGAGCAAGCGTCGAGAAAACCTGGGCCGCAGCGTGTGACGGGCAATTTGCTTAAAAAAAGGCTTGATGAAAAACCCGAGCGATGTTTTCGGACACTGAAGGTTAAAACCCAGGGTTTTGGATCAAACCCGATAAAAATAAAGGGTTCAGGTTCACAGGGTGGCTTCACGCTGGTCTTTCTGAAAACCAACCCCAACACGAGCACGCGACTCCGAGGAAGACGTCTTCTCCTCGCCCATCCACCGGAGGGAGGCGGTCGCCCACCCTCCTGACAAGCGGGACCCCCGCGTGGTGCGGGCCATGCAGATGCCCAGCGGCATGGAGATGATCGAGCAGGAGCAGGAGGCGGGGCTCGGCGGGGCTCACGGGGCTCCCTGCTTGGACCAAATCCTGCGCCAGGAACGGATGGATTCTGTCTATGGCGAGCTCACCGATTCGGGGGTATAACGAGCTCACCATGGTAAGGGTCCTTTACGTGGTGGTCCCTCAATTCAGCCTTTGCAATTATAGGAAAAACTGAAAATGGGTGAAGTGAGGGGTGTTTTGCCCGTGAGTGGATGTCCTATTCTTATTGGTGTCTTTGATTGGGCTCTGCCCATCGAATTCGCCTGTTCTTCAACTAGCTGAGAACACTGGTTTCTAGCCCGCCGGAACGCTGGTTGAACGCTAGCTGATGCTAGCTGTTGAAATGCAGGGACGGGTCGATAGGACCCCCTCCAAATGCATGTCATGGATGGCTTCCTTTTGGAAAGGTCATGTTTGGTAAAGGTCCTATAGAAGGTGATCACCTTGTAGGCCCGTCGGGCACGACCATTCCTGGATAATATCTGGCGAGCTCACGGATTTGGGGGTAGAACGAGCTCATGGCAAAGATTCCCTTCTCGGGGATTTTTTATGTTTCATTTGGCAAACCTCAGATTTTCAGATGTTCATCTCGGTCCCCCAGCTAGGTGCCCTTCTCTCCCTTTTTTTTTTGTTTGGGAGGGTTTCCCTACTAAAATAGACTACCTGAAAAAAAAAAGAAACAAATGGGTACCAACTTATTCTAAGCTCTCTACTGGAGGACCTAGTTCATATGTTTCTTTTGTTGCTTTGACTTTGAAATAGATGGTCACTGGAAATATCACTGGACCTCAGACTTTCGGATGTTCATCTAGGTCCCCACTAGTGCAGTTTTTTACTCTCTTTCCTTTTCTTGGGGGGAGGTACCAACTTATTTGAACCTCAAAAGTGCAGGACCTTCCGAGCCATGGCGCACCTCGGACTCTCGTTTTCCATTTCCCGTCCGGAGGTGCTCTCGGAGCCGGAGTCCCAGGACTCAGCGCCTTGGATTCTTCGGACTCGGATTTTTTTTTTTTCGGGTGACGCCAGCGGGGGGCTGGTGGCGTGGTGGCCTGAGACGGGGTGTTTTTCCGTTTTCGGAGTTCGTCAGTGAGTTCGCGGTCGCTTTGGGCTTCTTCTTCTTTTTGTTGCTGCAGCCGTGTCGGGTTTGGGTGGCGCCTGAAACGGGTTTGCCCGGTTTCGGAGTTCGTGTTGTCACTTTTGGGGGGTTTTTGGTTTGCAGCATTTGAGGGGTCCAACAGTTTGGGGACTTGTTTTTGGCCAGGAAGTGAGGAACTTTATAGCTTTGTAGGATTCGGTGGGATGATTCCTAGACATGGGGATGGACAAAACGCGGGATGGACAACATACGGACGGCCTGGCGAAGTTGCAATGGCTCCCCTTAAGCGAGTTGGCTGTGAGTCTGAAACACTTTGAAGCGCAGTTTCTACAGGCAATTTGCAAAATACCCCCAAACAAACGATGCAAACGTATGTTTGTAGAATTCCCCGCAGCTTCCGTACAAAAGAGCACATATAAACATATGTTTTCGTGTAGACTTTCTTTCCGCTTTCGTCAAACAGGCAAAATGGCCGTGGGTCAACACCAATGGGATCCCACTTTGGGGTAGGTGAATTCACCACCCTTTTTTGAACCTATTTTAGTGGTTGGATTGGGATGTTCATTAGGGGTACGATTTGGGTTTTGACCCATGGGGGTTCCTTCTGATGCGAGGTGGACTCCATCTCGGGCGAGGTGACGCGCTCCTGGGACCCCACGGCGAAGGACGCAGCTTGGCGCCAGAGAACGCAGAGCTTGGGGGACAGAAGTTCATGACTAAAAGTTGTTCAGTGGCACCAATTGTTTTCCTTCCTTTTTTAGGTGGCTGCCCGGCCCACTAAAAATGGTCTTCCCCAAGAAAGGCTTTCTTTCTTCCCCGGGATCACTGAACAACTGAGATTAGAATGCGGGACTTTTCGCCAACAGGGGCCACCGGTTTTGTTGCATTTTTGGTTTTGGTTGGAGGTTGAGTTCCATTTTTTTGCTGGGGTCCGTGAGATTAGGCTCGGTTTGTTGCGGGGCAGGTGGGACGGTGGAAACCATGGTACTCAAATGCTTACATTTGCTTAAGAATATGTTGTACTTTCCTTTGCACTGTTGGTTTTAAAGGGAATCTATCACTACTGGAAGTATGTTTTTTTCTCGGGGGCTTAAGCAAATGGAAGAATGTCTGTACCAAGGGAGCCCTTGAAGAGAAGGTTTGCTGCGAGATGCTGTGGGAACCAACCGATGTTGGTGTCTAAGAAGGGAAGCATGGGCCCGTAGGTTTGCCGTTCCCATGGAGAAATATCAAGGCGAATGGGTATTGAAAAGGTCAAAAGGCAGAACCCACAATGTTGACCCCGGATTAATAAAGCCCTGTGTACCAACATAGCGGGTGTCCCCCTATTAATAAACTATGGTTGATTGCTACGGAGGGAGCATTACCAGTTTGCCAAGCAACACATTTTCTTCAGGTTTGCCCACTGGCTCGTCAGAGTCAAGACTTGAAACCACGAGTGTACCTGAACACAGGTGTTTTTTGCTGGAACGTCGCCCGCAAATAGAATTTGTAAAGCTCGACCTTTAAAACTCTGCAAAGTAGTAGCATTGTGAAGTATTGGTTGAGATTGTGCATGTTTTTTTGCTGATTTGGGTGCCGAGGGCGGATTTCGGGGTTCATTTGCCAAGCTCATTGGTCAACTTCGTGTCGAAAAGTCGGCGGGTCATTGGTCGAGACCTTTTGAATAAGGCGGCAGGAGTCACGTGTAAAATGTCTTGAACCGTGAACTGGAATTGCTGGCAAGCGAGTTTGCGCTTGCCATACCTCTCTGGGCTTGGATGTTGTCCAAACCTATTGCCACAACAGGGATTATACCGCCCAAGTTGCGACTTTCCTTTGATTTCCCTTAAGACCGACCTTCTTATTTGAGGTATTTGGGGAAGCACACGCGCATTTACCCCCCTGCAAATTAACATAGAGCCCAGAAAAAGGGTGCCCCCCAAAAGGAGATCCCTACAGTGGTTTCTTGGGTTCCGCGCGGGAGGGCACGCCAGCTTCTCTCTGATTGGTGCTTTGGCGCCGGTGGCTTTGAGGGTTTCCCATCCCCCAATCCAAACCACCAGTTAAGGCTTTGCCTGAGATAGTGGGCAACAGGTGTTGACCTTTGATTTCTGGGTTTCTTGGTTTTTTGAAATCCCCAACCAATACAAACCTCCCATTTCCCGCCCACCAACTAACATGGAAGTGCACAAACCCCCTTTCCAAGAGGAGAGTCGTCTTGCTACAGGTGTGCATTTCCATGGGTTTCGTCGGTAGGGCAGTAAGGTGACCTGAGGTTTTGGTGGTTTTGGTGTTCTTTTCTTTCTGCTGAAAGCCAGCCCTAGGAAAACACCATAAAAAACACAGCCCTTTACCCACTCGGATCGGACGCGAGGTGTTTTTGGTGGGTGTCCCTTGCGCTTTGAGGTGCGGTACACCTACGCCCGGGACCGCGCCGTGGGCTTCTCCGAGTTCTGGCGCCCACTGAAGTGGTCGGAGGAGGAGTGGGAGCGCCGCCGGGGGCCCCGGCGGGGCTTCGGGTTTCGGGTTTCGGCGGTTTCGGCAAAGCCGTGGCCGCGTGTTTTTCGAAGCAGCCGAGGTTTGAGTCCAAATCTGATTTGGGTGTGCCCATTTTTTGGAAACAAATCTGATAGGTTTTTGAAGGTGCTAGTATTCTGTTTTGTGGTTGTAATGGGAGGAGTACCCTGGTTTTGGAATTTTGAAGGGAAACCAAAAGAGACCAACCATTTTGGAACTCCCCTATTGTAAGACATACTCATGTAACCTTCGGTTCCTGGGTTTCCAAGTTTTTACTCCAAGTCCGAAAAGGAGTCACTTTGGGATCTTTGGGCAGGCCTTTGAAGAATCAATTTGGGGGCACAACTTCCCCCGCTCGCAAATTGCAACGGGGGACCCAAGAAGGACATATAATTTCATAGTTGATGTCTCCCTCTTGGCTTAGGTATCTAGGTTCCCCAATAGTGCCTTTTACCAACTTTTTGGGGGTTTTGGGTTCCCCTACTAGAATAGACGATTCAGAAAAACAAGTTGGTACCCTACGTCTGACCTCTCTACTGGAGCACCTAGGTGATGTTCGTTTTAATGAGAAGATTCTTGGGCTCCAGAAAGGTCATCCAGTGACAGTTTTGAGATGCGCTAGACTCCATTTCTGTAGCATGTGACTGCATATGCTCACTTCCACATGGCCTAGGCAGTTGTCACCTCCCCCAAGCCCCGCTTAGAACCGCTCCGGACTGGCAGCAAAGTCAGGCCTTTTGGCCTCCGGCAACCTCCGGAAGCGGGGCGGCCTTGGCATTGCGCGCCACGAGAAGCCACCAGCAACTCAGCACGCACGGCCCGAGTCGTAAAAAAAAGGAAGAGGTGAGCCATGTTGATGCCTTTTTTAGACAATCGTTGGAGTTTGTTACTTTTTTGCATGTTTCTTGTGTATTTAACGCCTAGAAGGGAGAGGGAGGGTTCCCTTAGAGGTGGGGAGCAAAAAGTGGCTCCGCCCTGGCCAAACAAATGTCAGACGAATGACTGACTTAACTTGTTGGTCATTAATTGGTCAAATTAGTTGGTCAAATTAATTGGCACGCGCGCAGGTTTCTGCGATGCGCCAACGCACTCTGATGCTTTGCAGAACCTGAAGCACGGGTAACAGGTAATTCGCTTAGCTTCATACCTCCAATGTTTTAACCCCGGGCAATCCTAAGTGAAACACTAGGACCAACGCCATCCGGTGGCAAACCCGACCAGCGGCTCGATTTGCTTTACAATGTTTTACCGGTGTGGCCGTGGCACATCATTCTGCCGGTGCATGGACGCCCATGAGGATTGCTTGATAAAATCAAACAAACGCCCTGCATGTGAGTGGAAGGGGGGGAAATTCAGTGGCTAGAAGACGCAAGAAGACATACCCAGACAACTCCCAACTAGGCCCCGTGCTTAAAAAAGCACATGTTTACCCCAGGAATCGACCTTTGTGCAGTGCCAAGTATCGCACCGCTGCGAGAACCACACACAAAGAACTCAAATTCGGCCTCCATACAGCAGATATGTATATATATATATATACAAATCTGGTTATTTTATATATTTGTGTATATACACACACCCATATACACATCTAAATGTATATAGATCTATACACATATACATTTCCATGAGAGCCGGAACTTGCGCTTGATCTTTGCTCAAGGGGCAGGCGAGGCAGAACTCAACATACCCAGGAGCCGAAGCCCAAGCCCAAGGCGCGGGTGGGGCTAGGGGGCTTTTTTTTCTCTTCGGCGGCAGCCATTGAGTTTGGGTTTATTCTAGGGGTCGAGTCCTTGTCCATTCTTTTCAAGCATCGTTCTTTTTAAAAAAACCGGATCTGTTTCCCCTGGGTTTTTGATGGTTTCCTGAAAAGAAGGATCCCTGGAAAGAATGGGGAAGGTACCGTAAGATTTTTAGAAGGCAGATACGTCAGGCTGCAACCACTCGTATTCTCGGCCTTTTGTTTTTCTGAGCTGGTGTGCTCAGTAGGGAATGTGGGAATGAACGCGGTCCGCTCAAAGGAAACCACCAGTTGGATGGTTTATATTCGGGTCATTCCATTTCTTGTTCCCTGCCTAATGTTGACCCAGGATGAATAGACCCGTCCCATTATTAGGGGGGTGTTCCCTCCAAAAGTGGTCTGACTCCCCACGAAAAGGGGACACCCCCCCAATCAAAATCAACCAGGGGTTTGTGTAAATTTGGGGTTGACATTTCGCACCGATCGCAAGTCTAAGCCATGCCCTGGGGTTCTTCCAGCCTTCAGCCTGCGAGAGCGTCAGAGCGTCAGGCGGTGCCAAAGGAGCCCGAGCCGGAGGTTGAGCAGCTCATTGCGCCGGAGCCGCTTGCTGTTCGCTGGGAGCTTTTGTGGGGAACATTTCCTCTCGGGGTTTTCGTATGGAGTTTTAAGTGGAGTGAGTGGAGTGGCTATGGGGACCCCAAAGCTTTTGTGGGGAACATGTGCTCTCCGTTTCTTTTTTTTCGGGTTTTCGTATGGATGCTCAACTGAGCCACGTGCTCAAAGCCCGGGTAGATGAAGGTTAGTAGGGGACGATCCCAGCCATAAATAGTTGCGGCCGCCTTCTTAGTTCCTTACATGTTTCTGGGTCAACCATTTTAATACCGGGTTTTGATTGTGACTCAACTGGAGTGACTGGAGCGGCTATGGGGACCCCAAAGCTGATATACATGTACAGTGAATCGCAAGGCCACCTCGGCTACCCAAAGTGAATCGGAATGATTTGGGTCCGCAGCAAATGAATCCCGAGAGGAATCCACCCAGGGATCTCTGATGTTGAAACGCTTGTTCATTATTTGGTCCCTTTAAGTCTGTTGGTGTGTTCTAATAGCTTTTTCGAGGTTTCGTCTCTCTAAACCACCACTTGGACGGGATTTCTCCGGATGTGTTCCTCAAATCCACGGAGCTCTACCCTTTTTTATACCGCCCCAAGCGTGCGGCCGGGCCGTCAGACTCCACGTCGAGCAACGCCTTGTGCCGAGGAAGCCAAAGAAGCCCCGATCGCAGTACCCGCTGGCCACGGCTCGGGGGCCCAGGTCTTCGGAGTCTTCGGACGTCGGAGTGGAAAGTACCAGCTGGCGGCTGGTGAGTTGGAGGATCAAACAACGGGCAGGACGGTGCGAATGAACTTGATATTTAAGCCATCATGAGCCATCATAGCCATCTATATTCAGTGGTGCCTGGCTATTTAAGCCATGTATAGTCAATCAAGCAGGGGAGTTTTTTGCTTAGGAGGTCAAGCCAAAGTTCATCGACGTGCCGCTGAGTGGCCTGCAGGCTGGGCTCGCTTGGGAAAGCCATTGGGAGGACTTCCTCCGCCGAATCAGCGGAGTGCTGCTAGGGCGGGGTACGGAGGGGAGGGGTGGGGGGGGGATGGAGGAGCGGGTGTGGGTGGGTATGGGGGTGCCCTTGAAAGTGAAGGTTTGCCTCTCAAGCTGAAAAGCACCGAACAAAACAACGTCAACCCGGGGGTTGTCAATCCTAGATCAAACTTTCGTGATCAATATGGTCATACCAAAGTTGTTCCGACCACCGTCACACAGGGTCCCTTACAGGACACAAATTTGGGCCAGGAAAAGGCAAGCTCCACCCATTTTAACCTCACTCCCTGACATGGACTTTACACTTTTTGGGAAGACCATGTCAGCAGTAAATATAAAAGTTACATCCAATTATTCAATTGGCCCTGCGATACCTTCGACCCCCTTTCTCGTCTTTAAGTCTGTGCGCAGGGCGCGGCAGCTGAGGGCGCAGTGCAGTCAATGCGGAAGACGGCCAAGAAACCGGTGAGCCCTGTGTTGGCTTCTCGCAGCAAACGGGGGCGGGAGGTGTCCTTCCCTTTGTTCTTCGTTTTTTTTTTTTCACGGGGGTTCCTGGCTGAAAACATCATGGCTGAACATATCAAACAAACGCTTTTTGCCCCCCCCCCCCCCCCCCCCCCCCCCCGTGGTTCCTGGCTGAAAATCTAGTATCAATCAAAAGCCAGGCCTTGATGTTTCTTTTGGTTGCTGGGCTTTTGAGGGGAGATCGTCCAACGGTTTGCGTGTCAAGTTCAAGGATTGGCTGAAGCCAGTAGATGCCATGCCTGCAAGTGTGTGAAGGAGTGAAACCCACTAACAGCTTCGGGATCGAGTTTTCCTTTGGGCCTGCTGTTTCCTCAGTGGGAATGGTCAGGGCATTCCAAAGTTTAAGGTGTAGCAAAAGCTCAGGCCATAGTTCCAGGTCTGAATTTCATGCGGCCACAGCCTGGTTTCTGACGCCGGGCCCTGGATTTGTTTGTCCCTCTCGCCCGCTTTGAATCCTGGGACTGAACAAGTGGCGCCAAACCTTATGGAGATCTCTTGCCAATGGGCACATACATGTCAGGGTTCCAGAAGGTGATCACCTGGAAACTCAAACCACCCAAAAAAGATGTTTTTTTTCTGGGGGGGGTGAGTCTCCTTTTTTCTTGGTAGACTTCAGGGTCCAGGCACGCTTCCATGTGCTGAACTGTGTTCTTTGTTCCCCTGCGTCCTTGTTGGTTTTGAAAGGAATCTGTACGCACATAGGGACACCTAAAACTCGGGTTGCCCCATTTTTCGGGAGATGAGTTCCTTTTGTTTAGGCCAGTTTGAGCTAAGTGTACGCACATGGAGGCACCTAAAACTCGGTTGCCGGTGAGTTCCCTTGGTTTTTTTTGGCATTTTTTTTGGGGGGGTGAGTTCCCTTGATTCTTGTTTTTTTTGGACTTGGGGGAGTTTGAGTCCAAGCCCGGGCGGTTTTTTCCCCCCTTTTTTGGGAGTTTGAGTCCAAGCCCGGGCAGTTTTCAAGTCCGGGCGGTTTTTCCCCTCGTTTTTTTTTTTGGAGTTTGAGTCCAAGTCCCTTTTTTTTTGGAGTTTGAGTCCAAGCCCGGGCAGTTTTCAAGTCCGGGCGGTTTTTTCCCTCCTTTTTTTTTGGGAGTTTGAGTCCAAGTCCCTTTTTTTTGGGAGTTTGAGTCCAAGTCCGGGCGGTTTTCAAGTCCGGGCGGTTTTTTCCCTCCTTTTTTTGGGGAGTTTGAGTCCAAGTCCGGGCGGTTTTCAAGTCCGGGCGGTCTTTTCCTCTTTTTTTTGGGGGAGTTTGAGTCCAAGTCCGAGCGGTTTTCAAGTCCGGGCGGTTTTTCCCCTCTTTTTTGGGGAGTTTGAGTCCGGGCGGTTTTCAAGTCCGGGCGGTTTTTTCCCTCCTTTTTTTGGGGAGTTTGAGTCCAAGTCCGGGCGGTTTTCAAGTCCGGGCGGTTTTTCTCCTCCTTTTTTTGAGGAGTTTGAGTCCAAGTCCGGGCGGTTTTCAAGTCCGGGCGGTTTTTCTCCTCCTTTTTTTGGGGAGTTTGAGTCCAAGTCCGGTCGGTTTTCCCATTTTTTTCCCCCGGCCCAAGCTGAGCCCAGGAGGATCCGGACGACGAGCTGCTGAACTCCCGCCCAGCGCCGCGGGAGCCGGTGCGCGCCGGCGAGCCACTGGCCCGGGACCCGATGCGAAGTTGCGAGTGCCATCCGCTTGACGTTTTGTTTGCTTGTTTTGTTTTTTTTTTTGGGGGGGTGGGGGGTGGAGGGAGACTTGGACGTTTTTGTTTTGGGGGTGGGGTGGGGTGGGGGGAGACTTGGACGTTTTTTGTTTGTTTGTTTTTTGGGAGGAGGTAAAGTCAGGGACTTTTGTTTTTTCTCGCGCTTTTTATTGGACCATCTTCTGGTTGAATTGATCGATTGCTTGGGGCTTCTTCACTTATGTGAGTTTGGCATTCGCCAAGAAAATATTGAGCCAGTTGTCCGAACGCCCAGTGGGTTTTTTTGCACGCATCCACCTTGTTTGCTGGCTGTCTAAGGTGCCTCTGGGGACGGTGAAGCCATTCTCGAACGAGAGGCCGAAGATTTCACTGAAGCTGTGAAGTTCGGTAGGTACGGGGTGGCCGCTCTGAGACGTTTCACGGATATGGGGTCACTGTGAGACCCACTTTGACGGCGTGCTTTCAAGTTGAGTCTTCCCTTGCAGCTCCAAGTTCCACGTTTTGCTGCGCTCGAATGGTTTGACTTCCACGTGGATTCCGGTTTCAGTCCTCAGCCCAGCCGCAGGCAGACTGCACCTTCCTTTGGCGCCTCGGCATGTTTGCACCCAGGGGGTTGGTGTGAAACAACTGACCCATGGCCGCCAAGGGAATCGAACGGGAGGTTGGTTTCTTGAGCATGTGGTGTTTAAACATCTTTAAAGCAAGGAGTTGGCCGAAGCCTGTTAATGAGCAGCGCTGAATTGACCAAGCCCTGGAAGTGTGGCGGGAAGGAGTTAGTGGGGTGTGATGAGTTTCTTAGCTTGGGAATGACTTATTTGGGTTCTGGTTACCCTCCCACCAAGTAACCTGGAACCTGACGTTCGGGTCCCTTTAAAAGGAACATAGAGTATTTGAACTGCACCTGAATCTTCGTTTGCGCACTTTTTTCTGCTCAAATGCTTGTTTGCGCGCTTTTTTGGAATTTGTGCACTTTTGAGGGATTTGCTTTCTTTTCGGATGAAACTCCTCTGGTAGCCAAAGTCGGTACTACTTGTGGAAACAATCGATACTGCGCTGCTCGTGCCCATGCCGGCGCAGCTGTTTGTTGAAGTCGTTGATGTTTACAGCATATCTAGCTGTTCTTTTGTTTCCACCCAGGCCTGTTTTAGGCAGGAAATGTGTGGCACACATGGCACTCGGCATAAGTACCAGCTATCACTTGCACTTGACACTTTGTGGCCATTGATTTAGCAACCCGCTTGGCTCCGTGAATAGCTCCAAGCTCGCAAGTATTGCCTGGGTTTGCACGGATCCGCTGTTTGCTCCAGGACTGTGCTTGCGCCACACTTGTTGTTGAGACAACTCGCCTATAGGTGAAATTAGTCGATTTTTGGCCCCGCAATTTGCGCGCAACAATCCGGTACTATCGCGCAAATATCCGCAATTGCGCGCAAATACGAAAAGTGTGCGTATGCATGCTCGCGTTTTCGACCTTTTAATCAGGCAGAAGATGTCTAAAGCGCCCGGATTGCCAACCAAAAAGGTTTTGAGCCACATGTGGTCGTCAGTTGAAGCTGCGCCACTTGGAAGAGCCGTTCGGATCTCTTGCAGTCTCAAGGATCTGAAACTTGTTTCCCTTGTCTGTCAAGCTGGCTTGGCAATGTTGAAGGCTATTCCCGACAACGCTCTGCAGGTCCCAAAATGCCCTTTGGTTCCTTGCATCATCTAGGCGAGTTCTGGCCGAAAAGGCGCATGTATCCTTGCCTAGTTATTTTTGAACAGGAAGGTATGGGAGGCGAATGTGCCTCGTAGGGACTGTTCCACACGCTTGTGGCCAATGCCTCGCGCTCGCAGCAAAAAGTTGCTCCCTCGAATGCAAGAGCCACCCCCCCAAGGCCCCAAGGCCCCCCTCCAAAGCAAAAAACAAAACAAACAGAAAAACAAAAACATGAGCTCAGGTGGCATTCCCAACCATCCCCAACAACCCCCGGAGCCCTTCTGGCACCCTAGCCCCGCATCAAACCTCTCAAAGGGGTAGCTTCCCTTTGGGGAAAAATAAATGGCGGTCAAAAGCCCGTACCCCCGGTGAACATCCCAATCCCCACGCACCTACCCCAAAATGGGATCCCATTGGTTTTGACCCACCGCCAAATAGCGGGAGCTTGCAAGTAAGGCAGCGGAGTACCCATTTTGTTTCTACCGTCTTCAAAGGCCAGCGCCTCGCATGCCAACCGGTCCCTGAGGACACCCAACTCAGCCGGGGCCCGAAGGCAACAAGTATGGCGCAGGGGGCGGCCTAAGTTGGGGGCAGGGCCCTGGAAGTCCATTTGGGTGCGATTTTATTCGGAGCTTTGAAGGGCAATTTCATAAGTTGGGCTTCATGTCAAAGCATGTAATTTGGGAACTTGAGATGGTGTTCCTCATTGAAGTTCCTAGCCCAAGAACGGGCAGACCCAACCTCAGGCTCCTCAAGTTGGCCATGAACTCCCCAAAATGGGTGTCCCTTTGGTTTCGCTCAAGGCCGGGCCTGAACGGGTAGCCTCCATAAAGACGCGCTCTCCATTGTCAACAATCCCAGGCACGTGCGCAAGCTGATCACTTTGCCTTGCTGGGTATCTTACTCATTTGTTTGCTTGGTTTGTGGGCCTTGGACAAAAGTTTGCACATGTTGCCAAGGAGGGATAGACTCAGGATACATGACGAGACCCCCCCGGATCTTTGAATCTCTCTGCGACGGCCTGCAAGTTGTCTGACCTCCTTTTTTTTCCTCCGGCGTGCCGGAAGCGAGGCCGGAATCCTTCCAGATGCCTTCCCCGGTGTACACCGGCGGCGCGTCTCCCCGCACCATGCTGCGCCGCTCGTCTCAAAAGTTGGGGCATGTTGAGAGACCTCCCACACAAGCGGGTGCCTGTCAGACGGCCCATTCGGGATGTCTCCTTGAGGGTTGTTGCTCGCGGTTTGGGCCAGTTCACCGTTGGCGCAAAGGGCATCTCAAGCTAGGGATGCCACTGGGAGGATAGCCCCGAAATCCCCGAACAGAAGCTGGCACTGACTGGGCGGATGGGACGCTCGGCCGGAGGCGTTTCTCAAATGGCCAGAGGTGATGTGGCGTCCACAGGTAGCCCTTCACATGGTTCCGTTGGGGTCTTGGCTCTTCGACCATTTGCTTGGATGTATCTTTGCTAACCCGGTTGTGAACCCCAAAAGATGCCTGGCATAGATGTGGCTGTGGGTCAAAACACTGTACCCCTGAACATCAAAAGCGGTGGCAATTGGCCAGCCCAAAATGGAGCCATAGGTTATGCCCAATGTTGTAACCATCCACGGCATAAAACGAACCCAGAGCTGCCAGCACGGCTTTTGCGCATGCCGGTGAGGGCCCATCATGCAGGAGGCACGCTGGGAAGATGGAACAAGGGGGCAAGGCACCGACATCCGGCTTCAACACCTCCAGTCTAGTGCAGTTTGGAGGGCCTTGTTGGGACGAGCTCCAAATTCCTCCAAAAAAGGACAAGCTCCAGCTGGTTCATTCATGTCGTATAGTGGAACTGTGGAACTTTGAACTTTGGCCATGTCTCACATTGGGAACAGGCTGTTTGTGCAAGATGGCAGTCGATGTTGTTATCATCAGGCGATGATCATGGAGCGTCCGGTGTACTGACTTCACATGGGTGGTTTCCCTCATCTCCCGTGGAAGTGGACACATCGGCATGTGGCATGCAGCGAAACACCTCGTTCGCTAGGGCTGGCCTGAAAAGCGCAGATTTATCTAGGGGTTGATTCCTTTTTCATTCTTTTCAGCCATCGTTCTTTTCAAAAACCAGCCATTTCCCTAGGGTTTTTGGTGGTTTTCTAGAAAGATCCGGATCCCTGGAAAGAATTGGGGAATTTGTTATTCACTCCCTGGGCTTCTGGATTTGACTCTTTTTGGGAAGATTTTCTGGATGAATTATGACGACCTCACACGACCTCACACGACCTCACCCCAAATGGTGCTTTTTATGTGGGGAATGGCCCCCCAACCACCTGATTTCAGGCTGGTGGCGTTCGCCCACGAAGCCAGTCACCTTCGTCCAACTCTCCAAAAGGAGTCGCCTTCACCCAGAATCTCAGTGACCAACAAAACAGTCTTAGACCAATCCACTCAGGAAGTGAGCTGAAGCAGCAATTTGTTCGGAGGGTTGTACTGGGTCCTTGCCGCCGGGATCCGCTTACGAAGACTTTGGGTCAAAGGGAACCGAAACCTCTGGTGGTACCTTCCATTTCCATTTCCAGGGATCCGAATCTCTTTCTAAACCTCCTTTGAAGCCCTGGGAAACCGGATCCGGTCTTTGGAAAGAACCATGGCTGAGAAGAAAGGAAGCAACCCCTAGGAAAACCTGGCTCCGCAGGTCCAGGCACCAAAGCGCGTGCCGGAGGAGCATGACGTAGGCTGGGATGGGCGGTTTTGGTTTTTGCCCTGCTCATAGGTGTCCTTTCTGGTTGGTTTGCTTAAAAACAAAGATGGCCCTGGTTTAGATGGGGTGGCAAGCGGGTGCTACATAGCGCGCGCGGATTTGCTGACCACTTTTTGTAGCCACGCAAAAAATTGGATGAAGTTCATCTTCGCCCTTGCAGCTTGGAGTGTGTAACTTTTTCGGACAATAGCTCGGAGTGTGAAACTTGTTTGGACCATAGGACTCCTTGGAAGCTTTTTTTTTTGCAGCCTTAGGCCACTTGCCATTTCCGGGTTTCTTGGGCAAGTGAGTTCATGTTTCCTGCCAGCTCAGTTAAGTTTCAGCCCCGCAGGCGAGTATGGCGACAAGCCCGGGCGCACCTGGCTGTGAGGCATTGGCACGAAAATTCGGAGAATTTTTGGAGCTTTCTTTGGTTAAAGGGGTGTTGACACCCCTTGGTGAGGATCAATCCGAAGTGAAAACATTGGCCTGCGTGTTTTTTTCGCCCACCTTCAGCCCACGTTCAGCCGAAGAACTGCGCGGACTCCGCCAGCTCCTCGTTCCGCGCCTGAGCGAGGGAAAAAAAAACGCCTCGCCGGATGCCTGGTGCTTTGTTGTTGGATGCGAAGGATTCCGAAGGATTCCGAAGGCTCAGGTAAACCCTAATTGATGCATATTGATGCTTTTGATTTGGATTTCAACCCCTTCTTGTAGAGGGTTTGCATGGGAAACATGAAGCCACCCCGGAACACTACCAAACCACCCGGCTCCAAACCACCAATTGGAGCGAAAAGGATGCGTTTGGGTAAACTCGTGTTGAAGGCTGAAGGGCGCTGGCAAAACAGTGGGTCTCTTTGCTTTTTTGCCACTCTTTCGGTGGGCATGGCATGTTATATGTGTATCACTCAGCGTTGGCCAAGGAAAGACTTCGCAATCATTTTCGCTAGGGTTATGGTTGGTTTACTGAAAAAGGGACCCCCGAACACGGAGCGTTGCCCTTGGCTGTCCTTGAAATACCAGCCAAAAAGTCCACCATTTTGAGGAACCCTTGTAGGTCTTTAGGCTCGGCACCGCTTGGGGCCTTTTGTGAAATGCAGTACTTAAAACTTGTTCAGCGAAATCCCGAGGAATCGACTGAGCCCACTCTTGCCTCGCACTTGTACGTCAAGCTCGCAAGTTGACAGGGCAAGGAGTCGAACCCACAGACATCCTGACTTGAAAAGAGCGATGGTTGAACAGAATGGCGAATCAACCCCTAGAAGCCTTAGTGCAATTCCTTTAACGGAAGCCGAAGGGTGGCCGGTTGAACAATGGCCAAAGATACTTACGTTATCTGAAATGAGTACTCTTCCGAAGAAAGTTTTCTATGTGACCCGGTACCGTCTCTGGCTACCTGAAATTCTATATGTTTGAAGTTGCTAAACTCAGGGTAGGCCCAACCCTTCCTTGTGCATTCAATCACCATTGTCTAAAAGGCATTCAGGGTACCTGACAATGAGTCCTATTGTGGATGCACCAGTCGAAAGGCAGTTTGTCCCGGTGGGATGGGCTTCATGCATCCAAACTGCTGCGAAATGGATTTGAGCGGCGTCAGGCAAGGTTTACACTCCCTGATGCCAAGGCGAGCCAGTCTCGGGTTTTCGCTGGGCATGTGTCAAGATTGAAGTTTCTATGGGTCAAAACCCCGCAGAAAGCCTTCTAAAACGACAACAGTGGAGGAACCATCCCCAAAAAGGCACCTTAGGTTTGGACCCACAACCAAATAATTGTTGTTCTTCCTCGCCCTTTTGATGCGACCTCCCGTAATGTGAGGCAAGCAGTGTTGCTTTGTTTTATCTTTGCAGTCGGCTGCTTCAGTTGCGGTTCGAAGCAGGCTGTACTGCAGCATAGCATGCACCTGACTTTTTGGCATACGGCATAGCTACTGTTCAGCTGTGTGCATTGCTGCTACCCGTGACAACTCAGGGTAGCACAGGCGAGTGCAGCTAACTCAAATACACGGCGCAAGTAATAGCAGGCGTCACTTTGACTGACCAGGGCCCGTCACAATCTGTTCATTCACTTGTCCCGTACTGTTTTGATTCCGTGTGTGTTTGGAACCTAGCAGTGACTTTCCTTATGATAGAGAATCGGCCAGTCATGTGTCAGCATGTTGGTCTTTTTGGCCCCATGAGGTAACTGTGTGTGTGTGGGTGCATGTGTGTGAGTGAGCAGTCTTTTGGTTCTGATTGTCCTCAACAGATGAGCCGCAATCAAACCCGGGTAAGTGAAGGTTAGTAAGGGACGATCCCAGCCATAAACAGCGGCCGCCTCCTTCTTAGTTCTTTGCATGGTTCTGGGTCGACCATTTTTAGCCGGGTTTTGATTGTGACTCAGGTGAACTTCTGATTGTGCTCGGCAGGTGAACGTTCTGGTGGAGGTCGGGCACAGATGCCGATCGATGATTTGTCACGGCGTAGTGCAAATTCCTTCGACAGAGGGTGGCATACGGAAGACTAATCTTACAAAACTAGAAGTAATTTGAGAAGACTTTGATTCTGCGGCACTTGCACACAGGATTTGCAGATTCATACGTGCTGCTCGACAGCTACTCATTGAGCCTTTCCTTGCAATCGCACTGCCACTGGGGAAGTAGAATGTCTGAGTCTTTTCTGTGTTTGTGTTTTCTTCATGGGGGCTTGGATTTTTTGTAGCGCTCCGATTTTGAGAATGACAAACGAGAGCGCAACAGGGTCAGGGTACGACATGCCGAGCTTCAGGCGCCCTCTAGGCATGCTACCCTTCACGTGTTGGCATTTGCGTTGAGAGCTTTTTGGGCTGGCGGCATTCCATAGTCACGTGCAGTTGGAATGGCAGTTTGTCATTTGCAGTTGGGATGTTATAGAAACACTCGCTGAAAAGCAAGGCAGTGGACAAATCCAATGCATCAAGAGGCGTCCTCCATGAATATCCATGCCATGCAGGGGGGGAAAGTGGCGCTAAAGCCCCACGAGCTTGCGCAGACCGTTGCATTTGAACGGTTCGCTTCTATGTTTGTCGGTCCTTCATTGTGACCCATGCCCGAACCAACTCTCAAGCTTTTCTCCAGTTTCCAGCCTTTGGCTCGACATTGCAGACTTGTCTGTGCAATTTAGTTCCGGTCGCCATGGCCGTCGTTTTCCTCCTCGTTTGGGCGTTGGCGCCATTGGCCTTGGGCGCGCGGGTGGCCGTGAGTGGCTTCGCGTCCGAGAGCCGCGGCCCCAAGCCCGGGCACCGCATCGCCATCGTGGGCGCCGGCCCCGCCGGGGTTCACATGGCACCTGGGCGAACGCGCGCCCGCCAGGTGCCCTTGTACCCTTTTTTGGGGGAGGGCTCCCCTACTAAAATAGACATAAAATAGACTACAGAAAAAAAAGATACGGTACCCTCATTCTAACCTGTTTACTGGAGGACCTAGTGTATTGAACAAACATCCACATGGGCTGTGGAGGAAGACACCTCCTGCTTAAAAGACTCCACCCTCCCTGTATCACGGGCACCTCGTTTTTTTGCCGCCAGCTTCTTTGGAATATTTGTCTTTTGGGTTTGGAGATTCCCTTTGCACCAGAATTTGAAGGTCGCTTTGAGGATTTGACCCAGTTAGAGCCTACGGAGGAAAAAAAAAAGAAACAAACAAGAAGAAAAAGCCAAGACCTTCGGCATGCTGTGAAGGTGGTGGGCCGTACTTTGAGGAAGACAGGCAACGGTTATCACAGCGGCACAAGCCACCGTGCGCTACACGCAGCGTATCTCCGCCAAATTGATGAATCTAGGCTGTTGTCTTTGCGACAAGACCGCGGCTTTCAGCGCGTCCACCGCAAGTGGCATCTGCCCTTCATTTGTAAAGTGGTGTGTTGGGGTGGTTCTCCATTGTCGCTGCTGATTTATCGTGCTGTAGTTAGAGGCAGTTAAAGGGGCATTTTCCATACCCGGAGTTTGCATCTGGATTCCAAAATGATGGCTAGCATCGGCACCTCTATCTTAATATACCTTAATGCAATTTTGCGGGATGAGGTCATTCGCTCTCTTTCGCGCCACGGCAAACGCTCTCACTCATCATTCCCCATTCCTCATCCCCTGCAAATCCAACCCTTTGAGCTCTGAAACAGCGTTGGGAAGACTGCTTAATGGGCGAAATCCTCTCCCACCAATTCAGATTCAACCTGACAGGGGGTCCCTGTAAAAGGAAAATTGTCTTCCAGAACCCACCTATGTTCATTGTCGGGTGAATAGCTGTAAACTCTTATTTCCCAGTTGGAGTCGCAGTGGAGAGCTCAGGCGAGTCGGCTGCGTCAGATGGGCCATACCGAGACGACGCTGCTGGAACGCAGCGATCGGGTGGGGGGCAAGTCACTGACCATCTACCTGAATGAGCATGGCGAGGAGTGCGAGCAGCAAATGGATGCCTCGGGGAAGGCAGGGTTCGCCTCCGAGAACCCATGCCAGATGCCCCCTTTCCAATTGACCTGGGTGAGTCAATCTGGGCCATTCGGTTCCTGAGATGTTTAGCCTTGGGTTTAGTATGGTTTAGTGGGGGGTTCCATTTCACCCATTGAGCGTCAAGCTTATTTAACAAACGACTGATCTGAGGACGGCCCAGTGAAAAGGGGTTCCCCCCAAAAAAAACGCCACTTCAACCCAGGGATGTTTCTTTTGGGGAAGTGAGCCACTGGCTTCGAGGGTTCCTTCGTCAAAGAGTGGAACCCTGGATGGTAGCACTGTCCCCTGCGACATCCCACAGTTTACGGAGGAGAAGGGGACCGAAGCTTCCCTTGACGGAGCTTCTTCTTCAGAAGCCCAGTGGCCGAGTGGCGCCCCCTTTTCCTCTTTTTTGGCAAAGACTCCCCTTGAATCTCAACCAACCAAAACAGGATGCCTTTTTTTCTTCCCCACGGAAATCCACTAGGCATCTGAGAGCTGCTAGATGGGTTTTCTTAGATTCCTTTCAACATCGTGAGGCAGTGCCCAGTCCATGTGATTTCCAGGTGTCCCCCCACCCTTTGGGTCAAAAAGCCGCTTTCAGTTTGATCGAGGCACAACCTGACAGTTGCTTTCAAACATAAGTTTAAAAAAATGTTCTATAAACAATATGTAAAACATAGTTTTTTCGTTTTTCAGTTTGATTTTTAGTTGATTCTAAGAATGAGCTCTATGAACCATCCATCCATCGCTCGACATTTGCGCGGATCCCTTCCTTCCTTCCCAAGCCCTTCTTCCGATCCCATTGCCCGCGCCCATGGGCCAAGCTTCGCGAACTTTCTTCGGAGGTGGACACGGCGTCCTGCGTGGCCCACGCGCCTTGGCGAGTCCGTGAAGTTTGCCGGCTGAGTTGTTTGAAACCTTTCAATCATGAAGGAGAGAGAGAGAGAGAAAAAAAAAGTCAGAAGCACCAAACAGATATCACATTGCCCCAACTTTCTGGGCTCCTCTTCTGTTGCACAGACTATCTGCACTCCGCAAGCACGGCGCGCGCGCGCGCGATATGTTTGCCCAGCGTGGCAGCAACGAGGAGATGGGCACCTGTTTCCTGCACAACGGCTACCACAGCATCCGTGAGCTCGTGGATGAGTGCCTTGCTGGACCATCTTCGCGATCGATCCTCTTGGGTTGACTGACTGCCTTGTCTAGGTCCCCCGGCAATTGGTGCCTTTTTACCGTTTCTTTTTTTTGGTTGGGAGGGTTCCCCTACTGAAATAGACGATTCAGAAAAATGGGTACCAACTTGTTCTAACCTCTCTACTGGAGGACCGTTGTGGTTGCTGTTGCGTTGGGGACCCCTTGCTGGTCATCATTTAGGTGGCTTTCTGCCCACCCTCTGCGATAATCAAAGGCTGCCCTGATGTAATTCGAAGCCACATGCACCGTTCCACTCTTGCATATACCGACACCCAGCCGACGCCAATGGTTCATGGCATATGCGCACATCACATGAGAATATCCCACAAGTACCTTTTTGGAGAACATTGGCCAAAAGATGCATCCATGTGCTGCTTGTAGTTGCTCTTGGCCTGGCTTTTAGCGACCTTACCAAATTCTGCTGTTTGGAAGGTGCGCGCTGTTAAATTCAGCAAGTGGGAAGCAAACCTCTTGGGCATGCGCGGCTTGATAGAATCGGCCCGCTGGTTTGGCTGCAGTAATGCAGTAATGCAGCTCTTTGTTGTAGTTGCCGTTCCCGCCTCTTTGAACGGCACGCGCCTCTTTAGACGTTTAGATGGCAGGCCATACGTGGCCAAGCGTGCGATGTGCGACTTTCCCCTGATGTCACTCCTGCGGCAAACACCTGGGACCGGACCAAGAGCACAGATGAAAGCGTTGTGCATGCCGCCTTGGAGTGGACGGCACAGGTCAGTCGTTTCTGCGATGGTGTCCACTACCCGGACAGTTTGATAGGGTTCAAGAGGACATACAAGCACTATGCAGCCGCTATATCATACCAAGGGTGTTTATATAGCATACACATATATATATATATACACATATATATATATATATACATCTATCTCTAAACATATGTGCATATATATGTATATATCAAACAGGGTATCTACCACATATGCCCCTGGGGTCGTTTTTTGGGGGGAGGCCGAGACCGCCGAGACCAACGGCTCAGGTACAATCTGACGCATGTGGTGCCGCCCGAGGGCCGGGCCATGTTCTCGCACTTCTCGACCGACAGGTTCCACTCGCAGGACATGCCCCTTGCATGGAACCTGGACCTTCGGGCCTTCGGGACGGACCCCGTCAATTGAAAATGAAAAGGGCAACCTGGACGGCCCGGAAAGTCAGGTTTTTTGGTCCATGTGAAGTGATGGGGGGGTACTTGTTTTTCTCGCATTTGTCACTGACCTTTGTCAGTTTTTGTTGGGGAGGCTGGTTGGATGGGTGGCAGGCTTGGTGCGGTTTCCTCACAGCAAGCAAGAAGGGCCCTTCCGGTTGGCCACCCTGGAAGATGCGCGCCTTCGTGTCCAGGTAGTGGAAAGTTCTGGCTGTCAGTTTGAGGCTCAAGAGGCAGCTTGACCTCCTTTACAACAGCTCTGCTCGCCTCACTTGCAAGGGCGTTTTTGTTGCTAGATAGGCCCCGGCCCAGAGTTGGATGTTGGGAACGGTTGCACAAATCCTTTTTGACCCTTCGACCTCTCACTTGTGCCTCGGAATTCCTGTTCAGGCCATCGGCATGGCCAGTATCCACTGACAGGTTTGATTTACCCTCGAACCACTACCGAGACCCAAAAGTTGATGGGGAAGCACAGGCCACGTTGTATTGCGGGTATACAGTTGATATATGCCTCAGGTTTATGATAGTTTCCCTTCGTTGCAGCTGTGCCATCGATTTCCATCCGCTTGGATGGGGCAAAATCTAAAGTCCCTTCAAAGCAGAACCCGGATCGCCAACCAAAGGGAACCCACCCTTTGCAGGTTTCCCTCCAATCCAAACCAATCCACCTCGTCAACAGTTCTCTGACTTTGGAGGGCCTCCCTCAAAAGACAACCACTAGTTTATCAGGCACCCCTTTGCTGGTGTTTTCGCTTGTCATTCCTGTACCGGGTAAACCCTCACCACCACCACCCCGGGCTCCAAACCGCCAAAAAAAGACCGACAAAGCGATCAGCGGAAGGGGGCCATCCTGGAAAGTCCAGCGACCCCACGTAGAATACAGCTGCCAAGTTGCCCAGGGACCAGTTCGTCACCTCCTCAATCATGGCTGGCGTGCGAGACGGCACCATCTACGCGCCATCTTGGGCGGTCCCCGCCTGAGTTGGGACGTCTTCCCGAGTGCTGGTCAGTTTGGGGCCTTCCGAGCCACACCCGAACTATCCTGCGTTCCCAGTTTCTGTCTTGTTTTTTAAAACTATTTTCTTTATTTGGAGGGGGGGATGCTTCATGATGCTTCCCGTAAGCCAGTATTTAGATGGTAATGGATGTCACTTGCATGGACCCAGGGCTGCGTTTGTGCGCATTTGTGTGTCTTGGCTGGCCATGCCATTGTACCGTACTTGCCCATTCCGGACTGACCGCTGGCTCATATGCGTGTTGTTTGTTTGTGGTGTTTGCGCGTTGCGTTTTAGTGACGTGATCGTTCAGCCATGTCCATCTGAGCCATGGACAAGAGCCACCTCTACTTGGGGTAGCAGGGATGGGTGGTATAAGCGGTATAAGGATCCTTCAGAATATGCACAACGATTCCTAAGGGAGCCATGACCATTGGCCACATACGCAGATTTGACGAGCCCCACGGTCCAGTGACGACTCTGAAGCAAAGTGCTGGGCTTGGGATCCATCAACCTGGCCTGAGCAATCCCAGCGCACTTCTTGACTTCATACACCATACTGTGGATGGAAAAGCGACATCCATTTCGCACCACGTGGGAAACCATGGGAAACCATTGTTCATGGGTATTTACAGGGGATTCATCATTCCGGGGTTTCTTAGGTGGTGCGAAATGGGTTTCGTCCATCCACAGCATCGCCTCATTTGCGCAACCTGTACAGGCACGGGATGAGATGCTTCCATGCCATGCTTGATTGACCAATTGGACGACTGAGGCCACTCAAAACCCGCCCATGAAACGTGAAATGTGGTTCATTCAGGCATTGTTTGATTTGCAAGGGCGGGCGCTCATAGTTGAGCCCGTGTGGACCCAGCTGCTCAGGTTGCCAATTCTTTAGCATGCTTTCTGAGTGGGGCCTGCAAATCCTCCGGGGACCCGTGAGGTCCCAAATCCCCACGCCGGCTCAGATCGGAAGCAAGTTGAAGGTGATGGTTGCGCTGCTGCGAGCAGTGAAGAAGTACAACACGCTGCACAAGGATTCTTTCAGATTTAAGTAAGGGAGTTTCCACGGTGCAAAGTGCCCAAAAGTGTCATTCACAATTGGTTTGGGGTGGTTGTCAACATGATGTTGTGCGTTGGCTTCTTTGGGAGAGCTGCATGGCAAGCACAACTTATATGCTTGGGCTGCCGTTCCCCTCCCGAATTTCAGCTGACACCTACACCTACCACCCATTCTGTAGAACCCATTTGTTCGAAGGTCACATAGGGTCAGCCAACGCAATCTTAGTTGTTGCTTGCCTTTGGCGTTCGATGAGCGGGTGTAAATGAGTGGGTCATAATTTGGGGCATCTCGTCTTTTTGTTTGGGTTCGTCTATGTTTTGCTTGGACAACCATGCCCGCAAACACACCGACCTCACCCAGACACGCGCAAGCAGATATCCCTCCCCATGGACACTGCGCCGAACCCTCCATTTTTACACAGATAAACTTCAACCAGAGCGTGCCACTGCATAAAGGATACATATATATATATATATTATCCTGTGTTTGCCGGGGGGTTGTGGGTGGGGGTGTAGTGGAAGGCATCCTCTTAGAAGCTGGGGTTGCTGCCTTAGATTTTGATGTGCGACCCGAAAGGTGGAAAAAGGGAAGCAGTTCTGGTTGGGGTTGAGCAGAGAAAACACCAAACAACAAGGGATTTACATGGTGCTGCTGAACAACCAGAATCAGAGAGCTGTGATGTGGCGCATGTTTTGTGGAAACAGTCCCCATGAGAGTTTCCTCGTCACCCCTGTTGAGCTCGTGTTTTCTGCTTAAAGGAATCCAGCCGCACCAACCAACCTCCAACCAATTCACAGCCCACCGGCCCACTAACCAACGAGTCAGATATGTACCGCGACCCAGCGCCAAATCAGGAGATCTTCGGCGAAGTGGAGTTCTCTATGCCTCACAGGCTGAGCAGAGAGACGCTGCAAAGGCGCCATGAGCTGCATAGCCGAGAGAGTTGCCACCTTTTGGCACGAGAGGGTGTGTATATGTGCATGAACCCCTGACTGCGTAGCAGATGGGTTCCCGCTGTAGGAAGGGGGGGCCGGGGGTCAGTGTGTGATCGCCGGACGCGTCGCCACATCCGGAAGCAGCCGCGGCGTCGCAAGCGTTCACAAGTGGCACGCACGTTGCGCCTGCGCGGGCGTGAATTGTAGCTTTTGCGACGTTGCATGTCGTTCTGCTGCGCAGGCGCAGTGTCTTGGAAGGTTGCACGTCTGTCTCGCCTTTCCATTGTGATGTGCATTTCAGGATAGTTCAGCAGTTGTACGGATAGATAGAACACTGCAACACGTAGACAAGCCGATAGACAGTCAGCAAGACACGTAGATAGCGCCGGCAGGCAGGTGCATAGATAGACTGACCGATGGAAGACGGAAAGGTGAGGTTCGGTGAGATGAGCCGAGCTTAGATTGCGTGAGAGAGTGATGAGTAAGATGATGGGTAGGCTGACAGGCGTTGCCAGACAAGCAGTTATAGACAGAACGACGGACTAACAGACAGACTGGAAGAAGGAAAGAAAGAGAGAAAGAAGGGAGCATATAAAAGGAAGGGACGGGGAGGGAAGCAAGAACGGAAGACAGAAAGAGAAAGAGAGAGAAGGGCAAAAAAGAAGAACGGAAGAAAGAAACATAATTAAGGAAAGAACAGAAAGAAATAAACAGCAAGCGTAAAACACGAAAGAGCATAATTCAAGACAGTAAGTAAAGACAGGGGAAGAAATATAGAAATCAAAGACATAGCGTTCTCAGCGGAGGAGCTTGCTTTGGTGTGTGCTTGCTTTCTTTCTAGCTGTGCTTCTTTCCATCGTTCCTTCGTTTTTTTCCTTGCTCTCTGCCCTTCCTTCCTTCCTTCCTTCCTTCCTTCCTTCCTTCCTTCCTTCCTTCCTTCCTTCCTTCCTTCCTTCCTTCCTTCCTCCCTCTCTTCCTTCAAACCCACCGAATGCTGTTGGTCACAAGGGCAAACCAGAATGGGCTGATTGGACATAAAAGCCCGGGTGGCTTCGTGCAAAAGAGTGCCAACCATAGAATCCTGGAAGTCGACCAAAGAAAACATCACGCCCAGATAAGCTGCACTGTCTGCCCTGGCTGACATCTTGGCAAGCTCCTAGGCACCACCCGCAGTGCCAAAGACATTAGCGCACACTTCCAGCAATCAATGCGGAGCCCCAACGAAGGTTTGGCTGCGGGTGTACGGCGAGCTCTGGTCTTCCTTGCTTTTCCGGATGGTTTGGTTTTTATTTGGTCACATTCTGAGGCTGGACCAATCTATGGTTAAGGGTGTGATTTGCGATTCTGCTCACGCCGATGCGGTGGCTCATGGCTGGCATTATGCAAGAACTGGGCCAAATAATTCTGGAATTGGGTTGCGCTGCGTTGGATGGCAGCACGCTGGGATTTCCAGCGATGTTGCCAGTGACCGCTCTTTCTGGCTCGCTGCAACCACAGCATTGCAACGCAATACTGATTAGACATGATGTCATGGCTTTTGATGTGAGATGCGCGCAGGGAAGCTTTCTTCCTCACACCTTTGGAAACCCAGCTGTGGCGACTTCAGTGGCTGCATCGCAGCAAGGAGTGGTTGCAAGTCAAATGCACGGCTGGTGTCTCTCTTCTGGCTGTGCTGGATGCGATTGGCCGCCTGATTGGGGACAGGACTTTCCATGATATTAGAGTCGTTGTAGAAGGCAAGAAGGAGAGAAACAAAGAAAAGAGGAAAGGAAGGGAAGCTAGGGAGCGCAGCAGGAAGATAGATCAGATAGAAAGCTGCAGAGACTGATAAGTAGAACGGCTGGTAAATACATAGAGGAGAGAGCGAGGGCGGAGAGAGAGAGAGAGAGAGAGAGAGACCGACGCATAGGCCCAAAGATAGCATATGGACAAATGGTTAGGAGATAATAACACCTTCCCAGCTCAAAGGTGGAGAAATAGATGCGCAGATAGGTGCTCGAACATCGGTAAGTAGGAAAGGTAAATGGGTAGGCAGAGATACACATGCACAGACAGACATGCATTAGGGTTTGTGGTTTCTACCATATATGTACGTCTTTCAAGTTTGTTGTTGTTTGTGTGTGTGTGTGCTGTTTGTGTTTCTGTTTGTTTGTTTGCTTGCTTGGCTGCTTGGTCGTTCGCATGTTTGTTTAGCCAAGTTGTGTTCTTTCTTTGGTTTGTTTGCTGTGTTGATGGTTTGCTTTTGATTTGGTTGGTTTGGGGGGCTGGGTTGATTCGGTTTGGCTTGGTTTCGGTTTCGGTTGGTTTGTTTTCGTTTGTTTGCTTGCTTGGTTTTTGGTTGGCAGTGTTTTGTTCCGTTGCTGGCTCTCTGGCTGGCTTGCTGGGTGTTTGTACGTGTCTGGAATGATGGGTGGATGGATGGATAGATGGCTTGGATTGGTGGGTGCGCACCCTTGCGAAGTGGCGGGGACCCCTTTCAAACCATCCAAACGGGCTCTGGTTTTGCGACTGGCCGTGTCTGACCATGTGGCATTCCAATCCAAGCTGCTCCAGTTCAGTCGGATCATTCACGGTTGGCATGGCGTTGAATCTCATTGAATCGGGCACCACGCAAAGCGGTTGGACATGAATCCCCACCTAAATGGTGTCCGCCATGCAGTCCCCACATCCACGTGTAGGGATTGCATGATCACGGTGCAAAGTTTGCGTCACCGAGATCTCCCCACCAAGAAATGGGGTAGCCTCAGGGCAAGCACCTTTCTTAAGCAAAATTTAGTTGATGCTAGTCTCTAGGAAGCAGGTTGGAAACGGTTTCTGCGGATTTCCCCTGGTCTTCCCCTGTTGGTTCTTTTTAGTGCTTGTTTAGTACTCTTTTAATATCCTACAGGGGTGGATCCCAGAAACATCCACATCCAAACCGTTTTCTAGATAGTATTTTTCGAAGCCCTTGTTTATGGTTGGTGACGTTGACTGATTCATTTCACTTCACTTGTGTTGCATGATTGGTGAAGGCGACAACGCACCTCGTTGTAGCCTAGATACGGCCAGGATCAACATGACCTTCTTGGAATTCCTGCAATCCAACGACCTGTACGCCTTGAGCGGCTTCTTGATGTTTGCGCATGCCGCCCAAGGCTGCTTTGAGCAAAGTTGGTGGTCTTGGACTCTGGAAAAGCTGTGTGGCTAGGTTGTTTGCACAAGCTGCTCAGCGCACTTGGCTTCTACGGAAATTATGTACAGGATGCAAACATGTGCCGTGGCCAGGCCAACAAACCCGTGAAGCGCACGTTTAGAGACAAGTTGCAGTATGCTTCGCCATAGGTCAAAGCCCAGCACCCCAAATTCGTTGCCGGTGATTGTCCGTTACGACACGAAAATAATTAAGTGGTTTCCTTTCCTGGGCGGCCTCAGCCAAGATAAGACCATATTTCATGGATCACTGCCCTTTAGATCTGCATGGACTCCATATTTTGGTTGCCCCAAAACTGGATTGCAGGTTTCACGTCCATTTGCTTATCCATTACCTACATTTGGGAATGAGAAGTGCTTGAGTAAGCTTGGGATGCAGCATCGCCCTCGAATGTGCAAGTTGCGCCCAAAAATACCAAAACAAAACACTTCCCGTGTGGATCAACTGCACTTGGGGTTCCCTGTCCACATGAGAAATGGCCCTTTCGTGCTATTCTCCTTTGTTTTTCTGTTTTTTTTCCCCGGGTGGTTTCTCTTTTTTTTGGGCGGGGCTGGGTTCCAGGGTTTCCTCCATCTCCCTGACCAATGAGTCAGGCTACGGCTATGTGACCACCATCCCAGCCTTCTACGGGCTTTGGTGGATCACCCCGGAGCTTTTGAACGGCTACATGCAGATGAGCTTCCGGGAGGAGCGCGCAGTGAGAAGTTTTTTCCGTCCGTGGGCGAATTTCCCAAGCAGAAGCGGGTCCTAAAAGGGACCTGGTCGCCATTTTGGAACATGAACCAACTGATCCTTTGTGTCTTTGTATCCAGGGTGGTGTTGCCTGTTATCGTCAGAAAACTTGCGACGGGGGCCAGTGCTAGTATCCGCGTTCGTGCCTCTTTTGGTGCAAGCCGACCTGCAATTGTTAGACAGCCTATGGTTGCTCGTCTGCTGCTTGCCAGCTCAGCTTGCTGCCTGCCGCCCACAGACAGACTCTGCTCCCCGCAGCCTGTGTCTCTTCCCCGATGCCCCGCAACCAAAGAGCAACGAGCTCTTGAGGTGCCAGCGCCGGAGTTGGGATCCTGCCTCAGAAAGCGAATCCGACGACCCGGATGTCCCAGCTGACTTGCCCAGCCAGCGGCGCGCTGTGCACATTGCAGCTTCCTCCTGCGCGGGGACGCACGCTCTGACGTTTGTGCTCCTATGTCGTGCAGCCGCCAAGACAACGACAATTATGTCGAATCGGCGTCGGCCCTGGAAGATGGAAGACGCTACTGTTGCCAGCGCTGCATGCACTCCAGCCTGCAATCAGATTGATTTCGGCGGCAAAGAGTGCCCCTTTATCTTATATGTTGCAACTTGTCTTATGTGTCGGCCGCCGTTTTTCGTTCTGCAGGAGATATAGTGTCTTCTTTCATCCTTCCTTCCCGTGTGTTTGCTGCTTGCGCCAGCGGCATCGGTGATTTCTGCGAGCCCTTTGATTGCCCCACTCCATATTCATAGCTGTCATTTGCATGCGGAGATTGTATGAGTGAGACCAGGGCGATCCCACGCGCAGACCGAAGTGCTCATTCTTCTTTCGGCAAGTTTGAGCAGCAACCAGGAACAGACGAGCAGAGGGAAACAATACCTATACCATCAGGAGTCCCCTGATTTGCCTTTGACAGAAGAACCAAGGGGAGGGCAGGGCTGTTTGTCTTCCCTTTTCGGGTTCGTGGCGGAATTGGGGACCCCGCAAAATTCGTGGTTCTCCATGTGCCTTCCCTCAAAAACGCACCTTTTTCGGCAGGAGTTGGAGAAATTCTACGACCCCAAGAGCGAGTTCTTCCAGCAAATTCGGGGCACCTGGGTGCGTGCCGTAGTGACCGCCATCGTCGGAGGCGCCGCCGATGTGGTGAAGAGGACCACCACCATGCTGCCCGAAGGACGAGAGAGACTGGCAGACTCTAAGCACCTTTAAATCCCTTTTCTAGTGGTTTCCCTATAGAGATTATGGATTAGGATTGAGGACCCTGTATTTTCAATCGTTCTCGTTTCTTGAGCTTAGCATGTAGCTGTTGGGGTTTGGCGCTAAATCGAAAGAGGCTTTTTGGTTGCCAGTCCACTCAGGAAGTGAGTTTGCTGACGGGAATCGGAAGGGCCGTTGCGGAGCTGGGGATATCCAAAGTTGTTCTTTTGAGAGGGAGAGAAGGAGCTACCAGGAGTTCTGTGAGGGCATGGCCACCAAAGATAAGCTTTGTCTCTCGAAGATGTGGTGTTCCTTGCGAGTTCCCCTGGCAAACAGGCACCGCTGATAAATGACACCGTTGCCAGTCATGTACATTTCCCTTGAAAAAAGAAAACCACCAGGGGCAGGTGGAAAACAACGGACACACAGCCGCGGCTGAGGCCGCCCTGTGCATCTCTTTTCAGGCCTGGCGCATTTTTGTTTAAGCGACTGCGCGCCAACCAGCTTACAGGTTCAGATGTAAAGCCAGAATGCAGTTGTGCCAGGATACCAAAAGATTTGGACCACCATTGCGGAGAAGGACGGCTTGGATGTCCGCTATGGGGTCGAGATTTTGGACCAGGGCATCGACCGGCAGCTGGATGATCCCTCTGCGCCTGTAAGAATCAAGTACCGCCAGAAGGGCAAGAACGAGGTGATCGAAGAGGAGTACGACTTTCTGATTTACAGCGCCCCTCATGCGCATGCCAAGAACTTTGTGAAGGATGTGGCCATTCAAGAAGAAAGCATTTTCTCAAGCCTGAAAAGTTTCGTCCTGGCTACCACGCTGTATTCAAGTGAGCCAGTTCTGGACTACACTGACTCAGCGAGGCGACCGATCATGTACGAAGCAGACAAGATGTCTGGGCCAAGTCACGATGGTTCCTGGTACGCTGACCGCTGGGATGACTTGATTTTCGGGCAGCCGATCCCTGGCCGTCAGACGCGGGTGGGGTATCAGTTCTATGAGAAACTTGGTCCGCAGCCGGCCGATTTTTCCCATGGGTTTCTTTTGGTCCGGCACTGCTTTTGGGGCTTGACGCCGCGCGAAAAAACAACATGCCCGATGTTTGCTCACTTGGCTGGGTTTCCTCGGGTCGCTTGACGTGCGCTTTGTCGCTTGACGCGTGCGCGGAGCGTGCTGAGGAACTATTGCCAGGGCGGAGATATGATGTGCAACAGCGACCGCACGCCCAACGAGGGCGGCGCCATGGAGTCCTCGGAGCGGGCGCTGCGGCAGTTCAGGGGCGAGTTGGAGCGGCAAAATGTGAGCGGCGTGAACACCTTGCGCCGCTTCGGTGCAGTTTGCCAAGGGATGTTTGGACTTTAACTTTTTGCCAACTAGTGGGTTTTCCGTATTAAACCACTAAAAGTTAACTTTTAGCAGGGGAGCAGAAAGCAACTGAGGTCAGTACCCCTGGCCGTACTTCCATCACTTCCCACAGGAAGCAGTTCAAGAAGGCGGGCGATGGTGCATTTTGAAATTTTGTTTGGATGTTAGGACTTTCACATTTTGCCAACTAATGGGTTCTCCATTAAACTGCTAGAAGTTAAACTTTTTTAGCAGTGGAGCAGAAAGCAACCGAGGGAAGAACCTGAGCAAATTGGGGGAAGTAAGCGAAAACTTGGTGCTGGCCACTCCTCAGGTTTTCGCCACAACCCCCCGCGCCCCCCCCCCCCCTTTGTTTGGGGTAAACTCGCATGTTGAAGTTTCCAAGCGCCATTCCCGGGCAAACAGGCCAGTTCTTCCTCCCTGCGAGATAGCTCTTGCGGCGGTTGAGTCACAGTCAGAATTCAGGTAGGTGAAGCTTAGTCAGGGATCGATATTTTTTTGCCATGGCCGCCTTCGCCGTTTTCAGTTCCCTGGCTTTGGGCTTGGCCCATTCTACCCTTGACTGCTATTGGGCAACGGATTTTTAGACTTGAACTTTTTGAAAAGACTCACCCCCCAAAAAGGTGAACCACTTTTTGCAGGGGGGTCGTTACCGCACCCAGGCAAGGTGTGGGACCTTTTGGAGATGCAAGGCCAGCGCAAGACTTGGTGGATCGGAGCCAGTGCCTGCTTCGAGTCCGTGCACGACGTGACCAATTACAACCTGATGATCTTGCGACGCTCGGCAAAGAAGCCCAGGTCCCCAAAGAAGTGGCTGTGGGTCAAACATATGCACCCAGGAGCCCAAGTCCCCAAACAAATGTCGGCTGGTCAAAAATATATGTACCCGGATTCCGATGGCGCGGGAGAGAGAATGGAACCCTGGCAAATGGAAACTTGGACTACAACCTGCGGTGCCCTGATGGTTTAGAGTTGACCCACGCCCAAGTGAGGGCCTTTGACCCCCAAAGACCAACCACGAAATGAGGCTCCCGCCCGGTCCAGGGGACTGGTGGATTCCAAGTTTGAGGGTGTGGTGTTGGGTTCCATGGATTTCACCACAGCTTGCCAGCCTCATTCCTCCAGCTAGAGTCCCCCTAAATGTGGAACCTTTTTAAGGGGAGAAACAAAAAGCACAATAATTGACTTTGATCACCAGAAACCGTCAGAAAATCCTGACCTTACGCTCTCGCTGGGCCAAGGGAAAAAAGAGACCGACGTTCCTTCCTTTGCCCCATGGCAGGCAAATACATGGGCGCCAAGATTATTCAGGGCATCGCTATGGGCTGAGAGGCTGAGATCGTTCCCATGCGGTGAATCGTTTTAACGAATTCGACTGACTTGGAGCAAAACAGAAAGCGGCCAGCGAAGCATGGCGAAGCGAGGGGAAAATGTTCTTGGCCAATCCAATCTTGAGCTGCAACTGAGTTGGCCTTCCCCCCCCCTGTGCATTCCTTCTCAGCATGTTTAGGGTTGGTCACGGCTGGTCACGGCTGGCCAGATGATTGTTGACTTTCAGAGGAGTCGCTGAAGGTGTGTCCCTTGAAACAAATCAGCCACTTGCATTGTCATATAAACTTGCATATTACAATGCAAGACGCTCATTCCTATGTCTCATATTTGGAGCCTTGCCACACTTGATGAACTTGGAGACTTGAGTTCCTATCATTGTCTTGCAAGCGGGGGCAAGGTTTTTCCGTCTTGTATGGGGGCGCGGGTGGGCCCTTTGAGGTAGGTGCTCATGAGCAACTAGGTGACTGAATGTCTCCAACCATTGTTTCGTGTGAATATGCCTTGTCCAGTCTTGCCCAATTCTGCGGGTTTTCCTCAATCCATGTGTCAGAGTACCTGCGGATCTACTGCGCTGCAGAAACATTGATCACACACCCGTCGGGGGTCTTCCCAGAAAAGCCGAGATCGACATGAGCTTGGATCAAACACGTCTATACTAGAGTCTATACTGATATATGTTTAATTTGGGAGGGGCAGCCCGGGAGGGGGGGACTAAGACTTACCAAGATTTCAGCAGCCAACAAGCCAGGGGGCGAAAGAACTCACAGAGTTTCCCCATGTCCACCATGGCTCACATTCGTTTTGAGCCACGGCGCCAGGAGCCCTTGGCTCGAAGGCTGGGCCAGCTTCCGGGCAAATTTGTGTCCGAGGGAGATGACAGGTTCTGCCCAGAACCTTTGCCAGAGGCTTCATTCAGTGGTTGTTTTGGATTGGCCAAATGCTGGGAAAACGCAGTCGATGTCCGTCCAAGGCTTGAGCTCTGGGATTTGACGTGGGCTGTTCGGGTTGTCCAGCGAAACTTTGGGGAGTGACACAGGAGTGGACCCATGGGGGAAAAAATCGCTGATGGGCTCCGCACACCAAGAAGTTCAAAAAGGCGATCAGTTTTTCATTTCCAGGTTCGAACTGGGCAAGTGTGTGAATCCAGGTCTCCCAGTAGTGCTCTTTTACCCTTTTTTGGTCGGGAGGATTCCCCTACTAAAATAGACTACAGAAAAGGTTGGTACCCTTATTCTAACCTCTCCACTGGAGGACCTAGGAATGTTTATCTTTCCAACTTCCTTTGATCTCGGCGTGGCCCAGACCGGTTGGAGAGCCGTGGACGTTGAACCTTGTCACCAGGGTGAAAGACATGCAATCCGCAGATATCCGAGGGCAGTCCTTTACAAGGATCGCATGCGATCCGGTGGACCTCGTTTTGTGGATTGGTCAAACCTGGGATTCAAGCCAAGACGGCGGTTGCCTAAGTATGTTCGACAGGCTTTCTTGGTATTAATTCCCGGACCTACAAACATCCCAACCATGTGTACTATTCACAGGGGTCCTCTTATATGTTCTTTTTTGCGGGGATTAAACAGCAGCATTGGGGCCAACTGAAAGTGAGTCTTCTTTTGGAGCGATGTTAGACCCTGCTTTCGATTTTTGCGCTCTCTCGTCACACGTTTCTATGGCTTGCAGCTTAGCTTCTTTCGCGAGCCCCGTGCCGCTGGGAACAGCCTTAGCCATGATCTTCAGGCTCCTACCCCTTCTGCTTTTGTCTGCCGCGGACGAATGGGAGCCCCTCAGAGGCGAGGGAACTGTGGAACAAGCGGGGATTCGATTCAGGCCCGCACCGGACATCGAGAAATCTCTTTGTTGGCTTGCTCATTGGCTAGCAAAAGGGGTGTGACTGGTTGTCCTTGATGTTCATGTGCTTTTCCGGAGTACTTCCAAGGGTACTCGTGAGCTAGTTGCATTCCCTTGCTGCTTGATGTGTTGCCATACTCCTTGCCAGGGATCATGCAATTGTAAATTGCAAAGCCAAAGTCCAAAAAGGAATGAACGACTGAAACTCGCGCAGATTGAATGACAAAGAGCTCAAGGGGAGCTTTGCAAGGACCTGCGAATACTCCCAAATACCTAGGCTGTTTTGGTTAAGACAGGGACGACCCTCTGAATGTCAGCCACAAAAACCAGGGAATTCTCAAGTTTGTCCATGAAGACTAAGGTAGACTATTGCTTATGAGTGGGTTTGTGTGTTTTGGAGATCTCCCTTTTGGAGTGGTTTCAAAGGGAAACCAAACGGAGATCGATTCCTGTGAGACAAACTTGGGGTGAGGACTTGAGGTGCTCGGTCGGACCGCATGTCTTGCTGGTTAGATCGGTGGGTTGAAAATGACCCCAAACTGAACCAGCCAATGGGTGTCCTAGGGCATCCCAGCAGGTTCTGTCAAAACGTCCGGATGGTTCATGGGGACCCAAATTACTCATCTCCTCTTGGGAAACCAGTAAGCTGTACCATGGCTTGTATATGGGCGTGTTGTGAATCGGTTTAAAAAGGATACTCAAGGGGAAACTGCCAATTTGGATGAACACAATCGCTTGTTCTGACTTTGATAGCCCCCAGAAACAGTCAAAATAATGACCCCAGCTTGAAGGGTTTTGGTATCTATGTACATACTCCCTGGGTTGAGCCTTTGAGGCCCCAAACACACCATATATAACTTGAGCCATCCGGTCCCTTAGCTTTTTTAGCCTTGTAGTGTTTAGTGGTAGTTTCCATTTACCTGCTAAAAGTTAGACTTTTAGCGGGGGATCGGAAAACGGGCAGCCCAGATAAGTGAAGCGTCATTTACTTAGACCAAGGGCCGACCTCCTGAGGGCGTTTTCCCATCCGCCGGCTTTGTTTGAATCAGTATTTCAAGGGCAACTCCCTTAGTTGGTGGTTTGGATCTGTGGCTACTAGTAGTTGGTTTGGAGTTCCGGCTCGAAGCCCGGCTTTTGTGGAGGTTGGGGAAACCCCTCCAAACCAAAAGCGGAAGCTGACAGTGATGGAAATTCTGTGGATTCACCAAATCCATTTCTCACCACCTAAGAACCCTGGTTCCTGATGATCCCGCGAAAATCAATGGACGAGATCAGAGACAAGATTGAGGTACTGGCGACGTCTATTAGGACAAGAGCCATTCACCACCTGATCACTACGAATACTAGCTGGCAACAGGAATGGACAAAGGAAAGCGAAGAAAAATACGCCAATGAAAATACGGAAGATGGACAACCAGCCAACACTCTGAAGGAGTTCATCGAGGTGATGCAGAGACCGAAGAGATACATTTGTGGCCTCGGTCTGGGCGCTTTGATGGAGGTCCAAAACAGCCACGTGATAGTGTGGGAAAAGAAGAATGAGGAATGGAAAAGATCATGGCTATGCAGAGCAACGAGCAAGAAAGCGCCTATAGTGCCTCTGGTGAGGAACCAAGGTCACTACTATGCACTATCCAAACCAAGGAATGGATACGACCGACAATGGATCGAAGGAGAAGAGGAAGAACAGGAAGCATGGACACAAAGAGGATGGATTTTTGGAAGAGCAGGAGGTAAGGAGGACAAATACGCGACTCCGGAAAGGAAGACCAGGAAGGAAGACGAACTGGACAGCTGGCTGAAACCGGCAAGCTGCTCAAGCAGAAGCAACAAGACAGAAGGATCAGAATCAAAAGAGGGCAAAGCCAAAGATGACCTATGGTCATGGCTCAAGCCTCACAAAAGTACCACGGGCAGCAAGAGGAAGAAGGATGAGCCAACAAGCAGCCGGAAGAAATGGATCGAGGAAGACACAGGAGACAAGAAGAAGGAAGGCAAGGACAGGAAGAAGGAAATAAAGCTTGATTGGACATGTCAGCTATGCGGGTTCCAAACCAAGGCGGACACCCGGCAGAAGCTAAGCTGGCGAGTACAAAACCACCTAGGAGTGGCACACAAAGATGAAAGGCAAGAGATCATGAAGAAACAAGCGGAGGCAGGAGCTACAGGAAAGAAATCGGGCCTGGGCATTAGAAGCCTTTTCTTGCCTTTGCAGATGAAAAAGATGACAAAGAAGGAAAAGGAAGATGCATCGTGGGTCTGCCCATACTGTGAAAAAGGATGCATAGGCAAAGCCCATAGATACGTGATGGAAATGACAAAGAAAAAACACTTGAAGGAATGTAAGCCAGGGGTAAGCCTGACACAGGCCTATCACTATGCCAGAAAGAAACACAAGCAGGAGTATAAAAAGAAGGACGAGGCCTCCGGAACAAGAATCAAGGCGAGGCAAAGGGCAATGTTGAAGGCGATCCAGAGGGGTAAAGATCTGGGGCACGAGCCGGTCTTCATGAACCTGGTCAACGCACAGAAGTGGAGAGGAAAAATCAAGTACTGCAAGAGATGCAGAACAAGATTGAGCAACAAAGGGGAGAAGGTCATACCGAAGTGCGTGAAGTACGACTGGAAAGAGGCTAACATTCCGAAGCCAACGAAGCACTGGTACATGAAAATGAGAATGGCGAACAAGAAGAACGAGAAAGAAATTTGCGAGAAATTTGGCATCAGCAAGGCTGAGCGGGCGTGGATCTGCGCATACCAGCCGAGGGGTGCCAAGGAAACTGAGGAGTGACGGTATGAGACCAGGCCTTGGGCCTGGATGAGAGGAGGAGGAAAGGGCAAAGAAAAAGAAGAGGGTACAAGAAGAAAGGAAGAGGACAGTGAAGAGGGCCGTCAAAAAGAAACCAGGAGGGAAGCTAGGAAAAAGCAAAAGAACAAAGTGACCGGCGAAGGCCTAAGAATTACTACTTGGAATGGAGGAGGACAAGCAGGAATTTGGAGGCTCATCCACACCATGGAAGAAGAAAAAGAAGACGACACAGACATTTTCTGCTTGCAGGAGGTGACATGCAATGAGGACCAATGGATTGGCGTTGAGAACGCATTTGCCAGAAGAGGATACAAATGCTACTACACCTCCTCAGGAGGAACGA